ATTTGCTCATGCGAATGAAGATCAGCATCCATTGCTTTACGCCACATTGCTTATTCTACACCAGACATTGCCTGAGCATACGTGGTTGGTAAGTCGTTATCCTCACCAATGCTTACCTGTATGTTATAACAGCTTCCGCAAGGAGACCGTCCTCGTCGATGCTAGCACGCTTCGGAGTTATTGGACCATCACTTCCTCCCTTCGACTCTTCGTCTTCTGATCCGTTTCCAATTATCAGCAGTGGCTAACATCTCCTTTTTATGCGATTTGATTCTGGCTGGAACAACAAGTAATCTTCCTATTTATCTTGAGGCTGCGGTCGGTATTCTGCTAACTTCAGTCTATTTCCAACATGTCGTTCTGGGGGTTGCAAATGTGGCGCAACGACACCTGGCATACGCTCTACATCGTCCATTTTGACGTCTATGACCGAATCTTTGACAGATTTTATTGGCTCGTCCAGATCGAGCTGCAGATCCAAGTGATGCTGAGATCTCACTTTGTCATTTTTATAGTCACATGAAGATTGCTTCTGGCTTCATCGCTAGTTTGTCGTAGATGCCGTCCACTTCGCGTTCATCTAATTCAAAATGCGGGTTATCTTAGCCATGGCATCTCTAGATCATAAGCTCGGTAGCCCTTGACATTCTCTGCACAGCCAAGGAACATGAACTTGAAGCTCTTGGGATCCAGATTCGTCCTCTTCGTACTGTCGACATGAGCATAACCTTGAGACCCGAACACACGTGAGTGATCAATTTGAGGCTTCACCTCGAAATCCAACTCGAACGGCGTGATTTCACGGTTAGCCTTGTTGTTGAAGCGATTCATGAGACACATCACTGTAATCACAGCTTCTGCCCACCAATTCAGTCTGGAACGCTCCTGTAGTATAGCATACTGCGGTCATCCTCCATGATCGTCCTATTCATGCGCTCAGCCACTTCATTCTGATGAGGGCTGTATGGAACGGATCACTGGCGTATAATGCCGGTCTGCTGGCATAATCCAGCCACATTATTATTCACAAACTCCGTTCCGTTGTCGGAGTGCTGAAACTTCATTCGTGTACCCCATCGGTTGTCGAACATCGTCTTGAACTCCTTGAACTTGCCAGCCACTTCGCTCTTGCTCTTTATGAGAAGAATCGATAAACACCTCGAGTGGTCTTCGACAAAAGTGAGGATGTACTTTTCACCCCCTTTTGACGAGGTTTCCATTGACCAAAGACATCCGCGTGCACACGCTCGAGCACGTGTGTCGTTTTGTCATCGAACGTGAAAGAAACGTCGTGAACGTCCTTTCACCTGTAAAAGAACCGGCACACAACGTTTACGTGTCATGCTGGACGGAGGGATGCTTGTGGTCGAGCGCTGTTTTTTTATCAAAGCGTCTTAATTAGGTGTCCCATGCAAGCGTGCCTGATTCTCCACTTTTTGTCACCACAAATCTTCTACGAGGCATACATCTTCCTGCTTGCAGTCAAGCATATACGCCTGCTTAATCCTTTTCCCGGAAGCAATAGCTCGATACTCGCTCTAGATGATGTACGACGATCTCAAGAACTTCACGCTTATACCACGTTAAGCAAGTTAACCAACTGACAATGATCTTCTTTCAGGCCCTTGGATAAACAAACTTCAACCATGCGAATGACTCTTCCATCTAAACCAGTTAGTTTCACCATTCTAGATCCTTTGATGAGCACTTCTTGCCGTCTGCAATCGTGACTCCGATCTTTGTTTCTAGGCCCTTGTTTTCGAACAAGCTTATCCTGTGGGATGTCATGTGGGATGTAGCACATTTGTCGGTCAGCCATCCAATTTCTCAGTCTTCACCGACTGCAAATACTGCATCATCGTTGCTGGAACAATTTCCAGCTGGGCAGCTCCGCTTTATGTTGACAAACTGATCGCATATAATTATCTTACCTCTAAAACCATCACGATAGTGTGAAGCGCCGTTATTGCGAGACGCACCCCCCTTTTTTGATCTTTGCCACTTCCTCCTTTAATATTTCTTGTATTCGCCCTCACGCGAAACGCTTCCTCCGCTACCCCTTCTTTTGCAGCCTCTCTGATACCTGTACTATTTTCTCCTTCACCTGGATGAGCAAGAAATTCCTCACATTCTTCACAATCGACGAAATCATGTCATAGTCAGATGGAAAACTGCTGAGTAGGACCACAAGCTGTCGCGACTCATCAACCGGCTCTCCTGTAGTCTGTAGACCAACTACCAGCTCGTCAAAAGCGTCCAGATGTACCGCCATGCTTGTTTTACTATCCATCTTGAATTTGCGTAGTCGGTGCGTCATCGCTACTCTATTGTGAAGAGTCGAGCGGCTGTAGAAGTCGTGGAGTGCTCTTCATGCCTCCATAGCGCGTTGCTGAACGTTTCTTTCTTGTTCTGGTACTGGATATCGACGCCTTGTTAGATGATGCACAGCGCCTTGACATCGTTTACAAGCCACGCAGCTATGATTTAGCCCTCGACTTTGGCAACCATGATGTGTTCCAGCAGACACTTTCTCGCTAGGGTCATCCTCACATTATTCTCCCGGTTGAATAGTTACTATTCCCTAGGAGGACTTCGGTGCGCTTGTTGGCCATGGATTGTGAAGGTGTTGCTGCACTAAAAAGAGCTTGGTTGCGGCTGTTAAACTGTTGGGTAGAAAGTAAAATCTGAAGTGAATATATTTGCTAGGTCCTTAGTTTGCTTACTCTTGTTACCTTTAAGCTTTCTGCTTACTACCTAATTTCCGAGGATTCCAAAAGACAAGATGATCAGCTGGTAACGCATTGTACAGCTCTCCCCTTAGCTGTAAAACTTCGATGACCATGATCCACGCTCCTTCCACACGTCCGAATTACTCTATGGAGTCGCTAGACCAAAGTCACATACGTGACATACAATTTGGCATCTAGTAGAGCATCCTCCAGCAAAATTTAATGTCAGCCAAGCGATTATACTTCAGAATCTTAAATCACTCATGGCTTCACGGATGAATCTACAAGAAATTGCTTCTGGTAGTTGCCCATCCACTGGACTGTGACGCACGACAATAATCATGCTTCCCCTCCCCCCCGCGACCATAAGGGGATGACAAGATACAACTTGCCGCAACACTACACGTCTTCTTCGAGTTCAAGCAAGTTGATCGTTCGAAAACTTGCCAGCGTGCGGTGCACGCTACGATCTTGTTTATTATTCTCGACCACTTGTATCCGTTTGTTAGCCGTCTCTTGAGCTTAAGCAAAGCCATGAGCCGCGCTCTTTACGGCAAATTAACGACCGGATCAAAGTCAAGACACAGCAGAAATTATTTAAAAGGGCGGGGCTTAATGTCATAAGGGTTGTTAGAAAAAATCACACAAGCGCTGCGATGGGGACTGGATGACTTTCATAGGGACATGTTTGACGACCACGGGTGCGCATGTAGCTCAGGTGTGCAGTGTCTTGAGCTTCTTCTTGTTCTTCTCGGGTGTTGTTGCGCTGCTGCTGGATCGAGGTGTCAAAAATTGAGGGTTAGCAACATCTCCATGTAGTAACTGATGATACATATGTGCCGATGGGAGATGATCGTAGCAAAGAGGTCAATCGATCGAGCTTAAGTAGTGAGAGAACTTAAGTTGAATGGGATATGAGGTCTTACTTGAAGGATAAATGAGTAGACGACTAAGTATCCTAGTGCTGGAGCAAATGACGGTTTAGAGTTCAATTGCCATGGTGACCTTGCCGTTTTGTCCGGGGCGGTTTGAGATGTGCGCGGGAGTTATAGTAGAGCAGTCGTAAATGGCCTCAAAAATTGGCATACATAAGCCGCATTTCGCTTGCATCCCGTATCCATGAGTTTGTACTCACTTGATTAATGGAAATCGATGCCTTTGACGTCTAGATATACTACCAAAAAATTTCATACTGACAAGAATTGCGCCTCGAAGGGCTGATTTTTTCGAAAGCAGCTAGGTTACCCGACGAATAGAAGATCCGAGTGATTTTAGCGCGTAAAACTGGTCGGCGACAATTCCTAAATATCTATAAGGAAGCTGATTTGAAACCATGCAATTTGAAAGAAACCTCTGAATGTGCATTAGATGGTGGTCATAAGTGACTGTTCGCATGTGCTCCCAAATTTTAGCCTGCTCATGTGAGTCACTTTTTGGGTCATATTGCTTTACCATTCTTCTTAGCGCACTAAATTAAGACTTTACGTCAGCATTATTTATTTTACGGTGAAAGAGGTTATTTAAATAGCGTAAATCTGGTGATAAACTGGGCAAAAGACTTTGGGTGGGTGTGGGTGGGTATCCTAGACCTGAATAATGATGGGTGTGCGTTGGGTGTGCAGATCCCACCCATACCCAATTTTTTTAGCCCATGGGTGGGTGTGGCAAGCGCCGATTAAGGACTGGTAGGTATGCATAAATGGGAGCCTGAAGGGTGAAGCTATTAGTGAGTGTGCGCAAGGTGAATACCAAGCTTTTTAAATCGTGATTATCTGTCTGTGTGTGTCTATCTGGAAATGATGCGGTTAGGTTTTCCTTACACGTGTCACGTTCGATCTGGCCTGTCCCAACATATCGTAATATAGGCATATTTAAGTCACTTTTGGCTAGGTCATTATTGTTGTGCACGCTTGTGATTCGACTAATATTGACCAAAGATGAATTTGATCACATGAGCAAATGCTGGCGCTCATAAGCAAAGGCCAATCGCGTTGCCCAAGCATGCTGTACTGCGTTAATACAGACATTAACAGCATTATGCTCATTTTTCAGTGTCTGCCGTTGTATAGTGTGTTGCAACTTGATTCAGTTCGTGCTGCAACTTGATTCAGTTCTATAAAACTAGACTACTTATAGTAATGAGCGAGCTCTAGAGCTTGTCCCCCTATTTTATTCACACTAGATGCTTACTTTATGTGAGCATCATGAAACGAACGTTCCCCATTACAGTTTTCTCTCTAGCAACCAATTCGTTGTTTCCGCGTATTGCGATCAGCGATTTTCCTGATAGGGAGCAAAACCGATCAATTCCTTCAGCGGCTTCAGCATAGCCTTCACATAAGTCATCGCCGACTCTAAGTCCGTACTACAGAACCGCACAATCACAGCATTTGGCCCCAGCGCGCTTGTCGATGCAATCACATTTGGAAACGTATTGGCTGTCGCGAGACGACCATGGGGCGTGATCTCCCGTGCATTGTGGAGTTTCTTGCGGACGCTCAGGCCCAGCAAATTTTCCATGATGTTCTTTACCTTAGATCCAGCAACCACCATTATGCCCAGTACGTGCATGCCGTACATGCGCTGAGGAAGACTCACATTTTCATCGTCTACGTAGTACGGTGAGTAAAAACATACACAAACAGGTATGAGCAATCATTGGTAAGTCTCATACAGCATTGAGCACCTACTTTGTACCTGCCAGACAGACACGGTCCGTCACGAGCCGCTCGCCGCCAATAAAGATCTCCGACATCGTATCATATTTGTCAAATTTCCAGTGTTCAAGCGTCTCCTTGCGATTATCACAAGTTGACCCTGTGGCCAAGTAGTTCCGCTTTCGACCACTCGTCAGCCAGTCGACGAATACCAGATTTGCATCCATTTCGAGATGAAATACTTGCGTCTGTCGATATTTAGCGTTCTCGAAACAGGTCACAGGGTCAGGGAGAAACGCCAGGGTAGCTTTGCTTGCCAACGAGAACGAGAAGGTCTGCGATACAAATTGACTCTTTTCCACTGCCTTAAACACCTTGGTAGTTGCTTGCGTACCTAGCACGACTATATCAATCACACCAAGAAGAGACAGTGACATGTGTGTTTATTAGTCCTTACGAAGCCGTCCATAGGATCACCTTCCGATCTTACCTGCTGTGTCAGGGCCCAGTTCACATTGCACAGCAATGGAATCTCCACCCACCAAGCCCCCACCGTATCCCAAAATGTACTGAGTAAAGCACCGCCAACCTCATTGAGGTGAACATTGTTAAGGACAGCCACACACACACGATCACAACAAAGTTCACGCACAGTTATGTACGTGTCGAAGTCCTGGTGGATTGTGTGTCGAGGGTGCAAGAACTTGAGTGGATACGTTGCGTACATGTACGTGGCGGCAGTGCGGCCTTCCACGACCTCGTACCTGAGCTTGCCGGTCGTGTGCCCCTCACTTATCGTGCTGGTATCGGCGACCATCAAACGAAACTGTATGCAAGTGAACCACGAGTTTGGCAGACTGAGTCATTCGGATGACAAGACTTCAGACCTTCCATCGAAACAGCGGCGGTCCATCAATCACACGTTTTGGGTACACTGTACCCGATCTTGAGTCAGAAATCATGGCTGACAAGCACAAGCACAGACGTCATCTTGTAACTTCTCACCGCAGCTAGACGTCACGCCCTTTGTCGGTTGCTCGTCGTCACGTTGACGTTGCACGAGCGAATCAGAAAGCATCCGCTCATCTTCAGCTAAAACAGACGCGGACGCTGACTCAGAGTGTTCGCCTTGCAATCTTAAAGCCAAGAAGCTCACGCGTCCGGGGTCGGAAGAGGTAGGGGACCCCTGCGTACGATACCTCTCAAATTGATGTGGACTCGACTAACAGTTACGATGCTTCTTTCGCTGCCTCGTAAATGTGTTGCACGCGTAACATGACGTTCAAGCAGCATCAGCAGCTAATGGCGACCGACTGCTCGTCCACGGACGATGGGTATGCGCTGGAGGACGACCTGCGCGTGATGAACGATAAAATGAAGCGTTTGCTGGATTTTTGTGAGTCCCAGCACTGTGAGAATCCGCTACGACTCCAAGCCAAGATCACTGATCTCGAGGAGAAGCTGCGCCAAGTTACTGCCGAGAAGAACTACTGGATGAAGCGCTGTAAAGATCTCACAGACCACCAGCCACCTACTGCCAAGTCCGCCAATGTAAGTCCGCAAAACAGCAAAAAAAAGTCACACAAGCGCAGCAACTCAAAGCCCAATGTGGGCGCCAACGCTGGCACGCAGCCTCGCTGTGACGGCTTCCGTAACGAAGACGCCTCCAGCGTTACAACGAGTGACACGTCCTCACCATGTTGTGATGATAAGCTCATGGACGGCAAAGCCGCCCCGCGTTCGTGCTTTCGACTGCTGCAGTGTTCCGACGAGCAGTGCGAAGTGTTTACGCCCAAAAACCGCAGCATTTGCACGCAGCACCGCTCGCGCAACAATGTCCAGCTCATGTGGGATGAGTCACCAAAGACGGTGCTTATTGTAAAGAAGCCCAACGATCCGGAAATTGCAGACGTGCTGGTCCGATTGGCTTCGTGGCTGCAGAAGGAGAAAAGTATCGACATTTTCCTTGAGCCTACTGTGCATGATGAGGTCAAGTTGCCGAACGCCAGGACGTGGGGCAGTAAGTCAGAAGACTGGAACCATTGCCAAGGCAAGATCGACTTTGTGGTCTCACTGGGAGGTGATGGCACCGTTTTGTGGGTCTCCTCGCTCTTCAACAAGAGTGTCCCACCTGTCTTCTCTTTGGCGATGGGGTCGCTTGGGTTTCTGACTCCATTTGATTCCAAAGATGCCGTGAAACAGCTAGACGCTGTGATCAATGGAGGATTCTACATGTCGCTGCGCTCGCGTCTTGTATGCACAATTCTACGTGCTGGCAAGGAGCGCAACATTGACGGAAACCTGCATGCGCTCAATGAAGTTGTGATTGACCGCGGCCCATCGGGCGCGCTTGTTGAACTGGACTGCTACTGTGACGGCCTGGCAATCACTAAGATTGCAGCGGACGGCATCATCATTGCCACGCCGACAGGCTCGACAGCCTACTCGCTTTCAGCAGGTGGATCCATGGCTCACCCCTCGGTGCCTTCGATGTTGTTCACTCCCATCTGCCCGCACACACTGAGCTTCCGGCCTCTAATTTTCCATGACAGCGCCACGCTCAAGATCGAGTTTCCTTCCAGCAGCCGAGCATCGGCATGTTATGTGTCTTTTGACGGCAAGAACCGCGTGTGCATGGAGCGTGGCGACAGTATCGTCGTCCGTGTGTCGTCATACCCGCTGCCCTCGATTTGCCAGGTCAACGAGAACCAGGACTGGTTCGAATCGATGATCACCAACCTAAACTGGAACCAGCGCCGCGCTCAGAAGCCCTGGCACTCGCCAGGGGCGAGCAAGATGTAGACGCAAGCTTGTGGCTCGAGGCCCTCTGTGTCAAGGTGGACTCGTGCTTGGTAATGCTTCGCGTCGGCTTCGCGCTGTGGTCTCGTCTGTATGTGTGGCACTGCTCACGCACAGGGTCTTGTCTGCATTAAAAGTGCGTGTAAGATAGTTAGCTCCCCACATAATAATCGATTCTTCTTCTCTTGCGCTGGCACGTAGTGTGCTACAAGTTAATGGTATCTCCCGCATCACGTTACGGGTGCGGAATCGAAGAGTGATGGTCACTTCAACGTCCGCTCTTGTCTTTTGTGTGTTCCACTTTATTTGAAAGTCGGGGTCTCACTGTCGTGTGGCACACGCCAACGTGGAGGTTGATCGTTGCGGACCAGTCAATAGTGTAGCAGTGACTCAAGCCACAAAGCACGTTGCGCCGGACAATCGCTCGTGTCATCGGCTAGAGTGATGGCGAGACCTAACAAGCGCAAACTGAGCGCTGCGACGTCTGTGACCGCACAGACTCCTAAAAAGCCTTCCAAGTATGCGAAGGAGGCGGCCAAGCAGGAGCCGCACAGCGCCAAGAGTATCAACAAGGCACAGCTTTTTGACTCGGAAGAAGAACACGAAGAAGAAGAGCACGAGGACGAGAACGAGGACGACGGCAGCAGTAATGATGAAGGTGAAGGATCGGAGGCTGACGATGGGTTCTCGGACGCCAATAAGAAGTGGTTGAAGCTCAAAAACGGCGTCGGTAATGATGCTGACGAGGATCAAGACGAGGAGGACGAAGAGGAGCTGGCTATCGAGCGCAAGGCTCGTCTTCTGGATGAAGAAGAGGCGCTGCAGGCTCAGGAAGCTGAGGACGATATGCGGCTGAACATTGCCAACAACGAGCCATACCATTTACCCACCGAGGAGGAGCTGGCAGAGGAAGCTGAGGACAACGATGACATGTCGGACCCTGCAGAAGTACACCAGCGTATTAAGGATGTGGTGGAAGTATTGGCGCAGTTTAGTGCTCGTCGAGAGGCGGGACGTTCGCGTGTGGACTATATGGAATCGCTGGCCAAGGACTTGGCTGGATACTTTGGCTACAACCGCGAGCTGATTGACATGTTCCTTCAGATGTTCTCCCCTGCAGAATGTGTCGAGTTTGTAGAAGCAAACGAGCAGCCACGGCCATTGGTCATCCGTACCAACACGCTGAAAGCGCGTCGTCGTGACCTGGCACAGGCACTGATCCAGCGCGGCGTGAACCTTGACCCGCTTGCCAAGTGGTCAAAGGTCGGTCTGAAAATCTACGACTCGCCAGTTCCCATTGGTGCCACGCCCGAGTACTTGGCAGGCCACTACATGCTTCAGTCGGCGTCTTCCATCTGTGCTGTGATGGCGCTTGCTCCGCAGATGAACGAACGGGTGCTTGATTTGGCGTGCGCTCCGGGTGGTAAAACCACGTACATTGCTCAATTGATGAAGAACACAGGTACTATTATCGCGAATGATCTAAAGAAACAGCGCCTGAAGGCCACGGTTGCTAATCTGCACCGGTTGGGTGTGAAGAACACATCGGTGTCTTGCTACGATGGTCGCAAGGTGCCGTCGCTTTTCAAGGGTTTCGACCGCGTGTTGCTGGATGCCCCGTGTACAGGGTTGGGTGTCATTGCTCGTGACCCTTCTATCAAGACGCAAAAGGGAGAGAAGGATGTGCACCGTCTCGCTCACTTGCAAAAGGAGCTGCTTCTGGCTGCCATTGATGCCGTTGATGCCAAGTCCAAGACTGGCGGATACATTTTGTACTCGACGTGCTCCGTTATGGTTGACGAGAACGAGTCGGTCGTTGATTACGCTTTGCGCAAGCGCTGCGTAAAGCTCGTGGAAACTGGACTCGACCATGGTAAGCCCGGCTTTACTCGCTACCAGCAGCAGCGTTTCCACCCCTCAATGCAGCTTACTCGCCGGTTTTACCCACATGTGCACAACATGGACGGCTTCTACGTTGCCAAGTTAAAGAAGTATGCGAATACGATGCCGTCGGAAGAGAAAGATGCGAAGAAGACAATTGACGAACTTGAGGAGGATGCCGAGGAGGCAAACCTGACAAAGAAGCAGCGTGTGAAGGCTAAAAAGGAGCGGAAACAGGCAGCTCAAGATGTCGAGGCTGAGATAACCCAAGTGGATCAGAGTGATGCTGAGGAGGAAGAAGAGGCTAAGCGTTTGCCGAAGAAGCAGAGACAGGAACCCAAGGCCAAGGTCAATCAAAGCAAGAAGCGTGACGGCAAAGGCAAGAAACCTAGTCGACCGCGCAAGAAATAGAGAGCAGGAGCGAAGGAGGTCGCATTTGAAGCTCGTTCGTTCAAATCGTCCTGTGAGGGATAGATAAGTTTGTATATTTTTGTGGTCATGGCATGAAACGGGTGCATTCGTTTGTCATTCCTGATACGATAGAGTGGACTTGTCTGTCTCAAAAAGCTTGATGTGGTTCCACACGCGACATGAGACGTTGTTACAGCTCGTGAACGCATCGCGGTCTGCACATGCTGTACATGCAAATTCGAGAGTCATGACGGCCTTCTCGTGTCGAGTAGCCGCCGTGTGGATTGCTAGCAGACTTCGCTGCGGATTCGCAATGCAATTTGCACACAACGTGTCAATGCCAAGTGACCCGCACAGCCGACAGTGTTTACTTTTGTAAAACGAGTCAATGGACCGACAGCCGCGACTTGATCGGCGGGTTGGTGTGGCATTGTCGAATTGGCGAGCTTTCACAGACGACCGAGGTAAGGTTGCATACCACAAGCGAATGTTGGCTCCAGTCAGCAGAAAAAGTCGCTCGAGGCTCGGAATGATCTACACGAAAAAGCCACCGGGATCGAGGAAGTATTGACGCCAACATTTTGAAAAAAAAACAGCAGCAGAGCACCATCGTACCTGTTTGTTGATGTAGTAGTGGTAGTTGATGCTGTGCCGTTTTCGCTTGTCAAAGTACTCATCAGGTGACACGACCAAGTCCATGAGCCGTGCACCGGGAGGCCCATTAACTACAACATAGGGCACCCGTTCTGCATACCGTGGCTCTGCCCGAGGATCCTTTTCCATGGCCATCATACTGACAAGCGCTGCAGGGGGAGCACTGTACACAAATTAGTCCGTTGTCATACTTACATCATCATCATCATCCATGCCAGTCCTCACCTTCCATTGCTGTACGTCCCTAAGCGAACTTCTTTCGCGAAAATGAAATCTTTGAGTGGCACGCGGTGCTCCAAGATCTGTTGCCAGTATTTCTCCAGGGTTTGCTTCACCTTGGACAGGTCACACGATGCGAAAAGTGTCTCCAGAGAAACTTGCATCGCGTGTTGAACCACTTTGCAAGAGTCACGTCGAACCGTCTCAATCCCTTTTGACTCGATAACACCCGTTTCTTGTGTTGGTGCCTCAAACTTGTTGCCAACGTACCGCTTCTTCGACACGAGGACACAGCCGATGTACACTTTCTCCAGCTTCAGCGTCACAGGTCTAAACGACATCGTAGACAAAAGTGGGTCAATCATGGGACGATAAACGTCGCGAATGGAAATATAAGGTTGGCATGCCTGGGATTCGATGCGGTTACCGCATCAGCGATTTCCTGTCCAATCCGAAATGCGTCTGCCTTTGACCTGCCTTTAAGTAGCACGAAAACACTATCTGTGTCGCCGTACACGACCTTTGCATTCCAATCGGACTGCTCTTCTATCTGTCGAACAGCAGCTTCGAGCGTGCATCGTCCAGTCTGATCAGGAAGAAACACCAAACCAATGCGGATTCAGTAGGTCGTCACCTAAGAACTTGGACAAAGTTTGTTGCAAACGAAGAACGAACGCTCGAACGTACCTGAACAATGGCATCGGCTAGTTGAGCACATGGCATACGTCCCGAGAAACCAGCCGCTGTGTAGCCGTACGTCACATTCGAAATCATTTTCAGTGCTAGCTGACGAGCATTTAACACCTTTTCTAGTCGATCCTGATTTGATTCCTTTGCCGATTTCATTGACTGCTTGACCATGATCCGGGTTGACAAGATTTCGTCCAAGATGAGCGGAAGGACTCCTTGGCGATAGCTCTTGGGACAGAACAACGTTCCATTCGGTGCAATAATGACGTCATCTTTGCATTGCAACAGCCCGGAGGAGTTTGGGGTGAAATCAACGACCCCGAGCGAAGTCTCCAACTCGGGATGCTGTCCACTCTTTAGACGCCCTAGCAAAGTTGAATAGCACAGGTTATACCCAATGACAAGCGATGGATAGAGAGACTACGGTGCCAACGCAAACGAGATGTTATACTTCGATGTGACGGATATCGAAAATTAAAGTGACCAAAAACAGATCCGTACCTGAAAATCAAGGACCACAACGGGGTCTGTGTAAAAGCTCGAATGCGGTTCCATCACTAGTGGAATGCACTCCATCGGGGCCTGGCCAGACACTTGGTTTCTGCTTGGCGACACCAACAGAAAATTCTTCCGCTTTGTCACGCGCAACATGACAGCCTCGACTCGGTACTGTGATCCTCGCGATAAAACCGAGTAAAAGTCAATCCCAAAAAGTCGGGCCATCTCGCTGCAGGGGTAGTCGATCATCAACCAAGAGGTTAGCAGGAGACCGTACCGTTGTATGTCGAGAGAAACGTACCCTGTTCTCGTGACTAGCTGCATTTTGGAAAGAATACGGAGATTCAGCGTAGCTCGATCAAGAAAATACTTGATCACCTTCCACCGCATTTTATCACATTCACGGAACCACGACGTCAACCGCTTAGCTGTGTATACTGGATAAGTCCGACGTAATACGGCCTCTACGACATCTTCAAAAGCATAGCGCGACAGCTTCAGCTACACCACGTATGAAGCACAAGCAGCACTTCGTTCACGTCCACTCGATCACCGTAAAAGATCTCAACATTCCCTACCTCTGAGCGAGTCATTCGCCAAAGATTCAGAATATACCTGCCGTGTATCCATGGCCCAGCTGCCTTGTTGACACCCCAACTTGTATCAGCCGACTCTTCATTTTGGCTGCTTTTTTCTTGGTCCTGAGCCTTCATCTTTGCGTTACGAGGATCCACTGGTGATGACGGGAGGCGAGATAGCGACTGGATCAAATTGATCTGTGGTACTGCATATGAGACTTGCGCGTACGAGCAAGATCAATAAAGCACTACTCACATCCATCTGTGAAGCCCGGTCGATGAGATACCCAATCGAAGCCTTTTGCACCTCGAATCCTACCAAAAAATCTGGATCCCACCGTCTTATTAGCGCCTCTAGTGATTGGAGTAGATCTTGCTCGTCTGCGGCAAATGTCACCGACATATCACCACTGTCAACACAAATGCCCACGCCTTCGAGTGTTGGTGAATCCATGTCGTCCATTTTTATCATGAGGAATCCGCGCTCATTTGTCGTATAATCTGTCGGTCCTTCTTGGGCTTCCACTGCATAACAGATTGCATTGACCGGGTCGTGGAGAGGATTTGGCAGCATGTTGCCTCGCGATGCTGCGAACACTTCGATGGATAGTATCGTAATATTTGACAGAACCGCTGGTGTGCTCAGTCTACCCGACGGCGATGCCGAACACACCACGGCAGGGTGAGCACGTTTTTGTCGTGTCTAGCCAAATGCAGTAAAGCGTCAGCATAGAATGACATCAAAAACCGATGATCTACCACCTTTGCAAGAATGCTGCGGCTTTTAGCACGATTCGAAACCCATTCCTTGATAGCAGTAGCGTCTGGTGGCAACGATGCTGCCATCCGCAAACGACGCACCTGACAAACAACGGGATCAGCCAGATTGCCAAATTTCCAAGAGGCATCTTCGAACATGGCACACCTTTCCGCTTCTTTCAGGAATGTCATTGGGGGTCTTCAGATGAGAAAGGTTACGCCAAGGCGCGTTTCGTCCACTCTCGCTGCTGTCGCTGCTGCAAAGTGGATGCAGCATCTGACGTGTCGCGCTGGTATCAAATACCGACAGATTGCTCGTTTTGTGCGGTGTAAAGTCAAATTTCTTCCCACCGAAGATCATGGCTTTCTTCGGGATATCTGCAGCATTACTGTAAAACGCGGGCTTGTACTACAACACAATCAGTCCTCATTTTAGCGAGTCAGGTGATTGGCGAGGCAAATGTATATTTGTCGAACCTGTACTAGATCCACTCCAAGGTCATGCGAAGACGACAGAATCTGTGAGAAGGAAGGAGGCTCAGGACTGAAGAGCCACAAGCGCTTGCTGTCCATCATTGCTGCTGATAGTCCTTGACCTCTCGAGGTCACCTGCAGTGGCCGCGACTGCGGCATTTGCGCCAGTCGGCCATAGTCGACCGGGTCCGACCTCTCTTCCTGCAGATGTATTGATGTCGATTCTAGCGGTCGCGGGGAGAGTAAATCTTCGAGATCGACAACACGAGATACATCCTCTTGGCTGGAATCAAATCCGACGGCCTTGACAGCAATCACAGACGACTCCACATTTTTTCGTGAGCCTACAGCAACCAACAAGGACAAAATACAACAGGAGACTTTACAACTTCAGTCGAACGCTGCTGTGGGGCACGGAGGATAACACGAGGACTACCAAGTTCACTGAGTGGAGTTGCAGTGGGCCGAGGTTCACGCTCTGCGACGTCCCACCAAACTTTCTCTTTTGAAAAACCAGGTGACTGGCATGTGATACGAGCTTCAACGTGGCGCTGTGAAGCCATGATATCGCCAATTTCATCGTTTCGAGTGCCCCACTTGCTGGTCTCGGCTTCTTCATCGCTTTCGTTGAGCGTCACGTATCTGTCGTTCTCATTGCCTTCGTCCGGGTTGTTGTCTACATGACCCAGGTCGCTTTCTTGCTGCATCGCTATAAGAATATTCACAATGGCTTCATCTTCTTCAACTGACTGTGCAAAATGCAAGATGTGATGAAAGTCATTACAACAGACCATAACGAAAGGTTACCTGCTCGGAACTGTGCTTGTTATTGTCTTCATGATCAGCTTGGCTGTGAGAGTATTCGCTCTCCACGGCTATCGAATTACCGCATAATGCCACGTCGCTAGCAGACAGGTGATGAGGGTGAAGATCAGGGATTTTGCTGTTTGTCCATTGTCCTTCGTCTTGCTCCTTTAATTTTTCCATCACTTCATCGACAGAATCTTTGAGCTTTTTTCTGAAAATAGACTGTGATAACAGCGACGATGCCGATTGTGCCGGCGAGGCGCTCAGCGTTAGACCTCTAGACGAAAACGAGTCAGCGTTGCGAGGTAAACTCAAGGGCATTGTTGGTGTTGCCCTTTCTCCATCCAACGTGCGCCGTAATCTCTCCTCCTAGCGCTCGCAAAAGCGTTACATCAATACCTCCGGCAACACGAACTCGCTCTAGTAGTTGTTAACGCACCTCCCAAATGGCTGCCAGCGACGGCACATTGCGTAGCTCACCCGTGCTCTCCGCTGCTTTCTGCTGGGACTCAAATCGCTTTGGATTCAGAATGCACACAGCGGCGACATCGGCTTCTAGCGCACAGCTGGACTGTCGATCCGACCATCGTTCTGGTGCGTGAAGCACCGGGACATATCGTCCAACAAGAGATGGTGCGCTTCTATCGAAGCCATTTATTCTATCTGCTGAAACGTTCGAGAGAGAAATAACGTGGCAATCTTCTGCACTTTTTGCGAGATGATCCTGCGTGACAGGCACTGGAAATCGAAACTATCAAAGTAGTGATCAGCCGTGCTACTCCAATCTGCGCGTGGCAGTCATTTGTCGGTAGAACCATCTGAGCGTACCTTGACGTTGCTAAATGCCACATAATTCAGCCCTTCAATATTGTAATCAGCAAAAACCTACGCATGACATACGTTTGCCCATAAGATCACCTCTGATAGCTCGCAATGGCGCAAACCATCCTAACTGATCATCACGCAACTTGAAGCAAGAACGGTACGTGCGCCTCGTACGGCTGGAACCGCCTTCCACAGACATTTCCGCCTTCAAGCAGCTGCACCACTGCTGCCAGCACTCGTGGGTTATACAAGAAGATTTGCACGAATAGTTTTGGACTCGGATGGTACCCGTAGAACGGCGTTCCTTGCACAATCAGCATCTACACAACGCAAAGCTCGTCAGGCTCTTTCCTCGAGTCTTCTTTAGTACTTTACTCAGCATTTCGATGCCCACCTTAGCAATTATCCTATGATATTGACAGTTCGAGCGTACGTTTCCATTTTTTGGTGACTTTGCTGCTGCTTTGCAGCATTTCCAACCTCGATATCCTTTGCCAGTCGAGGTAGCAGCGCGCGCAGACGCTCTTGGTCTTCAAAGTCTGGGTCGTCTTCTGCTCGAAAGTAAAAGTACGGGAAGATCTAGGTACATGAAGCATTAGTCTATGCTACGTGTCTGTCATCACACTTTTTGATAAAGCTGAAGTACCACAGTTAAAGAGACACGCACAGACACACACCCCATGAACGTGTACAAGAGCTTTTTGACCAGCGGGTGTAGCACCAAAGATCCGCACGACTGGGACCTCACGGGCACGAGAATAGCACGGTGAGGAGGGGAGATGGTGGATCGCGTCTCTGGGCAGCGGTTTACTCATGTAGTAGTCGACGACGACGGCCTCTACGCGGAGCTCTTCGACGTCGATGGGGTCCATAATCTTGACGCCGGCATAAAACGTTTAGAGATTGTAATGAAACGGGCTCTTTTTAAGGGCGAGGCTATTCCGTACTTTGGGTTTTGCTATTCCGTCCTGCAAACGCCGTCATACGTTTTTACGAGTAGCTATTTTAGCTTAGTCATTAAATTTTATCTGTATTTTGCTATATATAGAAGGTCAGAGGTGCGGAGATTAAAGAGCTTCCATTGGCTGGATTTAGTGCCGAGCCTTACGGACGGGTTGAACATCTCCAACTGGAAAATTAACCAATGTCCTAATCTATCTCTGGAGCACCAAGTGTTGCTGACTTGTCCAGCTGAACCTCGTGTGACGACACCTACACCCGATAGTCTTCTGAATCTAGTGTTCCAGCACAAGCGAGCTGCTACTTCCTGGATGCAACTCTGATTGATCATGCAGCATTTCCAGTTAGTGTACTAGCGAACACCATCGTACAACTTGACCCGGTGTTGGCTCGCGCTCATCCTGGCCATCATCTTCGGCCCCGTGCTCGTCAACGCCAACTAGACAACGTATCAAGGGCTGAGCTCAGCCGCGGGTATCATTTCATGACAAAACTGTATCAAAGATACGTGACGTACGTTGCTTGTCTGCCCTTCATCCTGCGGGAACGAGCCGTCTACTACCGCAAGTGCGACGCGCAGACGTACAACATTCTCTGGTACTTCCTCGGCATTGCGTTTATCGAGATCCCCTACGTCTTTGGAGTCTAGCAGTCTCCTCTTCACCATTGTCTTCTTCCCTCTGCTCGGCATCTGTTCCTTCAGCACGGCTGTGCTCTACTGGCTCAACATCTCCCTCTCCGAGCTCATGCAGACGCTCCTGGACCAGCTGCTCGTCTACTTGCTGTCCAGTGGCAAAGTCGTTGCCGTTGCGGGCGTCCTCATAAACGTCATGCTCCTGCTCTTTGCTGGGTTCAACCCGCCTGCTGCTGTCATCCCGGACCGTTACCGATGGCTCTTTGACATCACTCCACAGTGCTGTTCCCTTTCGATCCTCGTCTCGCTCGTGTTCGGCAACTGTCCTGAAGATCTGGTGTACGATGAGGTTACGAAGGGCTTACCTACGTGCGATCGGAACTCGATTGTTAACCTCTATGAATTGCACCGCCGCATGCAGACACTTATATCTGCTGGTCGGTAGATTCAGTGTAAACGGGAATGTCGCCTTGTACAGTATGATTCAGGTCAGCGCGCGCACTGCCTGTACCGTTTGTCGGCAATTTGAGCCAAAAAAACGATAACAAATGAATGTGGTGTGGTCAGCACTACACGAGTCGTTTAAAGCTAGTGCAAAAGGTGACATTAAGGCAACAAAATCCAGGCAATGGAAGCTCTTTAATCTTTGCACCTCTGACCTTCTATATATAGCATAATTTAGATAAATTTAACTATGAAGCTAATTAGCTGTTCGTGAAAATGTTTGACGGTGTTTGCAGTACGGAATAGCAAAATTCAAAGTACGGAATAGCCTCGCCCGCCAAAGCCTGACAAGAATGATAGGTTGTTTAGACAGGCCTGCAAAAGATGTGCTCAGAGCGACCGAACCAGAGCAGCCAAGAGAGCAAGGAGCTAAGTGGCACCCAGACAATGACAATAAGAACCTAAAGATCGGAACAACAAGTAGAAATTGATCAAATTATAGAAGGATGAGGTCGCGTTATCCGCAGACATATCGCGCATCAAAGCGACCATTTACGGTGGTCCGGCCTTCTTTAAAAATCGTCGCTTTAGGCTTTCGTTTTATGCATAGTGATCAGCAGGCTTTAGCAGGCGATTGTTTCCCTCTAATTGTCAAAATTGTAGCAGTGCTGATACGGGCTTTGACCAGCTTGTACACGAAGATCTCCTGATTCGGGTACCTTTGTGAGCAGCTAGATAAATGATCACGTCCTGCTAGCAACGCAGCTACAATCACCCGAGATCTTGACCTTGTCGCTACCACCGTCTATTTGATTTTAGCTGTCCCTCAGCATCCCTAGGAACGATTTGCCCGTTCCTCGTTCTGACTTTACAATGGCTCACGGGTTGTCTTTTCAGTGCATATCGAAGTAGAGGTGGAGTGTTTTCCTAAACTCCTTCCTGTTGCGCTAAATGCGCCTGCTGTCATGCGTTCTTCTATATAGAACGGGATTGTGCGCGCAACAACACTACGTCCTTCCTCTACTCTTGAATATGTTTTCGCAATGGATGGCGAAAAAGTCGGTAAGGTGCAACGCAAACTCGTTGGATATAACGGGGAATGTCAAATAGTACCTGGACCCGTCATATTGTCTTCATTGTTGTTGATGTATCTGTTTGTCACGTAGACAATTTCGTTTTCGTCGTTGTGGTTGTTGTCTTCTTTGTCGTTGTTGTTTTTGTTTTGTTCGTCGTCATTATTGTAAGTGTCGTCCTCATCACCGTCCGCGTCGCGTCCGAACTCCGACTTGCCGCCGCAACGCCTTTCAGAACACTACCATTGCTTTCCTTTGCGTTTACATCCGCATCTTTGTCTTCGCCACTGTCCGTACCTGAGACGGTGTCTGAGTCTTCCCTTACGTCCAGGGTACATTGCCGACCAACAAGTTGGCCTCACGGTAAGATGACAGGTCCATCTGTGCAGCGCATATCAATCTGGATGTTGTGCTGTGTTAACGCGTAAGCAAAGCATCAATATGAAGTGGTTGCAACGGTAACAAGCTCCGAACAAGTCCGTACGAGACGGTAGAATAACAATTGCAGAATTACACTTCGTCACAATCGATCAGAGTGGTTTCTGTCAGACTCTAGGATAGCTGAAGACCGCTATCCGATCGACATGAGCGGAAAAGTGGAGCGGTGACAGATGAAGCAAACACCCATTCCATCACAGCTGTCACAACTATTTCGCCATCTTCGTTCGATAGACGCGCACGAAACGCCGAAAAGGGCTAAAATTACTACGATTTGCGTAGTAGCTACCACGCTCTGTGCTAGCTAGTCTTTCACTAGATGCTGCCAAGTCCCTCCCGACTGAGACCTCGTAAACCGCGTTTAGAGTTGCCATGAATTTCGCAGATGGCTGTTTTGTCAAATGCCGTTTCGGTACCACTTTGCTCCGTTGCGCAAGGTACGATATTCTTGTCCCACGATCCGTTATTTTTACGATTACGTTTGACGCGCAGACAAAGTAGCGAAAAGCTGGTACCAAGTACCATGAACAAGGTACGCGGCCCCTGAGACGTGATGTCGTACCGTTGTGCGTGTGTTAGTTCGTACCTTTGTTTGTTTTATTTCCGAGGATGAACCGACACGCGCTGGCTGAAGCCACGAGTCTGCACGACGGCCCCGTGCCCGTGTATCTCATGGAAGAGATTGCGCGTGCGTTCGTACTTCGATCAAGTCGCTTGCGCTGCGTCTGTTGCAGTGATAGGGAATCTCACGTGTGTGGGTTGCGTTGCTTATGTTGCTGCTAGATTCGACCAAAGCGAGCGACCGGGACGCTGAAAAGACTGCGGACTTTATGCTCGCGCGGCTGCACAAGAGCAACTTGAACGTCAAGCTCAAGGCACTGCAGATCATTTCTGTACGTTGGTGCTGGAATGTCGTTGGGTTAGTGACGTGGACCACTAAATTGGGTCCTTGAAGTGTTGCATCCGAGACGGTAGTCGTGCTTTTGCTGAGGTTATTCGAGACAAGGAGCAGGAGGTGGCTGTCTACTTGCGTACGTCGTTGAGTGGGAATTTTCATTGAGCAGAGTGCACCCTGTTGTGTGTGTTTTTGATGACGTGGAACTTTCGCTAATTTGTTGCGGTTGTTGGTGGTTGTGCTGGTTTGTTGTGTGCTGCTTGGCGTTGAGAAAATTGTAGAAATTTCAGGTCTGTCGGATCCAGTGTATGGTGATGAAAAGTACCGCCGTATTCGGGTGGCAGCACAGGTTCGAGAATGTTGGGTATCGCAGACGACAGACGGACGTTATTGTATGCAAATAGGTCACGTCATGTTGTTGGTCTTTCTGTGCTGTAGGAAGCGCTGGTGTGTTTAAATGTCAGTTTCCTCTCGCGTCAGCAGGAAGAGCCGCAGCAGCACGCTCTTCAGGGTAACGATGAAAGCTGGCACGCTTCAACAAGAGACAATGTGCCGGCGTATGGCACTGCTGATAGTGCATGCGATCAAACGGAACGACAGCATATGAGTGTTGGCGGATCGTGGGGACAACAGCAGCCTTCTGGTCGGCCAATGCCTTATCAGGATAATCCGTCCGAAGGCTACAATCGACCATCGGATGGCGGCTATAATGGACCACCTGGAGTGGGCCGTAGTGGACCTCCGGGCGGAGAAGGCAACCGTGGCTTTGGGAGCGATACTAATAACTTTGGGCAAAACGGTGGTAGCATGGGAGGATACGGCACCACCCAAAACTGCCCGCAGAGCACATATGGTCACAGCACACAAGCACCACAGCCACCGCAACGGCAAGCAACCGGCTTTGACTCGTGGTCTACCCATCCAGGATCTGGTATGGCGTCGAAGAGCACCGGCGCCGGTACTTGGAGTAGTTCGGGTTACCAAAAGAAGGACCTTGCAGTGGATAATGAGCCGCGCTACAATCCGTCCGTTAGACGAGACAACCGCCCTACGGTGCTGGTGGGACACGCGCTTAACTTTCCAAAGCCAGCTGGAGCATATGGCAACAGCACTATGGATGTGACGTCAGGACTCGGTGGCTTTCAGAGCGGTACATACAATTCGAACGCTGTTCGCAGCGCTAGCGGTGCAACTGCATTCAATCCGAATCTGATTGAAGGCAGTGCGCCAGGCGGCTTCGCTGGCCACCACCAATTGGGGGGAGCACCATCATATGCTGATGCAACAAGCCGCATAGGCGGCAGTGCTCATCGCATTGGTAGCATGGGCCTTCCTGTCAATGGACAGCCACTCCCAGACGCGCCATCGACGGCTCTCGGTAAGAAAGCAGAAGTGCTGAAAAAGTTAGGTACAGCAGCGCTGGAGAAATGGGACCGCCGCAATATGGACAAGTCGATGGTATCATCCCTGGCTGATCACGACGAGTTGCGGGCCGGCCCTCAAATAGTTGAACATGGTTATTATCAGTCGAACGCTCGACAGGGGGCGGGTGGGGGCGACACCAGCAGGTACTCGTTTTCTTGTGACGTCCGTTGGTGCTGACTGGAATTTGTACTCACGATCGTTTTCACGCAGGGACTATGAGCGCACGATGATCGACAACTTGTGCGCACCGGCAGGTCTTTCGCGCGCGCCGCCTGCTGATGGGCTCAAACGTTTTGTCGATCTTGCACAGACGCTGGATTCTCAAACAATCGGTGACATCGTGCTGGACAAGCTAGAAGACGAGACGTGGCAAGTTCGTCTGAAAGGTCTACACGTCGTACGAGCGCTGCTGGACTCACCAGGCGCAGCAGTGTATGAGGAGTTTTTCGAGGAAAACGTCGAGGTCATTGAAGAGGTTCGTCGTATCATAGCGTATTCAGGTGTGTGATGATCTAGGCTGACGCATTTTTTCTTCCTTAAACAGCTGCTAAAGGATGCCAAATCTAGCGTAGTGTCGAAGGCGCTGCAGGTTTTGCGTGCACTTGGTTACGCGGATGATGCTTACGAGGCTCCGAAGCCTAGCAGCAAACGCGTGGGTGCTACACGATTTCAGCGTGGCAGCTCTCCAAACAAACGTGTACAACAGGAGGTGGACCTACTTGGCTTCGACTCGCTAAGTCTTGAATCGCCTGCTAGTCCTGTCGGCCACGGCGGTACAGGTTCAGTAGACCTCCTTGGTTCTCCTGTCTGCCCACTGCCGCCACCGGCCTTGACGTCTATGCAGGAGGTTTTGGTACGTTGGAGTTCTGTTTTGTGTGCGATGTGCGCAATGTGATCTTAACGTCAGCACACTTGCTTTGTCAAACGCTTTGCAGCTTCTGGGTGACTATAATACGCTAGAGCGTTCCGGTCCTCCCTACGCTCCGCAGCAGCAGCAAGCTGTCCCGAAAATGTACGAGCAGTTCGAGCAAGCTCGTGTTGAGGAGCATATCAAGACATCGAGCCATTACGGAAAGGATCTTTTCTCCGTTGTCGACTCTCCGTGCAGTACAGGAACATCCATTGGTACCGCGTCACGTGCTGGGGCCGTCGATAATGTGTGCTTGAGCGGTAATCGGTCAGCATTCACATTCATGTAATGTACTCGTGCGATCCTGCTGGAGCAGAAGAACTCACACTTGACGAAATAAAGGCATAGGCCATGGTGATAATAAGAACAAACCTTGAATGTTGTATTGCTGCGCGCACTTCTATCGTTCCGCAGTTACGCTCGAGCACGCTTCTTAGAGGAGCCCTTTCCAAGGACGCCTGATCGACGCTTCGCCTTTTTTCCGCAAGCGATGAATCGATCCGGGTCCCACAATTCTTGCCGAACATTGTTGAATGGCCCGTTTAGAATGATCATAACCTTCGTGTCGCGATGATAGGTAAGCCCCGTGATTAGCTTTGGCGTGATCAGGAAGTACTGGGGCAGCTTGCTACCACATGATGACTCGGTGATTCGCTGGAACACCTTACGCTCGTTGTAAACATCCATGCCCTGGTTAATCTCATCAACTACCCGGAATGGGCACTTCGTGAGGCTCTGTAGAGCCATCAAGTACATGATAGTTCCAACAGATTTTTCCTGGAAACCACATCGTAAGCTGACCGACGAAAGGCAGGCTCGACATAAAGCTGACAACGTACCCCTCCAGACTGCTCCTCGGCGGTCATAGTCGAAAGTTTTGTATCTTTACGAAACTGTGCCCGACGTTGGATCCCCCATTTTGCCACGTCCTAAACATTCCAATCCAAAACAGGTCTTATCAGCATAAACCATAGCAGCAGCTAGCGGTGCTTTGACCACAATTTACTTACCGGGTCGTTGTCATCAAGCAGGATTTCGCCAACGCAACCAATACTCTTAAAGAAGTCTCCGAAAGAAGTATCGATATGCTGCACCACTTCCCTAAGTTTTTCGTGCCACTCGCCCTGTTGACCGCACACGGAGTCAACAAACGCTCCACAATACCGCTTCATACATCACAAAAACGCACTTTAATCCCGCTTATTGTATCCTCGCCGCGAGCAACGCGACTTTCCAGGTCTGCCAGGTGAATCTCGTCGTCTCGAATTTCGCCGCACACGGGTTCGTACAGTTCCCGTACACGCCTATCGCCACGGAAGCATTCCAGAGCTGCTTTGTTATTCTCAATCTTGCCTCTCAGCTCATCCAGGTCATCTGGAAGCTCGTTGAACCGTTCTTCGTAAGATTCCCACGACGCCTCCTCCTCTGCTCTATGCTTCAACTGCATGGCTTTTGTAGCTATAGCCAACAGCTGTTCTTTCGCAAGCTTGTAAGCGTTTCGGAGGTCCCTGTTCGAGCGGAAAGTGTAAGCGATAATACGGCCTCGCAATAGATCCATTACAATTCTTACCGTAGGGCAACTTCCATTTGCTTCAGGTACTTTTCTGTGAAATCCACTCGGACTTGCTGTGTACCGAGCTGCAGTGATAGGTATGCCTCGCGAGCAGTGGCTTTGTGCAGATCTTTTAAAAAATGTAGCCAATGCTTTATCTGCTGCGCTTGCCTGTAATGATGCATTTTTGTAACAAAGAGTATCAGTACAATTCGATGACCTGTCACACGCATCGACACTTCGCTCCACGTACTTCAAAGTCTGATTTCTTAACTTCCGAGTCAAGACTTCCTCCCTCTTCGACACGTCCTGTACAGCAAGAATGTAAACATTTCGTGCGTGCAGCCAAAGCAAAGCACCACACCCACCTGTGCAACCTCGCTTTTCAGCGAGTATATCTTGTTATCATTCTCGGCGATCTTATCATCTAAGCGAATAATCGCCATCCGCTGGGAGCGGATTTCTGCGATGCGATGCTGGACTTTTCTTTTTTCTTCCGCATACGTCTTCTCTTGCTCTTTCAGATCAGCCATCTGCGACGCTCATGCGAAAGTAGTACGTATAATCAGAAGGTTAGCCGTCTGCGACGCTCATGCGAAAATAGTACGTGTGGTCGCCTACCTCTTCTCGAATACTCCTCTCCCTAGAACCCAAATCATCCAAAACCTTTTTTATTTCAATCTTCTCGTCTTCCACTGATGTGGAACCCGCCAACAGACGAGGGTTCAGAAGATCGTTTGTACGCGTAGTAACGTTCCGGTTTCCATACTTGGAAACTGTAAAAAGAAGCGCCGTTAGCCACGTCTTCCACGGACGACATCACATACAATCACTGATTTGCAGCAAGAACCTGAGGTAACGTATTTCTTGTACGGAGTCACAAATGCTGCTTTTCGCTCAGCTGACGCGATCTCTGAGAAAATGTGACCACCTTTGTTAATAAAGTCTTCCGTGAGCTGAGAGCCAACCATGACGGTGTGTAGACCACCATGAGCACGAAGAGCTTCGTGCACAATATCCGGAGCAGATACCAGCTTATCACAGCAATCGAAACGTAAATCACCAGACATCTATTTTCAGACGTGCATCGTCGCGTACCTCATCCAAGAAACCCGTCATGCCATACCGTTCGCGATAGTCTTTCATCTTATCGCTCGAGTACGGCCGATTGAAAGCATGGCACTTTCCGTCTTCGACGTTCAAAATCGACGCTTTTATGTGACGATCAGAGTTTCCGCTTTTTAGCTCGTGAAGAATTGTGTTGTAGTCGTCATAGCACTCCGTCACTAACGCGCCTAAAAGCCACTTTGGCAGAGTGTCTTCGACGTACTTCGCATGAATCGTCTCGTTGAGCTTCATCTGTCGTAAAAAAAGGGTAGCATCAGCAATCACGCTAGACGTTAGAAGCACGTAGGATGGAACGGCCATGTAGAGTAAGGTGACCACTTACCTCAAGCGCAACTGGCCCCCATACTTTGCGCTTTAGCCGATGTTGATTGTTTTTTACCCAATCCGCTGCGCGGATACAGTCAGGATCGACCCTCTGAAGAGCTAGTCGACGCTGCACGTCCTCGTTTTCAAGTGTTTCGAGCTTGCTTCTTACCTTCTTCTGCTCATTGTCGATGTAGGACAGCTCGCGAGCAAGAGATTCTCTTTTACTGCGAATTTCTGTCTCCTACGCACCAAAGCAACAAGTCTAGCAGTCAGATTACAAGTGACTGACAGAACCTTCAGTTTATCATCAGTCTCGCGTACCTCAAGATTTTTACCGCGCTGTTCCTTCTCTAACTTCTCTTTTTGCTCTTTAAGATCCGCGTCATCAGCCATGCCCTCGCGCTCCTTTTTCCACTGCAGATGAGCGAGTAAGTTCAGATTTCAACGCACAGATCCGGTCCGATGCATTAAATACGAACCTCCACCATATCCTGTTCCAATCGCTCAAGTTTTCGACGAGCGGAGACGTGCCGGGAGCGTAGCTCTGTGACATCTATCGAAGTCTGATCTTGAGCACTTTCCATAGAGTCGATCTGCAAGTCCACGGTTATTTGCGGTTCGATGCGACGATACAAAACAAATGTGAGGATACGTTTCATCTCGTACATGACTCTTTCCCTGTCGTATTTTTTCGACAAGCTGTCGCTTCTTGTCGTCCACATCTGATAGCCTAATTGTTTGCAGCAGGACCGACCGTTAGCTTCACACCAGCAAACCACCTCCGAGAAGACGGTTAGGACGCACTCGGTTTTAATGTCCTCTAGCTTGATTGATTCTTTCTTGAGAAGATCCACCAAAGGATCAATCTTTTCTTTGCGTTCAATCTACAAGCACATTGCCGTAACAATCATTACCGTCAGCATGACCGTCAGTGAGTCAACCAAACAGGCGACACTCACGCTTATGGCTTCTTTACAGAGCCGCTTTTCCTCCTTTAGCTTCTCCACTTCGAGTTTGGCCTCCTCAAACTCAAGCCACAAACACTTCTTCTCCATCACCGACGTCTACAAGGACCAGCCCATACAGCATCAGTAAACAAAAAGAGCAAAAGGAAACATAGCGATACAAACACATTTCGGCGTCATAAAACAGGACCTCCTCGATTCGGGCTTCATAGTCTTCAATCCGTTCCACCTCGTTCTGCCGTTGTGCGTTCTCACTCTTCTTGAGCCCCAGTGCCGCGCGCGCATGTTCTAGTTCCTATTGACAACCGACAGAAACAGACAGCAAGACGGCACAATTCAGGCATCACTGCAGCCTCGTATCCATGCTTTGCACAGCAAAAAAACACCCACCCGTCTCTTGTCCGACATACTATGCTGCAACTCAATAATCTCCTCGTGCTTGGCAGCCAAATCGCTGTCTGTAATCGCATTCTCCGTGGCTTTCAAAAGCTGCACGGGGTTCATTCTCGAAAACTCGCCGACTTTGTCTTGCGGCAGGAACTGGCATAAGTTGTCAATCTGAATACTGGCTGCCTCCATGATGCTCGTCACGTCCCGGAGCGTCGAGTCCTTGCCGTCGACTTGCCACGTGCTCCTATTGTCTCGAAAAATGTTGCGACGAATGACCTTGTTCTTGTGTGCAAAGAAGAGCTCAATCTCAGTATACCCGCTCTCTTTCTCGTGCCGCACGAACTGCCCCACTTTGTCGGCACGTCCCAGGAGCTGCAGCAACAACACGAAGAGTAGAGCGGAATCACGTCACAGACTGTCTTTCCATAACACTGAATAACTGATTGAATCTTAACGGTTACTTCAGAACACCGCCCAAAAACGACAAAAAACACCTACGCGAGTGCTGCCTGCAAGTCCCACGCAGAGCGCGCAGACGATGGAGCTCTTGCCGGTGCCATTGGGTCCAAGAATCAGATTCAGACGAGGACCTGGAAAGAACTCGGCGTCCGAGTACGTGAGAAAGTTGTGCAGCTTCACGCGGAAGATCGCGCCGTCCACGAACTCGTCACAACTGGTCGAGTCCGCGCTGGCAACGGCGTCGTCGCTCATGATTGACAGCTACACAAAAAGCCCAAGCGACCTCTATTGAGTGATACGACATTTTTTACAAAGCACATGCACCCACCCACTCTGAAGCGATATTGGGTTTTATCCACCCAAAGGACCGACACCAAACACACACACACACATCGCACCACCATCGTCGGACTGTATTGTCAATTTCTATCCTCGTTTCTATCACCTTCGAATGTCGTTTTTAGGCGAGCGAAGCGGCATGGCACAGCTTCTAGTAGCGCAAGCGGCTCGGTCTTCCGTGCCGCTCACGCGCATCAGTAAGCGCTATGCCGTGCTCAAGACGGCACCTCTTCGGAGCTGCAACAAGACGCTGCTCGTGTCGCCGCAGCAGATGCCGTTCACGGGCTTTGAAGTGCTGTTCTTAGGCACTGGCGCAGGTTCACCAGCTGTGCGACGCAATCCGACGAGTGTTTGCGTGCGCTTGGGGCGCAGTAATTGGATGTTTGACTGTGCAGAAGGCAGTCTGCGGCAGATGATCAAGAGCTTCATGTGTGTACCGCACACGACCAAGTTTTTCGTGACGCATTTGCACGGAGATCACGTCTATGGATTGCCAGGCATGCTCTGTACGCTGGACAACCACAGTGCCGAGTACACAGACCCACACACAAAAACCAAGTGTCCCAGACCTATTGACGTCTATGGACCGCTCGGACTGTTTTCGTACTTGAATACGGCCATTTCCACGAGCAGCACGAGACTGACGAACCTCAGAGTTACCGTGCATGAGTTGGTGTGTCCCGTTATGCTGAAGAAGATGTCGGCGCATGAGAAGTTCATGCGGAACGCACCACGACATCCTGTATGTCTTTTGTAGTAGACTGTAAATGTGTGGGACTTCGTAGTAGGTCTGGTGGAATGTGGATGCTGAGTTGTTTGTGTGGTGGAATGCGACGTGCAGAGTCTTCAGTGCAGGTGGATTCACGCTGATACCGAAGGTAACGGTCATGTATGGAAGGTGCTGGATGATGGCAAGTTCATGGTACAAGCGGCTACGTTGAAGCATACGGTTACGAGCTTCGGGTATGCTCTCGCATCATTGTCATTAAGAAATCGGAAATATGGCTCACACGGCATTGATGCTGTGGACACAACAGTTACGTCGTGGAAGAATACCCGTTCCCTGGAAAGTTGGACATCGATGCGCTTCGTAAGCGAGGTCTGCCACCTGGACCGCAGTACCGTACACTAAAGTTGGGTGGTAGTGTCGAGCTGCCGAATGGAGAAACTCTTCATGCGTCCGAGGTTGGTCGATAGTACCGTCTGCCAAACGCATGACTACGGCCGAATCGGGTTTTTGCAGGGTGACTAATGACGTGCATCGCAGGTAATCGGACCAAAGGCTCGCGGACGCAAGGTGGCTATTCTTGGCGATTCTTCGGATTCTTCCAGAATGTTTGATATAGCACAGAACTGTGATGTAAGTGACACCAGCGCTGCATCTTGTGATATATCATGTAAAGCTTACTAACGTGATGTGCTGTCGGATGCTTCCAACAGGTATTGGTCCATGAAGCAACGCTGAGTCATCGAATGGTCAAGCAGGTATGGGCACAGTTTGATGCCTTACAAGGATATTTCGCTGTTTTATTCGATTGCTCTCACGTCGACGATTCTGCAGGCGGTGCATCGTGGCCACTCGACAGCTCGTATGGCAGGATACGCGGCCAAAAAGATGAACGCGACACTACTTGCTTTGACGCATTTCAGCCACCGGTTCCGGCACTGGTCGGAGGATTATACCGCAGTTACAACACTTCATCTGACGTTAGAGGCCCAAGAATCGTTTGGTCGACGAGCGGTTGTACCTGCGTCCGACTTCCTCCGCATTCCTATTCCCCGCCCACCTCACAAATGAACTATTATAGACGAGTGCAAAGGTGTCGTAGGCAGCAGCATTATTGCCGTGCCTGGACTCTGGTTGCTATTTCCCGAGTTTTACTGCTTGAACACTGTTATAGATGTAAAGCGAGTCAGTAGACACCGATACTGATACGTGGATTAGAAGGCATGTAATATCGCTAGTAAAGCTGCGTCTTGCGGTCTTGTTTGGCAACTTCGATCACCTTGACCACGTTGGACGATGACGATACGGAATCGTCGAGTCCATGAACGAGAATAACAACTTCACCATCCATTATCAAGCCCCTTTCTGTTGCGTGTGTAATGGCTCTCATTGTGAGATAATCTATACTAACCATGGATTCCACCAACAGTGCCGTCACGCCTCTGTAGCAGTTACAGTAAGAGCAACAACGTCAGTGCAAGGCTGTCGATCTTCGCCCACCGATAAATTGCGAACGTACCTCGACACCCCAGCAAGCTGATGCGACGTTAAAGCAGAGGATGTAACAGCCAAGATGTTGGCTTTTGGACGATATTTGGCCAGTAACGTCGTGCTGACGCCTGTGTCAGTGATAGAAATGATCAGTTTGGCATTCATGTCCAAAGAGATTTCGACAGCCGAGCTGGCAACAGATTCGGACAGGCTTCCGTGCCGTCGGTTAGCAGCCCGGTGCAGGCTATATAGTTCCGCATAGTCGAGCGCTTGCTCTGCTTCAACGCAAATCCTGGCCATTGTTTCAGCTGCTTCCTTCGGATACATGCCTTTGGCTGTTTCTGCTGATAGCATCATAGCATCGGTGCCGTCTAACACGGCGTTTGCGACATCGGTACATTCTGCGTTGGAAGGAACAACTTTCGTTGTCATGGATTGCAACATTTGTGTGGAGGTGACCACAGGCTTGCCAGCACGGTTGGCTTTACCGATTATCAGCTTCTGCGCTAAAAATACCCGTTCCGGTGATAGCTCCATACCGAGATCGCCACGACTCACATGAATGCCATCAGCCTCAGCAATAATTTCGTCAATATTCTGAAGAGCCTCCTGGCTTTCAATCTTAGCATGAACGCGGATGTGCCGACCTGCTTCGCCAAGACACTCCCGTATTGCGCGCACATTTGCAGCTGAGCGCACAAAAGATCCTGAAACTATATCTACACCATTTGGAATTGCAAAATTCAGCAGATCATCTTTATCCTTTTCCGTGATACCGGGTATTTCAATTGCCGCTCCTATAAATCGCAAGAAGGCAACTTGTACATATGAGCCATAATGCTTCGGCGACAACAGCGAAAAGACGTACCTGGCAGATTCATGTTCTTCTTCTCTTCAAGAACATAGTCATTGTGCACTCGCACAACAATCGACTCTGGCAGGCATTCTAGCACTGTCATAACGAGACTCCCGTCGTCGCACAAAATCGTAGAGCCAATGGATATGGACGTTGGCAGTTGCTCATACGTGCAGGCAACGCGAGAGCTATCACCTTCCACGCCATAATCCGTCGTGATCTCCAGTGTCTGTCCAGCCTAACCGCCGACCCACATACGAAAAGCAGCAATCCTCATTAGATGCATCTTTCCAGCTCCGATCCTCACACAGCCATCCAGATCTACACACACCTTCAGGTGTACAGGCCGATGCCCTTTAAGAAACCCGCTTCGAATCTCTGGTCCTTTTGTATCCAAAAGCACTGCGCAATGACAGCCCGGTCGTGCGGCCATTGCTTCCCTCAGATTATTCAGACTCTTCAAGTGCACTTCATGATCTCCGTGTGAGAAGTTCAACCTGGCAACATCCATCCCGGCATCCAACAGTTGCCCTAGACACACACATGCAAACCATGGAGCGTCATCTTGTGCACATGTTAGCAAAGAACATACTATATGAACCATACCCTACCCAGCATCTCGACCGACCACGATGCTGGTCCAATAGCGCAAATGATCTTCGTCTTGCGCACTTGCGCGCTCGTTGTTGGCGTCAGAATCTGCTTGAGCTCAATACCAACATGGAAACGCTAACAAACCACACGCGACTTGTTACATACAAAGACCCAGTGAAAGTAGTCAATACCGCAAGCGTACCGCAGGGTCACGCGCAATGGACGACGAGTCGGACTTAAACACGCGATCGTACTCTTGCGACAGCGAGCGAAAGTGCTGCCAACTGTCGAGACGGACGGGCGAGAAACCGCTCACTCGGACCTGGTCGTAAGCGGACGAAGGAGTGCGCAAGACGTCTTTGCCGTTAGACCAACGTCGTGACTGCTCTGCACGGGCTATGGTACTCGTTCGCGGGTTTCGACCTGCTGCGTGACGGTCATTTGTCGTGTGACGCATGTGTCAAAAAGAATTGTGACTCCTTGAAGCGAGACGAGATTGTTCGTGGACCTTCTGATTTGATAATGGGTGCACGTTGCGTGTATTCTCATATTTTATACTTTTCCCCGATCCGATGCAGTACCTCTAGGCCCGCGGGTCTTGAGTAAATAGGTACAACAGCTCGTTGAACCCACCCGACCCGCAAGCGAGAACAGGTCGGGTAGTGTCATTTTTTTTGCAATGAGTGACTTAACGAGAGCAACTGACCACCTAGTGCGTCTAGCCCCGACGATCGTACGGGACGACGCCCAGACCTGTGAAGACACGCTATTGCATGATGAACACAACGCTTCTATCATCATGGACGACACGGTATCACGAGAAACGCCGTGGACACCCAAGAGCCTAGGACGAGCGAAGACTGCCATTATTTATAAAGTGATGTGACTTGTGCTATGCTGGTAAGGAGAGTATCTTGTGGAGCGACTGATTTGATGTACCTATTTCTATGTGTATTGGCAATCTTGAGGGCAGCAAACAATGAACGATACGCTGCTCGTATTGGAGCACAGCTTCTTCTTTATCAGTGGATGGGTGTCGTACTTTGTGTCGTTGCAAGAAGATAGCATCCTACTGTTTGCCACGCGCGAGCGATGGGAGCAAGGATACAAGCCCGACAAGGTGCATGAATGTATGGAGTGAGGCACTTGCGTGTTTGCACTGACGTTCTTCAATCTAGGTCATTGACCTGCATCACATGCTGCTGCTTGGAGATATGCACGTCGATGCAGTCGAAGGCTACTCGTCGCTGCAAAACAGCGATGGCAAGTCGCGACTGTTTCGTCGCAAGTTGCTACAAGTCGACAGAGGGGACGAGGTAAAGCTTCTGCGGCTTGATAGACGTCTAGTTACACAGAACATCCCTAAAAACTAAGAAGACGCTGTTTCTTGTGGTGTGTTGCCATTGGCATTAAAGCAGATACATGAGAAGCATCGACAAGGCTTGGTGGATCCTGCCAGAAATAGGGTGGACAAGCAGAGCGCTAGTGCGCACTGCATTCTGGAATTCGGCTCATACAATCAGTGCACATTCGAGTTGTGGACAAAAGCGATTCGCCACGTCTTGGCCGTTAAACGAGAAGCACAGCTGCAAGCATCACGTGGTAACCAGAGCGAAGAACGCACAGGCTCTGAATATGACGATGGCACGGCAAAGTGCTGGGTGTCACCGGGACAAGATTTGAAGGTGACCTTGCTGCAAAGTGAAATTTGGTGCAGCCGCGTGCTCTCTGGAGAAAAGGAGAAAGCCGAGTCGGAAATCCGACGGATCGTAGCAATGGAGAAGTTAGTGGCTCAAGTTGATCACTCTCAGATGGCTTTATTGGTCTACGAGAAGGTAAGTCGCGTGCACGAATTGTTCTCTGCCAACAGTCGGCGAGAAATTGACGGTGTCGATGGACGGGAAGTCCCGATGTCAGCCGAGGTGCTTAACTTCTTTGCAGACCATCTGAAACGGAAATACGCCGTGTTTTTGATCCTCGCGTTGACCTACGGGGTCAATGAGGCGGAAATCCGGGAAGCTCACGAGCGAATGTGTCACGAAAACGCCGCCGTTCATGCAGGAGTTGGTGGCGGTAGTGGCAAGCAGCATCAAACTATTGCTTCTTGTTTTGGGTTTCAAGACCAAGAAAGCATCGAGTTGTACGAAAATTATCGTGAATCAGCTGCCAACTATCACCGAGTAAACTATGGCGACACAACTGCTGCAGAAGAAGAAGATGCGATCATGCATCTGCCCGTTATGCTGCAAGTTGCAGTGGTTCGACAAGACGTTGACGAGTCGAGCGCAATGCTTTCGATTCTCAACACCATCAAGACGCGTTTAAGGGAGCATTGCATGCACGAGGAGAGGCAGTACCCTACATCTTAAAGCTGAATTCTGCATGTGCGACAGCGGCGTCAATGTGGTCGTGGAGCTGGTATACGACGTGACGAAAGTTGCGGTCGGTCACGTACTGCTGCACGAGCAAGGCCAGTCCAGTGCAGTCGCTGCTTTCCTCCGACTTGATTGGACGGATGTCCGAGCTTTCCACAAGAGGGTCAATCTCTAACGCAAACAACAGCACGACACAGCCACACGACATCAACGGTCGGTTTACACTCGGTCGAGTCTGCCTGCCCTGTCTGCTCGTACCCCATGTATCCATCATCAACTCGGCAGCTCGTAGAGCCTCCTCTTGATCTCGGAAACGAACGCTAGCGCACCAATCAAGTCGTTAGATTCTACACGAAGAACGCAGTGGTTCCTTGCTTTTGTGTTACGTCAGGGCATTGCCGGTTTTGATTACGTCAACACGCAACAGTCGTCCTCGAACCCGCACGCACTTGATGTTGTTGTGCGAGATGCAAAGCACAGCAGCAGCAGACGTGGAAGGTCCTGCGCATAGCTTCAGGTTGCGATCGCCCACCGTCAGCACAAAGGATCGACGTAGGGCCTGAAGACCTCGACGAGCGCCGCTGTCTCGTCGTTGTCGCACGACTTGCACGTCAAACATGAGGAAATGGGCAACTTCAACATCAAGGCAGCAATGTGCACTGGGTTTCGGGTCGGGTTCAACCCAGTGGGTGACCATCACTCTCGTGTTGAAGTAGTGGAGGGTATAGAGCCGTTTTGCACTCAAGCAAATGATAGCTCGGACGGAAAGGATGCCTGTTTTTTGTGCAACTGGCTGGCGACAAATCAATCAACGAGTTAGAACATAAATTGGACATGTACGATGCGTTGATCTGGATCGTCGCCACTGCGGGCGGGTGGGGGAGACGGTCCGTAGTTTCTGCAGTCTTACTTGGCCGAAGTGCAATGTGTGCGCAGCTGCATGCCCTCGTGACCTTCCTTTAAAGTCTAAGATAGGGAAGAAAGCTGAGAGAGAAGCAGACGTGTTTACTTAACCTATTTATGGTTGCAGGATGTCTGATATTGCTGAAGCCTGGTTAGCAACGCCGGTGTCTCAAACGGATCCGGTGGTTGTACGGGGCTCCTCACCCGAGGTGATGACTCTCTTGGTTGCCTGGCTACTTGTCTGAGACATGATAGCAGCCGCGCTCCTTGAATTTTCGTGTCGGCCCGTCGATACACCCGCTTTGCGACCGCCCGGAATTGCCGCAGGCCGGTGTGCCAAAATTCCTCGACGCCGCCTTCTATTGTTAAGCTCTCCCTGAGGAACGCAACGCGATTTCTCTGTATCCACAAGCTTGTAATGCAGACGCTGCTCAAAATACGCCACAATCGTGCCCAGACCATCGCATAGGCACGTTCTATGTCGGGATGCTCGCGTTCAATACGATCTACTGTAACGGGGTGAATCGTTGCATAACAATTTATAAGAAATTGTTAATAGAATATAACTAAAAGAGTTATATTCTCAGAACATTGTCATAAGGACAAATGTTCTGTAGCACTTTCGAGTAGTTCCTAATTGGTTGATATAGGCCATTATATCAAACAGCGAAGACGCGCCACGACAGACGCACGCAATGAGTGGTGAGCAGATATTTGATTTACACATTTGTATTCAGACATAGTTAGATGAGGATAAACAGTGATTTATTGCAGACATTAACTATGCTAAATACAGTTCTACTTTTTGCATAAACTAAGTACTCGCTTCTTCTTACCGTCTTCCTCTGCACGTACGAGTGTACGTGAAGTTCCGAGGCACCGCCTTATTCTGTCATCAGAATAAGTAGCTTGTACTGTCACCAGTACAAGCTTCAGGGTGCCCCGTTACACCTGGTCGCACTTCGTAGTCCGTCCAAGGACCACGTTCACATCTAACATGAATATGTTGGATGATGAAGATGACCAAAGCTTTCACGCTACACGTGACGGCTACTCCCATTTGAGCGATGTCGAATGGGATGCGGTTGAACGGATGGGTTCGACCATGGGCACCCATGCTGTTAGCGTCATGCTAGAGGCTCTCAATAGAGATGCCCAACTTGCTACTATCGCCAAGTTCATTCAAAATGAACTTGACGCTGAACGCGAAAAAGTAGCCTTGATTCACCAACAAGGCTCTCAACAAGCAGAGTTTTTGAGACAGCAGCAGGCTGCTGCTGGTGGGTCGATGCACTCGCGTCGACCCGAGACTTTGAAGATTGACATCTCTAAGTATAATGGAGTCGAAGAGGACTCCCTCTTGAGATGGTTCGTCGAATCGGATGACGCCATAAGGGCGCGTCGCATCGACGACGGGGATATGCAAGTTGCATTTGCCCAGTCAAATCTGGCAGGACGTGCCAAGACTTGGGCTTTGGGACTAAAGTTGCACGACCCATGTGCGTTTGAGTCGTTGGAAGTCTTCAAGTCGCGGCTCAGACAAGCGTTTGAACCGCCTAGAGCTGAGTTCAGAGCTCGAACTGAACTCTTGAAGCTCAAACAAGGTAAGCGTGATGTGCACGCTTACGCGCAACATATACGACATCTTACGAGTTGTATAAGTTCCAATCCGGTGGATGAACACACGCTGGTTTCGGTGTTCATGCAGAGTCTTGCAGATGGTCCCGTCAAGACTCACCTGTTCCGGCTTGAACTAGATTCACTAGAACAAGCCATTTCCATTGCGGAACAGGAAGACTTCAGTCTGAGACAGGCTCGCGCCAGCTCGACATCATATCGTCAACCAAGACGATATGACAGCGGAAGTCCAGAGCCAATGGAACTCTGTTATGTAGAGAGCGAGAAGGCTCGCTCTACAGACTACAAGAAGTTGCAGAAATGCAACAGATGTCATAAGACAGGACACTACGCTTACGAGTGTAGTGCCCCTCGTCCAGTGTCTCGCAACACTGGGCGTAGTGACCGTTCACCCATGAGAAAGGGGCAGGGACGAGGGTCCGCTGTTGGTGCAAAGACGCAACAACAGGATGGACCGTCAAAAAACGGATAGGATCAGTAGGTGCGGAGCACCACCTACTGGTCCAGCAACGTCAAGAGAATTTGTAGGCCTCTTGATGAAGGTTGCTCCCAACACACAAACGTTTTGCGTTGCTGCTCTAGGTAATGAGATCTCACTCATTACCTTGAAACTCGAAGTGACGAATAAGTTGTCTCTTCGAGCTCTAGTCGATTGTGGGGCGTCCAACAATTTTGTGCGACGCCAATCGCTAGAAGATGGTCACTTTAAGTTCAGTGAATGTGACACACCTCCTACGAGGATGATGGTACGTCTTGCGACAGGCGCATCCGTAACCGTCATGAAGCGTATAGTGAACATCCACTATACGCTAGAAGATACCCAATATGACGATGACTTTATCGTATTGGATTCGGATGACAAATTTGATGTCATCCTTGGAATACCGTGGCTCAGAAGGTACGAACCACGGGTAAACTGGCAACATCGAACAGTAACGATGCCTGCCGCTTGTTCATCAGATGGCCATCTGATGAACGTTTTGGAGCGTCCACAAGCGTGTGGATGTACTACGAGTGAGTGCGATGGCCTCACTTGTGGTACGGTCGTTAGTACGACTGCACAAAACCTTAGTGTAACAAACGGTTACACTTCGGAGCAAAGTTCCGGCGGCTGTGAGGAAACACAGGCTGCGCCGAAGGTCCACCACTCGAATAAGTCGGGTGGACTGGGACAAAGATGTATCCCTAGCGGGGAACATCTAGAAGAGAAACAATCGATCGCTCAGGTTAAGCGAAACGATAATCCTAGATTGACTGGAGAGTCTTTCGTAGAGGATCTCGCTGTGGTTGCGCAACCCCAGCTAGAGGAAGTAAAGGGAATAAGTCCCAAGATTACAAATACGGCGAAAATAAGTTCCCCGATACCCGCGGGAATAAGTCCCCGGGAAGACGAAGGAATGAGTCCTTCGAAGCCTGAGGGAATAAGTCCCCAGGAAATGACAGAGACATTGAATGTCATAGTCAATAACGGATCAAGTGTAGGCGCTTATACACTTGATCTGATTGCGCCTCCGAAGTTGACTTCGGAGATCACTCAGTTGCCAACGCTCGAACATAAAAGGTTCTTGCGTGATCTGCGTAGTGGCAAAGTCAAGCAGATCTGCGTACTCGTCGCTGACGACGAGTGTGTAACCGACATAAGGTCAGCAACAGTGTTTACTGAGAACGAGAGAGTTCTCAGTAGTTCATCTATGGACGAGAGTGTCCTAGATGAAAAGACACGAGTTGAGGTATATGACTCCCAATCGTGGGAATCGCTCAAGACAAATCCTCTCTATGAAGATTTGGTTGAATTCAAGGATGTATTCCCTGAAACTGTTCCGTGCGAATTACCGAAGGATAAAGGTATTTGACACGAGGTCGAGCTTAAACCAGGCTCGAAGTACTGTGTCATGAAGCAGTGGCCACTGCCTCGTGAACAAGTACTTGCGGTCGACAAGTTCTTTGCCGATTGTTTAGCTGCAGGCCATGTGAGGGAATCAACTTCCCCACATAGCTCTCCGACCTTCTGTGTGCGAAAAGCAACAGGAGGGTGGCGGATAGTGCATGCATTTAACAAGTTGAATGCTGCGACGGTACCGGCTCGGACGCCGATACCGAGGAAGGACGTAATCATTGATGGTATGTCAAAGAGTACCATCTTTTCGTCCATGGATTTGATGGATGGCTTCTATCAAATCCTTATGCGAGAACGGGATATACCCTATACCGCAGTTAGCACGCCTAGCGGCATGCTCTGGGAATGGCTAGTAATGCCACAAGGGCTTAGTAATTCCTCTGCCACGTTCAACAGATGTGTATCACATCTATTGAGACCAGTACGAGAATTCGCGCCGAGTTATTTCGACGACGTATTCATCCATAGTCGGGCTATGGATGGAAAGTCGGATGTTGAAGTTCACAGGTACCACGTCCGACAGGTTCTTACAATCATGCGAAAGCATCAATTGTATGCAAACCTCACAAGTGCGAAACCCAATTGTAAAACCTCAAGAAGTGTATATTTGCAGCAAGCGAAATACCACTTCTTGGGTGCATCGTTGGTAAGAACGGTGTACGTCCTGATCCCGAAAAGATCAAGGCGATCACCGACTGGCCTGTGCCAGTTGGTGTCAAAGGTCTTCGAAAATTTCTTGGGCTAGCGGCGTACTTGCACAAGTATTCACGCAATTACGCCGAGATGACTGTGCACCTCTCTCGTTTGTTGAAAAAGAACGAGAGGTGGTTATGGAACGCTGAATGTCAGCGCTCTTTGATGGTATCAAGCAGAGCTTGATGCAATCCCCAGTTCTAGCAATAGCCGATCAGGACAGGCCATTTCATGTGGTCTGTGATGCCAGCGATTTCGCAATCGGATGTGCACTAATGCAGTACGATCTTGAAGGCGTTGAACGTTAACGCGTCGTCTGCTATCAGTCGCGTCAGCTGCAACCAGCTGAGCGGAACTATTCAGTGCATGACAAGGAACTCCTTGCCATGAAGTATGCACTCGCGAAGTTCAGAGTCTATCTATTAAGAGATAGACCCTTCATTGTTTACACTGACCATGCGTCATTACGCACGGCAGTGAACAGCCCGCACCTTTCACAACGAATGGCGCGGTGGTTGTCATTCTTTGCAGACTACAGCTTTACGGTTGAGTACAAACCAGGCAGACTTTATGTCGTCGCTGATGCACTCTCACGTCGTCCCGACTTTGAACCAGTCGTGAAACCCAACAGTGAGACAGTCACTGCTGCGGTTATGACGTCCAGAATGCCATCGTCAACGTTGTATGATGATGTGAGGCGGGCATACGCCCAAGATGGTGAGATTGTGAAGTTGTTGGCACATCTCTCACAACCATCTCGAGAATCGTTGAAACGATTGTCGTCTGCGTATCGATCTGCATCAGATCGATACACTACTCGCAACGGTTTACTGTATTATACAGCCGTTTCTGGTGACACACCACGTGTTGTCATTCCAGATGATACTGATCTGCGTTTGCGGATCATGTTCGAGTATCACGATGCTCCTATAGGATGATATCGTGGCCGGGAGAAAACATATCTCACGGTGAGTCGAGACTTTTACTGGCCCCGCCAGTATCAGTTTGTGCGAAAGTATGTTCGCGCATGCGAAGTCTGTCAACTTGTGAAGTCAAGTCCTTCACTGCGTGCACCTTTACAGCCTCTACCGGTTCCGGCTGAGTGCTGGGTTCCATCTCAATGAATTTCGTCTTCGGGTTACCCAACGACGCATGCGGAAATACGGGTATTCTCGTATTTGTTGACAGATTCAGCAAAATGGTACACCTAGTGGCTGTACCAGAGTCAATCACAGCAAGTGGCTATGCTTGTGTCTTTATTGACACCATCTTCCGACTTCATGGGTTGCCCCGTGAACTCGTATCAGACAGAGATCCACGATTCACTGCTGATTTCTGGCGTTCCGTGTTCAAATCACTCGGAACGCGCTTGAAGATGTCTACATATGATCATCCAGAGTCAGATGGTCAGACGGAACATGCCGATCGTGTCCTTGAAGAGATACTTCGAGGATACGTACACTCCTTTAAGAGTTGGAGTGAGTTTTTGCCAATGGTAGAGTTTTCCATTAACAACTCGGTGCATGCGTCCACGACACATACACCGTTTTACGTGAATGGCTTGCGCCATCCGCGTGTACCCACCTTACTCGAGTGTAACTCTGGTTTAAGGGGGGGAGACTCGCGCGAGCAAAAACCGATTTGGTTCACGCTCATCACGCTCTGACGAAGAGGTCATTGCGTTTGATGCCGATATCGACAACGTCGATATCGAAGAAGATGATGCCAGTGAGAGTGCGGAAGCCCTCACTGAAGAAAAGATTGTTGTTGCTGCAGTGCACTCACAGCGCACTGACGCTAACAAGTCATCAGATGGGTTCATACTGGCTCGTGAAACGGTAGTCCGTTTTGTGCAAGATTCCATCGCCGATGTGGTGGATAAGCAAAAGCAAAACGCTGACAAGAATGGAAGGGCAAACACTTTTATTTTAATAAAGGTGACCTAGTCCTACTGTCTACGGTTAATCTACCAAAGCTTGTAGTGACTAACTTGGGTAGCAGTAAACTACTACCCAAGTACATCGGCCCATTTCGTGTATTGCACCGCCTAGGCAATGCATACACAATCGAGTTGCCACGTAAGATGCGAATGCATCCCACGTTTTACGTTGGTCGGCTTAAGCTGTACCATCAGTACGCTGCTTCTTCCGATGAAGAACGCCCTTGCGCTCAAGCATCTTGCAGAGAGCCTTGTGCTCCCGATGGTGGGCATCGACAAGGGTCTGAAGAGCAGTTATCTCATCCCGAGACCGATCAACAATCCCACGAGCTACCCTTAGCTCGTCACGAAGAGATGTCAGAGCTCTCTCGTTCTCAAGCTGAGCAAAGGCAAACTCAGCTCGATGCTTCGAGACAGTGTCCGCCATTTGGAGACGCCTGTCCCGCTCATGTTCGAGATCACCGCGTTAGCCCTTGCGTTACGCGATCAAAGAAGCTCTCGGGAACACACGGATCCCCACGATCGTGTGGAGAGCGCCTTTCCTCCTCCTCCACCTCCATTAGAGGAACTCTCGCGGTGGCCAGCGCTATCTAGTTGAGCAGCTGATGAACCACCGCGACGTGAACGGACGTCGGACGAGTTATCTCGTCCGGTGGCGCGGCTATCCCCCGTCCTGGGATACTTGGGAGCCCCGCTCCCAACTGATTGTTGACGTACTGGGTCTAGTTGAGCAGTACGACGTGGCACATCCTGTGCCGCAGAATGACCGCCGGAGAAAGTCTTCCCGGCACGGTCGTAAAGGGATTTCAGGCTGTCAATCCCTTCGTACATTTCAGTAGAGATACGTACGCGCCACCACGGGCTAGTAAGGAGGTAAGCCTCCTTAAGTGCTCGTGCAGAGTTGTTCACACAACATGGGCACGAGTCTCCCCAAGAGAGACAGGGTAACCCACCCTCCTTAGACAGACGATGCAGCTTGTAGCGTGCACCTGTCAGGGTTCGCTTTTCAAACTTATCACGAGCTTTGATAAGTTTGTCGTTCCAAGCGTCACGACCTACATCCCCAAGGTTATGGATGTAGGCGTTCCACGCTTGAAGTAGTGAGGGACCATCACGCTTGTGATTCCCACTGTACCATCGATGTCTAAAGAAAGCATCGATGAAGAACTCATTCTCAGCGCGATAGTTTTTCGCGCTGGGGTCAAGGTGATGGATCCTTGACGAATCGAACAACCGTGTTCGATAACGATCACTCGTCGTCGCCGACAAGTGATCCATGACAGATTTAGAAGGCATCCACGCCTTCTTCTCAGGAGCGAGACGCAAGACATTGCGGTCCCGCTCTTCCTGCGACGTGCCGACAGAAGGACTGGCACCTCGTTGCGAAGTGGTGTCCATAGGAGAATCGACACCACTGCTAGCGCCCGAGTCTCGCGACCTCGAGCGCCTTCGCTTCGGCGATGGTTCATCTGATTCATCGTATGAACCAAAGATGCTACGACGCATAACATCATCCATGCCACGCTTGGCAGGCGGCTTGGATTCGATCGCCGTCGATACGGATCCGTCTTCCGTATCAGGATAGTATGAGACACCGAGCTCATACTCTGTGAAGACATGAGTGCCTTCATGAACAGCGCCTGCATCACCAAGTGACACAGGCTGGGTCGCTTCAGCAACCGATGAGACATCAGTTGCTGTGGTTTCTGCTTCGGCGTCCGCACAGAGACGTGCGGACGCGCTCTCGGCGGCCTTGCTCGCGCATCGCATGGGCTTGTTAACCATGCGATGAGATGTTGGAAAGTGGACTCGGACCAACAAGTGCAAACCCTGTCCCAAATAATTTGGGACGAGTATCCATTTTAGTCAATCAGTCACTAAAGTGACTGATGGTTAAGGGGGGGGTGATGTAATGGGGTGAATCGTTACATAACAATTTATAAGAAATTGTTAATAGAATATAACTAAAAGAGTTATATTCTCAGAATATTGTCATAAGGACAAATGTTCTGGAGCACTTTCGAGTAGTTCCTAATTGGTTGATATAGGTCATTATATCAACCAACGAAGACGCGCCACGACGGACGCACGCAATGAGTGGTGAGCAGATATTTGATTTACACATTTGTATTTAGACATAGTTAGATTAGGATAAACAGTGATTTATTGCAGACATTAACTATGCTAAATACAGTTCTACTTTTTACTATAACTAAGTACTCGCTTCTTCTTACCGTCTTCCTCTGCACGTACGAGTGTACGTGAAGTTCCGAGGCACCGCCTTATTCTGTCATCAGAATAAGTAGCTTGTACTGTCACCAGTACAAGCTTCAGGGTGCCCCGTTACAAACTGGACTTTCACGCCGATTTTGCAAAACACGATCAGCAAAGTGAGATGGACCAGGCTGAAACCACTTAATCAGTGAGCCTCTGCTTCCAAGAAAGACTGTGACAGCTATAAGGGGGGGAATAGGCTCCCGACCACCAAAACACCTACAAGACGGTCATTTTTAACCCGGCCGTGAACAACTTACAGGACATTGCAACGTTACGGGCGCTATGCATGCAGCCGACAACGTCCAACACCGGTAGTCGTCTTCGTACAGGCACGCTTGACGAGTGGCGCATCATCACTGGTGTAACGGGGCACCCTGAAGCTTGTAATGGTGACAGTACAAGCTACTTATTCTGATGACAGAATAAGGCGGTGCCTCGGAACTTCACGTACACTGGTACGTGCAGAGGAAGACGGTAAGAAGAAGCGAGTACTTGGTTAAAGTAAAAAGCAGAACTGTATTTAGCATAGTTAATGTCTGCAATAAATCACTGTTTATCCTCATCTAACTATGTCTAAATACAAATGTGTAAATCAAATATCTGCTCACCACTCATTGCGTGCGTCTGTCGTGGCGCGTCTTCGTTGGTTGATATAATGGCCTATATCAACCAATTAGGAACTACTCGTAAGTGCTACAGAACATTTGTCCTTATGACAATATTCTGAGAATATAACTCTTTTAGTTATATTCTATTAACAATTTCTTATAAATTGTTATGTAACGATTCACCCCATTATATCACCCCCCCTTAACCATCAGTCACTTTAGTGACTGATTGACTAAAATGGATACTCGTCCCAAATTATTTGGGACAGGGTTTGCACTGTTGGTGGTCGCGAGTCCACTTTCCAACATCTCATCGCATGGTTAACAAGCCCATGCGATGCGCGAGCAAGGCCGCCGAGAGCGCGTCCGCACGTCTCTGTGCGGACGCCGAAGCAGAAACCACAGCAACTGATGTCTCATCGGTTGCTGAAGCGACCCAGCCTGTGTCACTTGGTGATGCAGGCGCTGTTCATGAAGGCACTCATGTCTTCACAGAGTATGAGCTCGGTGTCTCATACTCTCCTGATACGGACGACTGATCCGTATCGACGGCGATCGAATCCAAGCCGCCTGCCAAGCGTGGCATGGACGATGCTTTGCGTCGCAGCATCTTTGGTTCATACGATGAATCAGATGAACCATCGCCGAAGCGAAGGCGCTCGAGGTCGCGAGACTCGGGCGCTAGCAGTGGTGTCGATTCTCCTATGGACACCACTTCGCAACGAGGTGCCAGTCCTTCTGTCGGCACGTCGCAGGAAGAGCGGGACCGCAATGTCTTGCGTCTCGCTCCTGAATAGAAAGCATGGCTGCCTTCTAAATCTGTCATGGATCACTTGTCGGCGACGATGAGTGATCGTTATCGAACACGGTTGTTCGATTCGTCAAGGATCCATCACCTTGACCCCAGCGCGAAAAACTATCGCGCTGAGAATGAGTTCTTCATCGATGCTTTCTTTAGACATCGATGGTACAGTGGGAATAACAAGCGTGATGGTCCCTCACTACTTCAAGCGTGGGACGCCTACATCAATAACCTTGGGGATGTAGGTCGTGTCGCTTGGAACGACAAACTTATCAAATCTCGTGATAAGTTTGAAAAGCGAACCCTGACAGGTGCACGCTACAAGCTGCATCGTCTGTCAAGGGAGAAGGGATTACCCTGCCTCTCTTGTGGAGACTCGTGCCCATGTTGTGTGAACAACTCTGCACGAGCACTTAAGGAGGCTTACCTCCTTACTAGCCCGTGGTGGCGCGTACGTATCTCTACTGAGATGTACGAAGGGATTGACAACCTGAAATCCCTTTACGACCGTGCCGGGAAGACTTTCTCCGGCGGTCATTCTGCGGCACAGGATGTGCCACGTCGTACTGCTCAACTAGACCCAGTACGTCAACAATCAGTTGGGAGCGGGGCTCCCAAGTATCCCAGGACGGGGGATAGCCGCGCCACCGGACGAGATAACTCGTCCGACGTCCGTTCACGTCGCGGTGGTTCATCAGCTGCTCAACTAGATAGCGCTGGCCACCGCGAGAGTTCTCTAATGGAGGTGGAGGAGGAGGAAAGGCGCTCTCCACACGATCGTGGGGATCCGTGTGTTCCCGATAGCTTCTTTGATCGCGTAACGCAAGGGTAACGCGGTGATCTCGAACATGAGCGGGACAGGCGTCTCCAAATGGCGGACACTGTCTCGAAGCATCGAGCTGAGTTTGCCTTTGCTCAGCTTGAGAACGAGAGAGCTCTGACATCTCTTCGTGACGAGCTAAGGGTAGCTCGTGGGATTGTTGATCGGTCTCGGGATGAGATAACTGCTCTTCAGACCCTTGTCGATGCCCACCATCGGGAGCACAAGGCTCTCTGCAAGATGCTTGAGCGCAAGGGCGTTCTTCATCGGAAGAAGCAGCGTAGTGATGGTACAGCTTAAGCCGACCAACGTAAAACGTGGGATGCGTTCGCATCTTACGTGGCAACTCGATCGTGTATGCATTGCCTAGGCGGTGCAATACACGAAATGGGCCGATGTACTTGGGTAGTAGTTTACTACTACCCAAGTTAGTCACTACATGCTTTGGTAGATTAACCGTAGACAGTAGGACTAGGTCACCTTTATTAAATAAAAAAGTGTTTGCCCTTCCATTCTTGTCAGCGTTTTGCTTTTGCTTATCCATCGCTTCGGCGATGGAGTCTTGAACAAAATGGACTAGCGTTTCACGAGCCAGTATGAACCCATCTGATGACTTGTTAGCGTCAGTGCGCTGTGAGTGCACTGCAGCAACAACAATCTTTTCTTCAGTGAGGGATTCCTCGCTCTCACTGGCATCATCTTCTTCGATATCGACGTTGTCGATATCGGCATCAAACGCAATGACCTCTTCGTCAGAGCGTGATGAGCGTGAACCAAATCGGTTTTTGCTCGCGCGAGTCTCTCCCCCCCTTAAACCAGAGTTACACTCGAGTAAGGTGGGTACACGCGGATGGCGTAAGCCATTCACGTAAAACGGTGTATGTGTCGTGGACGCATGCACCGAGTTGTTAATGGAAAACTCTACCATTGGCAAAAACTCACTCCAACTCTTAAAGAAGTGTATGCATCCTCGAAGTATCTCTTCAAGGACACGATCGGCATGTTCCGTCTGACCATCTGACTCTGGATGATCAGATGTAGACATCTTCAAGCGCGTTCCGAGTGATTTGAACACGGAAAGCCAGAAATCAGCAGTGAATCGTGGATCTCTGTCTGATACGAGTTCACGGGGCAACCCATGAAGTCGGAAGATGGTGTCAATAAAGACACAAGCACAGCCACTTGCCGTGATTGACTCTGGTACAGCCACAAGGTGTACCATTTTGCTGAATCTGTCAACAAATACGAGAATACCCGTATTTCCGCGTGCGTCTTCGGGTAACCCGAAGACGAAATTCATTGAGATGGAACCCAGCACTCAGTCGGAACCGGTAGAGGCTGTAAAGGTGCACGCAGTGAAGGACTTGACTTCACTCGTTGACAGACTTCGCATGCGCGAACATACTTTCGCACAAACTGATACTGGCGGGGCCAGTAAAAGTCTCGACTCACCGTGAGATATGTTTTCTACCGGCCACGATGTCCTCCTATAGAAGTATCGTGATACTCGAACATGATCCTCAAACGCAGATCAGTATCATCTGGAATGACAACACGTGGTGTGTCACCAGAAACGGCTGTATAATACAGTAAACCGTTGCGAGTAGTGTATCGATCTGATGCAGATCGATACGCAGACGACAATCGTTTCAACGATTCTCGAGATGGTTGTGAGAGATGTGCCAACAACTTCACAATCTCACCATCTTGGGCGTATGCCCGCCTCACATCATCATACAACGTTGTAGATGGGACTGAGGACGTCATAACCGCAACAGTGACTGTCTCACTGCTGGGTTTCACGACTGGTTCAAAGTCGGGACGACGTGAGAGTGCATCAGCGACGACATAAAGTCTGCCTGGTTTGTACTCAACCGTAAAGTTGTATTCTGCAAAGAATGAAAACCACCGCGTCATTCGTTGTGAAAGGTGCGGGCTGTTCACTGCCGTGCGTAATGACGCATGGTCAGTGTAAACAATGAAGGGTCTATCTCTTAATAGATAGACTCTGAACTTCGCGAGTGCATACTTCATGGCAAGGAGTTCCTTGTCATGCACTGAATAGTTCCGCTCAGCTGGTTGCAGCTGACGCGACTGATAGCAGACGACGCGTTAAACGCCTTCAAGATCGTACTGCATTAGTGCACATCCGATTGCGAAATCGCTGGCATCACAGACCACATGAAATGGCCTGTCCTGATCGGCTATTGCTAGAACTGGGGATTGTATCAAGCTCTGCTTGATACCATCAAAGAGCGCTGACATTCAGCGTTCCATAACCACCTCTCGTTCTTTTTCAACAAACGAGAGAGGTGCACAGTCATCTCGGCGTAATTGCGTGAATACTTATGCAAATACGCCGCTAGCCCAAGGAATTTTCGAAGACCTTTGACATCAACCGGCACAGGCCAGTCGGTGATCGCCTTGATCTTTTCAGGATCAGGACGTACACAGTTCTTACCAACGATGCACCCAAGAAGCGGTATTTCGCTTGCTGCAAATATACACTTCTTGAGGTTTGCATACAATTGATGCTTTCGCATGATTGTAAGAACCTGTCGGACGTGGTGCCTGTGAACTTCAACATCCGACTTTCCATCCATAGCTCGACTATGGATGAATACGTCATCGAAATAACTCGGTGCGAATTCTCGTACTGGTCTCAATAGATGTGATACACATCTGTTGAACGTGGCAGAGGAATTACTAAGCCCTTGTGGCATTACTAGCCATTCCCAGAGCATGCCGCTAGGCGTGCATACTGCGGTGTAGGGTATATCCCGTTCTCGCATAAGGATTTGATAGAAGCCATCCATCAAATCCATGGACGAAAAGATGGTACTCTTTGACATACCATCAATGATTACGTCCTTCCTTGGTATCGGCGACCGAGCCGGTACCGTCGCAGCATTCAACTTGTTAAATGCATGCACTATCCGCCACCCTCCTGTTGCTTTTCGCACACAGAAGGTCGGAGAGCTATGTAGGGAAGTTGATTCCCTCACATGGCCTGCAGCTAAACGATCGGCAAAGAACTTGTCGATCGCAAGTACTTGTTCACGAGGCAGTGGCCACTGCTTCATGACACAGTACTTCGAGCCTGGTTTAAGCTCGACCTCGTGTCAAATACCTTTATCCTTCCGTAATTCGCACGGAACAGTTTCAGGGAATAAATCCTTGAATTCAACCAAATCTTCATAGAGAGGATTTGTCTTGAGCGATTCCCACGATTGGGATTCATATCGCTCAACCCGTGTCTTTTCATCTAGGGCACTCTCGTCCATAGATGAACTACTGAGAACTCTCTCGTTCTCAGTAAGCACTGTTGCTGACCTTATGTCGGCTACACACTCGTCGTCAGCGACGAGTACGCAGATCTGCTTGACTTTGCCACTACGCAGATCACGCAAGAACCTTTTATGTTCGAGCGTTGGCAACTGAGTGATCTCCGAAGTCAACTTCGGAGGCGCAATCAGATCAAGTGTATAAGCGCCTACACTTGATCCGTTATTGACTATGACATTCAATGTCTCTGTCATTTCCTGGGGAATTATTCCCGCGGGTTTCGGGGAGCCTATTTCCGCCGTATTTGTAATATCGGGACTTATTCCCTTAACTTCCTCTAGCTGTGGTTGCGCAACCACAGCGAGATCCTCTACGAAAGACTCTCCAGTCGATCTAGGATTATCGTTTCGCTTAACTTGAGCGATCGATTGTTTCTCTTCTAGATGTTCCCCGCTAGGGATACATCTTTGTCCCGGTCCACTCGACTTATTCGAGTGGTGGACCTTCGGCGCAGCCTGTGTTTCCTCACAGCCGCCGGAACTTTGCTCCGAAGTGTAACCGTTTGGTACACTAAGGTTTTGTGCAGTCGTACTAACGACCGTACCACAAGTGAGGCCATCGCACTCACTCGTAGTACATCCACACGCTTGTGAACGCTCCAAAACGTTCATCAGATGGCTATCTGATGAACAAGCGGCAGGCATCGTTACTGTTCGATGTTGCCAGTTTACCCGTGGTTCGTACCTTCTGAGCCACGGTATTCCAAGGATGACATCAAATTTGTCATCCAAATCCAATACGATAAAGTCATCATCATATTGGGTATCTTCTAGCGTATAGTGGATCTTCACTATACGCTTCATGACGGTTACAGATGCGCCTGTCGCAAGACTTACCGTCATCCTCGTAGGAGGTGTGTCACATTCACTGAACTTAAAGTGACCATCTTCTGGCGATTGGCGTCACACAAAATTGTTGGACGCCCCACAATCGACTAGAGCTCGAAGAGACAACTTATTCGTCACTTCGAGTTTCGAGGTAATGAGTGAGATCTCATTACCTAGAGCAGCAACGCAAAACGTTTGTGTGTTGGGAGCAACCTTCATCAAGAGGTCCACAAATTCTCTTGACGTTGCTGGACCAGTAGGGTGCTCCGCACCTACTGATCCTGTCCGTTTTTTGACGGTCCATCCCGTTGTTGCGTCTTTACACCAACAGCGGACCCGCGTCCCTGCCCCTTTCTCATGGGTGGACGGTCACTACGCCCAGTGTTGCGAGACACTGGACGAGGGGCACTACACTCGTAAGCGTAGTGTCCTGTCTTATGACATCTGTTGCATTTCTGCAACTTCTTGTAGTCTGTAGAGCGAGCCTTCTCGCTCTCTACATAACAGAGTTCCATCGGCTCTGGAATTCCGCTGTCATATCGTCTTGGTTGACGATACGATGTCGAGCTGGCGCGAGCCTGTCTCAGACTGAAGTCTTCCTGTTTCGCAATGGAAATGGCTTGTTCTAGTGAATCTAGTTCAAGCCGGAACAGGTGAGTCTTGACGGGACCATCCGCAAGACTCTGCATGAACACCGAAACCAGCGTGTGTTCATCCACCGGATTGGAACTTATACAACTCGTAAGATGTCGTATATGTTGCGCGTAAGCGTGCACATCACGCTTACCCTTCTTGAGCTTCAAGAGTTCGGTTCGAGCTCTGAACTCAGCTCTAGGCGGTTCAAACGCTTGTCTGAGCCGCGACTTGAAGACTTCCAACGACTCAAACGCACATGGGTCGTGCAACTTTAGTCCCAAAGCCCAAGTCTTGGCACGTCCTGCCAGATTTGATTGGGCAAATGCAACTTGCATATCCCCGTCGTCGATGCGACGCGCCCTTATGGCGTCATCCGATTCGACAAACCATCTCAGGAGGGAGTCCTCTTCGACTCACCTATACTTGGAGATGTCAATCTTCAAGGTCTCGGGTCGACGCGAGTGCATCGACCCACCAGCAGCAGCCTGCTGCTGTCTCAACAGTTCAAACTGTTTAGCACCCTGTTTTCCCAACAACGATGATAGTTGAGAACCTTGTTGGTGAAGCAAGGCTACTTTCTCGCGTTCTGCGTCAAGTTCATTTTGAATGAACTTGGCGATAGTAGCATGTTGGGCATCTCTATTGAGAGCCTCTAGCATGACGCTAATAGCATGGATGCCCATGGTTGAACCCATCCGTTCAACCGCGTCCATTCAAAATTGCTCAAATGGGAGTAGCCGCCACGCGTAGCGTGAAAGCTTTGGTCTTCATCATCCAACATATTCATGTTAGATGTGAACGTGGTCCTTGGACGGACTACGAAGTGCTAACAGGTGTAACGGGGCACCCTGAAGCTTGTACTGGTGACAGTACAAGCTACTTATTCTGATGACAGAATAAGGCGGTGCCTCGGAACTTCACGTACACTCGTACGTGCAGAGGAAGACGGTAAGAAGAAGCGAGTACTTAGTTATAGTAAAAAGTAGAACTGTATTTAGCATAGTTAATGTCTGCAATAAATCACTATGTATCTTCATCTAACTATGTCTGAATACAAATGTGTAAATCAAATATCTGCTCACCACTCATTGCGTGCGTCCGTCGTGGCGCGTCTTCGTTGGTTGATATAATGGCCTATATCAACCAATTAGGAACTACTCGAAAGTGCTCCAGAACATTTGTCCTTATGACAATATTCTGAGAATATAACTCTTTTAGTTATATTCTATTAACAATTTCTTATAAATTGTTATGTAACGATTCACCCCGTTACACAGTATGTGTTGTACAATGTCTGAATGGCCTTGGTAGTATAGTCAGCCCATGTCGCGTAGGATGCGTTACAATTCACACACGCTTCCTCGAAGAGCTGAAACAGGACAACCTTTTCGTCGCGTCGCAGTTTGAGGAATCGTTTCTACCCGGGTGGGACGAGCTCGGCATCCACCTTGACGGTGCCATGGACGATCGCGAAGAGCTCGGCCAGCGATGTCGTCCAGGCGTCTTGCGGGAGCTCCGTGAAAGCCGCCTGTCAAGCCTCCACCAGTGCTGAATACACATCCTGAGGTCGAACCACCTGGACCGGCTGTCTCGGCGACTCCGGATGCGTAGCTTGCGCTGGCCGCCTCAGGAGAGGCTTATCCTTAGGAGGAGGAGTCACTTTCGGCGACGGGATGGGCTCATCTCCTGTCTGAAAATCCCCGCTAGAGGCAGTGCTGCTTGGCAATACCGGCGCCTGCGAAGGCTGCACGCCGTCGGCTTTCTCGGTAGTGACAGTCGTTGCACCTTCCATATCGTCGCAGCTACTCTTAGATCTCTTCCCTTGGGACGAGATTGCCGAAAGCTGGGACCGCTGCTCCCCAACCGTTGGGTCGGGCGGCTCGCGCCCCGGCGCAGGCAGTTCTCCCGCGCTGGGATTTACCGATCCTCGCATGGCGCGAGCTGGACGATGGATAAGTGGCGCAAGGAACAAAGCGGAAGGCTGGTACTCGTACGTGGATACTCTCAAACCTGACAGCTGGTACTAGGCTGTAAGGGCAGTGTGGAGCACACTGCAAATTTAAGAATGATAGGGAAGAAAGCTCTGGAGCTCGCCTTTCGGCTTAAGTGATCGAGTCTGGAGAACTGAACTTGATTTAGTTCTCCAGACTGAAGACGACTACGAAGATTGCAGCTCCGGCTATTAATCACGTGTGGGCTGCACACAGACCGTTTAGAGTCAACCTCCCCCATCCCAAGACAATTTGCGACAAGAGACGATGGAATTTGACCACCTAGACGTACTGCTGGCGAGTACGTGTGCGCTCACATGCGTGTTGTTTAGTTCGTATTGTGACGATGAGTCGATTTGACTTGCAACAAGAAATGTGACGTGTACGTATTTTGCGATGATGTAAGATGTTAATATAAAAGCAGATAGAGACAAAGACGGCCGACGCGTGTGTGCTGCTTCCAGTAGAGATCACTCAGGCTACATGGGAGAGCCACCAGCATATAAGGAGGTTGGGACAGTCGATGGGCAGCATGGAGCGGTGCGCGTCCAAGTCCGACGGGCATGCTCGTGATGGATACCTCTGGGCACTCTCCGTTTGTTAAGGATCAGAAAGAGCTCACGTACTTAAGTTATTTCGACTCGAGAGAGTCAAGCTACACTGAGAGAGGAAGGAGCTAACTCTTATGTTGGATACAGGCGCTGCTCAGGTGCAGGTACGAGTACAAGATAGTGCTGAAGGCGGAGGAGAAGATTTGAATGAAGGTGCAAGGCAAGGCAAAGGCTGATAAATGCATGGCGCAGTTGTCGTCGAGAGCCAGCGCATAAAGGAGATAAAAACTACAGGCCAACCACATGATTAAAAGGTCCGCAACAGATGTGCGCTAAAAGATATGGCGCAATTTTGCCAGCGAATGATGTGTGTGTTGCAACTACTGGAAGGTGACGTATGGACTGCACCCGTTATACATTCGTATGGTATCGTTGTTACGAATGCGGGTTTGCTACATTAGTAAGAAATGGCACGTGTGCTCTTGAAATTGAAGAACGCTGAAGAAGAACCTGCACACACAGCTGGTTATTAGTATCTGTGAGTTTCGTATTGCTGCACACAGATCGTGTAAAGCAAGCTGCAGCGCGAATAACAGGCAAGCCAGTGGCTATAGCACCTGGAATAGAACCGCATTGACGGACGTTGGTGCGGCAGAGAAGCTGCGGTGTTCATGGTCGTTTAAACGAAGTGTAGTCAGCGGCAACTGCTATGTGTTCACTTGTTTTAGTGATGCTCATACGAATCCATGCAAGTAAAAGTATGCCTATTCATCACATTTGACTCATCACTGCAACTAGAACGGCAGCGTCGGTCGCTTACTTACCATCAACGATACACTGCTATTGACTTCAATGCAACATTGCGGAATCGGAAAACGTACAAATGAGTAGGTAGTAGCACGTAAAAACGTCGAATTGCAAAGCTGGAGCACGTAACGAGGTTTGCTGTAACACTCTTCCTATAACTACAAAGCGTGACTGCTAAAATGTAAACACACGCACCGATGCAATAATTGCTGGCTGCAAGTGGATGCCTGCTGCGGAAAAAAGACGATATGGCTGTGGTTGCTTCGATACCATCTAGTTTGCTTCTATGATTCCTAAAATGCGAGGCTGTTCTATAAAAGAAGATTGGAGTACACTTGTAGACATACAACAACGCAGGAACGGCGATTGCAAGCTATGGTAGTCTAGGTGTTAAAGAGACGTCAAGCGGTTGGTCTGCGCGCTGCTAGGGTACGGAGTGTCTCATAGAAATCAAACCATTTCGTCATCTCATGCATTTAGTCAAAAGGCCTTCAGTACATCGATTCCTTCCTTGCCATCCAAGTCGTACCAACGAGACTGAAGCATCGCCGTTGCCACTGCAAAATCATCCCATTTGTCCTACTTCACTCGGCAGCGGGCTTGAAACGCCTCACCGATGCATTGGAGCTCAACTGTTCAAACGCACCAAGCTTCTAGATGGCGATGCGAAGAGACGACTTAACAAGGATCAGCCTCACATCTTTTTTCCCGCGCTGTTTCTTCAGACATTTAATTGCTGCACCTTTGTCCAAGCGGCCATCAGCATCTTAAGGTTCTTGATATTGACGCGTTTGACATAGGTAAGCCACTCAAAGAGAAAGAACTCGACCGTCTGCTCGTCATATACATCCATCGATGGTGAAAACGGTTTCCACACTGCTTTGGGCATTAAGGCAAAGACTTCCTTGGGTTCCCTGTTCTCTTCCAGCCACATGTCTACCCTTTTACGAACAGCATTAGGATATTCCGGTATAAGCAATGTTATCTACTCGTCAGCGCGCTCTTGCATTACCAGATAAGTCTCGAAGCCAATAGAAAAATTCGTTCAGCTCAGAAAGTGTCCTCTTTCCCATCAGCAGCTTGGACACAGCATCACTGGATAACTTTGTAACCTCGGCAGAGTACATGTCCGCACAATCTAGCCACAGCTTAAGCTCGTCTCGACTGACAGCCACTCCGGCTGTTGCGGAACATCAAACAAGAGCGATTTTTACGTAGAAATGGGCCTCTTGTGTAACGGGGTGAATCGTTACACAACAATTTATAAGAAATTGCTAATAGAATATAACTATAAGAGTTATATTCTCAGAATATTGTCATAAGGACAAATATTCTGTAGCACTTACGAGTAGTTCCTAATTGGTTGGTATAGGCCATTATATCAACCAACGAAGACGCGCCACGACAGACGCACGCAATGAGTGGTGAGCAGATAGTTGATTTACACATTTGTATTTAGACATAGTTAGATGAAGATAAATAGTGATTTATTGCAGACATTAACTATGATAAATACAGTTCTACTTTTTACTTTAACCAAGTACTCGCTTCTTCTTACCGTCTTCCTCTGCACGTACCAGTGTACGTGAAGTTCCGAGGCACCGCCTTATTCTGTCATCAGAATAAGTAGCTTGTACTGTCACCAGTACAAGCTTCAGGGTGCCCCGTTACACCTGGTCGCACTTCGTAGTCCGTCCAAGGACCACGTTCATACCTAACATGAATTTGTTGGATGATGAAGATGACCAAAGCTTTCACGCTACGCGTGACGGCTACTCCCATTTGAGCGATGTCGAATGGGATGCGGTTTAACGGATGGGTTCAATCATGGGTATCCATGCTGTTAGCGTCATGCTAGAGGCTCTCAATAGAGATGCCCAACATGCTACTATCGCCAAGTTCATTCAAAATGAACTTGACGCAGAACGCGAGAAAGTAGCCTTGCTTCACCAACAAGGTTCTCAACAAGCAGAGTTGTTGAGAGAACAGGGTGTTCAACAGTTTGAACTGTTGAGACAGCAGCAGGCTGCTGCTGGCGGGTCGATGCACTCGCGTTGACCCGAAACCTTGAAGATTGACATCTCCAGGTATAGGGGAGTCGAAGAGGACTCCCTCCTGAGATGGTTTGTCGAATTGGATGACGCCATAAGGGCGCGTCGCATCGACGACGGGGATATGCAAGTTGCATTTGCCCAATAAAATCTGGCAGGACGTGCCAAGACTTGGGCACTGGGGCTCAAGTTGCACGACCCATATGCGTTTGGGTCGTTGGAAGTCTTCAAGTCGCGGCTCAGACAAGCGTTTGAACCGCCCAGAGCTGAGTTCAGGGCTCGAACCGAACTCTTGAAGCTCAAACAAGGTAAGCGTGATGTGCACGCTTACGCGAAACATATACGACATCTTACGAGTTGTATTAGTTCCAATCCGGTGGATGAACACACGTTGGTTTCGGTGTTCATGCAGGGTCTTGCGGATGGTCCCGTCAAGACTCACCTGTTCCGGCTTGAACTAGATTCACTAGAACAAGCCATTTCCATTGCGGAGCAGGAAGACTTCAGTCTGAGACATGCTCGCGCCAGCTCGACAACATATCGTCAACCGAGACGATATGACAACGGAGGTCCAGAGCCGATGGAACTCTGTTATGTAGAGAGCGAGAAGGCTCGCTCTACAGGCTACAAGAAGTTGCAGAGATGCAACAGATGTCAAAAGACAGGACACTACGCTTACGAGTGTAGTGCCCCTCGTCCAGTGTCTCGCGACACTGGGCGTAGTGACCGTCCACCCATGAGAAAGGGGCAGGGACGAGGGTCCGCTGTTGGTGCAAAGACGCAACAACAGGATGGACCATCAAAAAATGGATAGGATCAGTAGGTGCGGAGCACCCTACTGGTCCAGCAACGTCAAGAGAATTTGTGGGCCTCTTGATGAAGGTTGCTCCCAACACACAAACGTTATGCGTTGCTGCTCTAGGTAATGAGATCTCACTCATTACCTTGAAACTCGAAGTGACGAATAAGTTGTCCCTTCGAGCTCTAGTCGATTGTGGGTCGTCCAACAATTTTGTGCGACGCCAATCGCTAGAAGATGGTCACTTAAAGTTCAGTGAATGTGACACACCTCCTACGAGGATGACGGTACGTCTTGCGACAGGCGCATCCGTAACCGTCATGAAGCGAATAGTGAACATTCGCTATACGCTAGAAGATACCCAATATGACGATGACTTTATCGTATTGGATTCGGATGACAAATTTGATGTCATCCTTGGAAAACCGTGGCTCAGAAGGTACGAACCACGGGTAAACTGACAACATCGAACAGTAACGATGCCTGCCGCTTGTTCATCAGATGGCCATCTGATGAACGTTTTGGAGCGTCCACAAGCGTGTGGATGTACTACGAGTGAGTGCGATGGCCTCACTTGTGGTACGGTCGTTAGTACGACTGCACAAAACCTTAGTGTAACAAACGGTTACACTTCGGAGCAAAGTTCCGGCGGCTGTGAGGAAACACAGGCTGCGCCGAAGGTCCACCACTCGAATAAGTCGGGTGGACTGGGACAAAGATGTATCCCTAGCGGGGAACATCCAGAAGAGAAACAATCGATCGCTCAGGTTAAGCGAAACGATAATCCTAGATTGACTGGAGAGTCTTTCGTAGAGGATCTCGCTGTGGTTGCGCAACCCCAGCTAGAGGAAGTAAAGGGAATAAGTCCCAAGATTACAAATACGGCGAAAATAAGTTCCCCGATACCCGCGGGAATAAGTCCCCGGGAAGACGAAGGAATAAGTCCTTCGAAGCCTGAGGGAATAAGTCCCCAGGAAATGACAGAGACATTGAATGTCATAGTCAATAACGGATCAAGTGTAGGCGCTTATACACTTGATCTGATTGCGCCTCCGAAGTTGACTTCGGAGATCACTCAGTTGCCAACGCTCGAACATAAAAGGTTCTTGCGTGATCTGCGTAGTGGCAAAGTCAAGCAGATCTGCGTACTCGTCGCTGACGACGAGTGTGTAACCGACATAAGGTCAGCAACAGTGTTTACTGAGAACGAGAGAGTTCTCAGTAGTTCATCTATGGACGAGAGTGTCCTAGATGAAAAGACACGAATTGAGGTATATGACTCCTAATCGTGGGAATCGCTCAAGACAAATCCTCTCTATGAAGATTTGGTTGAATTCAAGGATGTATTCCCTGAAACTGTTCCGTGCGAATTACCGAAGGATAAAGGTATTTGACACGAGGTCGAGCTTAAACCAGGCTAGAAGTACTGTGTCATGAAGCAGTGGCCACTGCCTCGTGAACAAGTACTTGCGGTCGACAAGTTCTTTGCCGATTGTTTAGCTGCGGGCCATGTGAGGGAATCAACTTCCCCACATAGCTCTCCGACCTTCTGTGTGCGAAAAGCAACAGGAGGGTGGCGGATAGTGCATGCATTTAACAAATTGAACGCTGCGACGGTACCGGCTCGGACGCCGATACCGAGGAAGGACGTAATCATTGATGGTATGTCAAAGAGTACCATCTTTTCGTCCATGGATTTGATGGATGGCTTCTATCAAATCCTTATGCGAGAACGGGATATACCCTATACCGCAGTTAGCACGCCTAGCGGCATGCTCTGGGAATGGCTAGTAATGCCACAAGGGCTTAGTAATTCCCCTGCCACGTTCAACAGATGTGTATCACATCTGTTGAGACCAGTACGAGAATTCGCGCCGAGTTATTTCGACGACGTATTCATCCATAGTCGGGCTATGGATGGAAAGTCGGATGTTGAGGTACACAGGTACCACGTCCGACAGGTTCTTACAATCATGCGAAAGCATCAATTGTATGCAAACCTCAACAATCGTGCGAAAGCATCAATTGTATGCAAACCTCAAGAAGTGTATATTTGCAGCAAGCGAAATACCACTTCTTGGGTGCATCGTTGGTAAGAACGGTGCACGTCCTGATCCCGAAAAGATCAAGGCGATCACCGACTGGCCTGTGCCAGTTGGTGTCAAAGGTCTTCTAAAATTTCTTGGGCTAGCGGTGTACTTGCACAAGTATTCACGCAATTACGCCGAGATTACTGTGCACCTCTCTCGTTTGTTGAAAAAGAACGAGAGGTGGTTATGGAACGCTGAATGTCAGCGCTCTTTGATGTTATCAAGCAGAGCTTGATACAATCCCCAGTCCTAGCAATAGCCGATCAGGACAGGCCATTTCATGTGGTCTGTGATGCCAGCGATTTTGCAATCGGATGTGCACTAATGCAGTACGACCTTGAAGGCGTTGAACGTGTCGTCTGCTATCAGTCGCGTCAGCTGCAACCAGCTGAGCGGAACTATCCAGTGCATGACAAGTAACTCCTTGCCATGAAGTATGCACTCGCGAAGTTCAGAGTCTATCTATTAGGAGATAGACCCTTCATTGTTTACACTGACCATGCGTCATTACGCACGGCAGTGAACAGCCCGCACCTTTCACAACGAATGGCGTAGTGGTGGTCATTCTTTGCAGAATACAACTTTACGGTAGAGCAAAAACCAGGACGACTTAATGTCGTTGCTGATGCACTCTCACGTCGTCCCGACTTTGAACCAGTCGCGAAACCCAACAGTGAGACAGCCAATGTTGCAATTATGCCGTCCAGAATGCCATCGTCAACGTTACATGATGATGTGAGGTGGTAATACGCCCAAGATGGTGAGATTGTGAAGTTGTTGACACATCTCTCACAACCATCTAGAGAATCGTTGAACCAGTTATAGTCTGCGTATCGATCTGCATCAGATCGATACACTACTCGCAACGGTTTACTGTATTATGCAGCCTTTACTGGTGACACACCACGTGTTGTCATTCCAGATGATACTGATCTGCGTTTGCGGATCATGTTCGAGTATCACGATGCTCCTATAGGAGGACATCGTGACCGGGAGAAAAAAAGTCTCACGGTGAGTCGAGACTTTTACTGGCCCGCCAGTATTAGTTTGTGCGAAAGTATGTTCGCGCATGCGAAGTCTGTCAACGAGTGAAGTCAAGTCCTTCACTGCGTGCATCTTTACAGCCTCTACCGGTTCCGGCAGAGTGCAGGGAATCCATCTCAATGGATTTCGTCTTCGGGTTACCCAAAGACGCACGCGGGAATACGAGTATTCTCGCATTTGTTGACAGATTCAGCAAAATGGTACACCTAGTGGCTGTACCAGAGACAATCACGGCAAGTGGCTGTGCTTGTGTCTTTATTGACACCATCTTCCGACTTCATGGGTTGCCCCGTGAACTCGTATCAGACAGAGATCTACGATTCACTGCTGATTTCTGGCGTTTCGTGTTCAAATCACTCGGAATGCGCTTGAAGATGTCGACATCTGATCATCCAGAGTCAGATGGTCAGACGGAACGAGCCAACCGTGTTCTAGAAGATATCCTTCGAGGATACGTACACTCCTTTAAGAGTTGGAGTGAGTTTTTGCCAATGGTAGAGTTTGCCATTAACAACTCGGTGCATGCGTCCACGACACATACACTGTTTTACGTGAATGGCTTGCGCCATCCGCGTGTACCCACCTTACTAGAGTGTAACTCTGGTTTAAGGGGGGGAGACTCGCGCGAGCAAAAAACGATTCGGTTCACGCTCATCACGCTCTGATGATGAGGTCGTTGCGTTTGATTCCGATATCGACAACGTCGATATCGAAGAAGATGATGCCAGTGAGAGCGAGGAATCCTTCACTGAAGAAAAGATTGTTGTTGCTGCAGTGCACTCACAGCGCACTGAAGCTAACGAGTCAGCAGATGAGTTCATACTGGCTCGTGAAACGGTAGTCCTTTTTGTTCAAGACTCTATCGCCGAAGCGGTGGATAAGCAAAAGCAAAACGCAGACAAGAATGGAAGGGCAAACACTTTTTTATTTAATAAAGGTGACCTAGTCCTACTGTATACGGTTAATCTACCAAAGCATGTAGTGACTGACTTGGGTAGCAGTAAACTACTACCCAAGTATATCGGCCCATTTCGTGTATTGCACCGCCTAGGCAATGCACACACGATCGAATTGCCACGTAAGATGCGAACGCATCCCATGTTTTACGTTGGTCGGCTTAAGCCGTACCATCAGTACGCTGCGTCTTCCGATGAAGAATGCCCTTGCGCTCAAGCATCTCGCAGAGAGCCTTGTGCTACCGATGGTAGACATCGACAAGGGTATGAAGAGCAGTTATCTCCGCCCGAGAACGATCAACATTCCGACGAGCTACCCTTAGCTCGTCACGAAGAGATGTCAGAGATCTCTCGTTCTCAAGCTGAGCAAAGGCAAACTCATCTCGATGCTTCAAGACAGCGTCCGCCAGTTGGAGACGCCTGTCCCGCTCATCTTCGAGATCACCGCGTAGCCCTTGCGTTACGCAATCAAAGAAGCTCTCGGGAACACACGGATCCCCACGATTGTGTGGAGAGCGTCTTCCCTCCTCCCCCACCTCCACTAGAGGAATCTCGCGGTGACCAGCGCTATCTAGTTGAGCAGCTGTTGAACCACCGCGACGTGAACGGACGTCGGACGAGTTATCTCGTCCGGTGGCGCGGCTATCCCCGTCCTGGGATACTTGGGAGCCCCGCTCCCAACTGATGGTTGACGTACTGGGTCTGGTTGAGCATTACGACGCGGCACATCCTGTGCCGCAGAAGGACCGCCGGAGAAAGTCTTCCCGGCACGGTCGTAAAGGGATTTCAGGTTGTCAATCCCTTCGTACATCTCGCAAGAGATACGTACGCGCCACCACGGGCTAGTAAGGAGGTAAGCCTCCTTAGGTGCTCGTACAGAGTTGCTCACACAACATGGGCACGAGTCTCCCGAGGAGAGACAGGGTAACCCACCCTCCGTAGCCAGACGATGCAGCTTGTAGCGTGCACCTGTCAGGGTTCGCTTTTCAAACTTATTACGAGCATTGATAAGTTTGTCGTTCCAAACGTCACGACCTACATCCCCAAGGTTATGGATGTAAGCATTCCACGCTTGAAGCAGTGAGGGACCATCACGCTTGTTATTCCCACTGTACCATCGATGTCTAAAGAAAGCATCAATGAAGAATTCATGTTCAGCGCGATAGTTTCTCGCGTTGAGGTCAAGGTGATGGATCCTTGACGAATCGAACAATCGTGTTCGATAGCGATCACTCTTCGTCGCCGACAAGTGATCCATGACGATTTTTGGAGGCATCCATGCCTTCTTCTGGGGAGCGAGACGCAAGACATTGCGGTCCCGTTCTTCCTGCGATGTGCCGACAGAAGGACTGGTACCTCGGTGCGAAGTGGTGTCCACAGGAGAAACGACACCACTGTTAGCGCCCGAGTCTCGCTACCTCGAGCGCCTTCGCTTCGGCGATGGTTCATCTGAATGATCAGATTAACCAAAGATGCTACGACGCAAAGAATCATCCATGCCACGCTTGGCAGGCGGCTTGGATTCGATCGCCGTCGATACGGATCCGTCTTCCGTATCAGGAGAGTATGAGACACTGAGCTCATACTCTGTGAAGAAATGAGTGTCTTCATGACGAGCGCGTGCATCACCAAGTGACACAGGCTGAGTCGCTGCCTTGCTCGCGCATCGCATGGGCTTGTTAACCATGCGATGAGATGTTGGAAAGTGGACTTGGACCAACAAGTGCAAACCCCGTCCCAAATGATTTGGGACGAGTATGCATTTAGTCAATCAGTCACTAAAGTGACTGATGGTTAAGGGGGGGTGATGTAACGGGGTGAATCGTTACACAACAATTTATAAGAAATTGCTAATAGAATATAACTATAAGAGTTATATTCTCAGAATATTGTCATAAGGACAAATATTCTGTAGCACTTACGAGTAGTTCCTAATTGGTTGATATAGGCCATTATATCAACCAACGAAGACGCGCCACGACAGACGCACGCAATGAGTGGTGAGCAGATAGTTGATTTACACATTTGTATTTAGACATAGTTAGATGAAGATAAATAGTGATTTATTGCAGACATTAACTATGCTAAATACAGTTCTACTTTTTACTTTAACCAAGTACTCGCTTCTTCTTACTGTCCTCCTCTGCACGTACCAGTGTACGTGAAGTTCCGAGGCACCGCCTTATTCTGTCATCAGAATAAGTAGCTTGTACTGTCACCAGTACAAGCTTGAGGGTGCCCCGTTGCATCTTGTGGTTTAACTACTTCAGCTTCAGTCTTGACGCCAGCCATTTGGGGAAATTCTCTAGTTTGTAGTATGCTGCTGCTGGCGCTCCTTTCGAGGCATTGACGGGACCGGTCAGGTTTGGAAGCTTTGTAGTGAAGAAAGAATCGACTTCATTTTTAGTTTGCTTACAGCCCTCGCTAGTTCCGCTAATGCATGGTCGCCATTGAGGTGTAAATCATTCAAATCACTGGCGCTGAGGTGAGCGTAGGCCAGCCACTGCAGAAGCTTCCAGTGTATAATAAGCTCTTCGTCAGCCGCTTGAATTCCAAGCTGCGCAAGGAACTTTGCTGGGTGCTATTGTTCCTCAAGCGCGTCTTGGACAGGCTTCCAGTAATCCGCGTCGAGAAGTATATGTTCTTATCAAGCCCACTCCTCGTTTTTTTTCGTGCCGCGGGTAATCTCAGCTTCTGCAGGGCGGGGTGGCTTCAAGGCACTTGACACAATGGACGCGTCCACCTTTAGATGAGGAGCAATGGAAGACAAATTGAGTGCGTGGTCATTTGCATAATTATCAATGGTTTTTCTCATTGACCCAGCGGCACTCCATTGAACGGCTACTGAAGCCATGAAGCCATGAACATACGTGACAGAAGGCGCATGTTGGAACCCGATAGCTGTTTGGCACTGAAGAATGAGAAGCCAGTAGTGAGGCCTGTAAGCTGGTACGTGCCAACTACTCACTTGTCGGCCAGCTCCAATCTTTAGGATCTTGAGGGATCTGGTCTCAGTGTGTCCGTCAGGGGTATCTCCAAACCACCTACCGTGATTGCTAGATGCACCTCTGTCTACATCAGGTAAGATCGAACACCTATACTTCTTGCAGTGCCTAGTTAGTTTTACGAATAGCGGGTACTATTTCGATGTGGTGTTTTCATTTTTGGTAGAAAAATCCTACGTGTGTTAACGATTGTGATTTTGCAGGCGCTAAAGACCTGACATGAGATGGGGAGCAAGCTCTGGAGCTCGCCCTTTCGTTGTGAGCCCGAAGGGTGAAGCTTTGAGTGACTATGCGCAAGTTGAATGCCCAATTTTTAAATTGCACTCATCTGCGGTTGTCTGTGTGTGTGTCTTTGTGATCTATTAATAATGCGGTTACGTTACCTTGGACGTACTAAGTATGATGGAGCATGTCCCCTTCTCATACGCACGTAGGCATATTCGAGCGACTCTTCGGCTAGGTCGAAGTGTGATTGGCTTAAAATTGATTAAAGGTGCTACGATCACAGTGTGATTGGCTTAAAATTGATCAAAGGTGCTACGATCACATAAGCAAATGCTGGACGCTCATAAGCAGCCCTATGTAGATTAGGCAAATGCCTAATTACCTAGTCTAACTCCTTTTAGGAACCCGTACCATCTTGGATTAGGAATATTTGGCAAATCGAACACTTGGTAAAATCGAGCGTTCTAAGACTTTTACATGAAAACGACACGTGAGACTAGAGTGACCAGGGATAATTGTGTTCACAATCGACAAAGGTCACTGCTTTAAGCCGAGCATATCAGCAGCTTTCTTGCACTGCAAGCAACTCTCCAGTGAGAAGTCATTTAGCGACCTGGTAAGCACACTCTTGCGAAATTTGAGCAATAAGACTTCAAACTCCACTAGCGATGTGATAGAAAAGACCGAAGCCAGTCCGCTACAGAACCCGCGTAGCTTGTTAAATCATCCACGAAGGCAGAACAAACTCCAGGTCGCATTATAGGTGGTGAGGGGGTCACAGGCGCTTTTGGCTAGCTGAAAAGTATGCTCAGTATCCATCGCATCGACTAAGGCTCGATGCTGCGCTGTAATTTGGTCAATCTGAGTCGCGGACCAGGACAATCGGAGAGGATCTTTCTAAACAATATGAGACGCCTGAAATCATGCCCCAGAACTGCAACCAGCTCGTGTAGCATAGTAGGAGATGTGACCTACTTATAAGCCTGGTTTCCTTTGCCACGCATGGCGACGAGGTCAATGATGACGTCCTGTATTTCAAACACGAGGAAAGCAATGGTCTTGACTAGCCTGGTGATAACTTCGTCATTCGTGTCCTGCAACATTTGTATGGAGCAGATGCCCATGTCCCCAAGATAGTTGCGGATCGACACTTTTTCCGCACGCCAGCGTCCACGCACGACGTGCAGATCCGAGTTGATGGTGGCAGCAGCTTCATCAGACAGCGGGCCTGTTGTGCAAATGTAATCATCAACCTGACACTGAGCTACTCCATTTTGGTAGCTTGCTGGTTAGGCGTAGTGTGGTGGCTTTGCAGACATCGAATCAATCTGTTAACGGTAGAGGTCAGCAGCGCTGTGACGGCGTTAAGCAGGTGCCATGATGGGCAAGCTAGAGCTGTTGTTGTTAGCAATTTACACTACTTTGGGATACGGATGATAAGATTCGGAAATAAGATGACTTACGCTTTCGTGAGTTACTCTTTCGCCTTACCCTCTCTACTCCAACTGTCTCAAATTTGTTGGTCGCTAGCACTAACTACTACCATTCACTATGCATGCAGCAAGTAATATCTGGTGCTTATAGCAACTTCAACCTCAACAATCATTAACTTCCAATTTCCTCCTCGAGTGCACCTTCCACTTCTTTCCTCTAGCCGATGAACGGTAAACCACAAATCGATGCGCTTGGCCTTCAACGAGGATGCTTCAACCGATGCACAGTAAACCACGAATCAATGTGCTTGGCCTTCACCGAGGACGCTTTAACCGTTTTACAGATGGCCGCTTGGTTGATGCACAGTAAACCACGAATCGATGTGCTTGGCCTTCACCTCGAATTCTTCGACCGTTTTACTGGCGGCCGCTTGGTTGTCGACATAAAGCTTCATTGACTATGCTGGTATCATGCCAACCTCTCTGAGCATCTCACGCAGTCCGAGCAACTCGCGTGCTGTCTCCGAAGTGGTGACAAACTCGGCTTCCATAGTCGACAGAGGTACTCCTCCCTGTTTGTTAGCCCTCAGCCCACCGCCATCCCATTCAAACGCAGCACGCCGCTAATGATAGACTTCCTGCATACCTTTTCGCTCGCAAAGTCAGCATCGCTAAATGATTCTAGTTGCAGTTCTTGACAGTTTTCTTGAGCAGGCCTCATTGTAATTTTTGAACACGCTGTGCTCTTTAAGCATAAAACAATCCTTTCAGTGACTTTCCAGTCGAAAAAACGCGGCGCGTGTGTCTGAAGTGTAACCTTGTGTTCGCGAGTGCGATTTCGGGTCGCGTACAGCGCTTAATCCAGATCAAACTGACGGCCAGCGGTTAAAAATCGCGTACTGTTGGGCTACTTCCCGTTCTTGTCGATCCAAGCAGCTCCACATCATCAGCTTGCACATCGTAGCTACCATTTTCAATCAGAGCACGCGTCGACTTTTCTTCTGCCAACCTACGGCCCGCTAAGATCACCAATCGCGTCCTTCGGTCCAGGTTGTATCAGCCTGTACCATTAAGCTCAATTCGCATTCCAAGAAATTTGCCGACGTATCCAAGAAATTTAATCGATAGTGACACGAGGCTTTCGAAAGGTCGGTCGACTTTATCTGCACTCATTTTAGTCACTAAAAGGTCGTTCACATGGACGACCACGACGACGAGATCTTCTTCATCTGTCGTCCAGTAAAAGCAAATTTCACTTTCGCAAAAGTTAAATCCTGCCTCGACAAGACGCTCGTGCAGAATTTGGCTCCATAATTGATCAGCCTGCTTCAGTCCATTTAGACTATTGCTGAGCTCAAGGACAAGTTTCTCCGGAACCTATACGTCTTCTTCGCGTTAAGTTTCTTGAAGAATTTTCATCTCAAGCGGCACAAAAAGTAAATTTGTAGGTCCTTCTTCCTGTCTTGCCTGTGTCATACGCGTTGGGGATGTCGCCTTGATTGACAGGCACCCCCCACCATGTAGCAGCAAGCTCCAGTATGATCTTCACGGATGACAGGTTCATGAATGCAGTGAGAGTAAGGGTGCAGTCGAATCCCAGCACTTGTTTGTTGCCGCACGCAACGAGGCGCGCCTTCTATGATGCAATCTTGCCCTGTGCGTCAGTTTCGGTCTTGGATACCCACTTGGTACGCAAGTCGATAGATAAAGGCGCTCACTTGACCACCTGCCATACTGTTTTCCTTTGAGATGCATCTACTTCTTCTTCCACCGCCTTGAACCATCCGTCGCGTTTGTTGCTACACATGGCTTCACTGTCCTTTTAGGATAGTTGTCGAAAACAGTATTCACGACTCATCCGCTTAATCTCGACTTCTCCTGAAGTGCGAATGCCTGCGCACGCTTCGAAGCGCCGTGTGTGACGTGTGCAGCCCTTGTCCAAGTCTTCTAATTCTTCTTCCGGGATTTGATTCTGGTGACGTTTCTTGTGTCGGTTGTCGTTGCTAATATTGATTCGGGTACAGCAACATCCTCGTCCTCATCGACCATCGCTCTCTAAAGCTGCGCATTCTTTACTTCGGACAGCGCGTAGATGTTCTTGACATGCTGCATTACTATCATCTTGTTCTCGTGGCGCAGACAAACCTTTTCAACCTTGTAACCCTTAATTTCCTCGTTTATCCCGACAAATATAGCAATCCGCGCGCGTTGTTTCAGCGAATTCTTGCTTGGGTAGCGACACACGCTACAGTTTGAACTGAATGCGACGATCCCACGCAGATCGACCACCGTTACAGTCAACACTTCTAGCGGCGACGCTCGCTTCACATTTTCGTACGTAGGGCTGCGATTCAGTATGTACGAAGCGCACTGAATTGCGTCTTCCCAGAAGTGTAGTGGTATTCAGCGTGCAATCACTAAACTCTTCAATAAATTTAGCACCTTCCTGTGCATGCGCTCTGCATTGACATTAGAAGCCTATTTTCTGCTTCCGATGCTTGCCTTGTTACTTAAGTCTTCTTGCAAAAGAGGTCTACATTGGCGTACTCTGAACCGCCGTCAGTCTTTAGCACGTGAAACCGGCAGTTGAATCGCTTCTCGAAGAAGACGAGGAAGGTTCCTAACTGTTTAGCCGCTACGTCCTTCGTCCGCACGAGTAAAATTCGGCTGTAATTCAATTTGTGGTCGACCAAATAACTAATTATCGGTTTCTGAGCCTATCCCGCACCAACTCTATCGATAGGGGCGTTGGTTTCATGATTCTCCCGGTTTTGAGTGTTGCGCGTCTATTTACACTCCATGCTCAATCAAACACCATAAGCCTGTTGCTTGTTAGTCTTATCCTGTAGGTTGGGTCCCGAGCCATGCGCTTGAATGTGTTCAAACTCCATATGCTCAGATCATCAATGTAAGTGTAACAGCATGCCTTCTGCACATCGCTCGCAACATCTGCGCTCGCACCTAATTTAAGAGCAGCCGTGATGGTGTCGCCTGCTATCTGTCTATCCTCTTTCGCTGAAAAATTTACACATAAAACGTTACTTTTCATCACAACGTCGAGCGCGAAGGCACCTTCGCTGCACCGAGCAATCTTGTGCCTCTTCATATTGTAAGTAAGATCAAATCCCTTACTTTTCAGCTTGCCGTACGAGACGATGTGTTCTCCAGTCTAGGCGCCAGATACACATCCGTAAGCGTCACGATGCTCTCCACGCCGCAAGCTATCACATCTAGACGCACGCTGCTGACTTGCGTCAGGGTGCAGGGTCTTTCCATCAGCCATAGCATCATCTCGGCTGAAGGCAGTCGATTTGGTAATTAACTTTTCTTCTTTCACGAGATGTCGACTTGCGCCGCTGTCGATTATCCAGTCGCTTCCATCGCAGCCACCCTAGTCGTTCATTGAAAGTAAAATCTCCCGCTTGATCTTCCTGCTGCGCTTCAGTTTCTTCGATAGCTCCTTCGTTTTCATTTTGCGTAGTGCGAGCACCGTACCACCATCTGCGTTGTCGTCCTTTGGACTTCTGCTTCTTCTTTTACCCTTCGACCAACAGTAATCTTGCACGTGACTCACTTTGCCGCATGTAGCAGGTGTGCGTGTCTCTTCGCTTCCGGTCAACATTTTGAGCAGCGATGACTTCGCTTCCAATTGCCCTGCTGCCGACCTCGTTTGACTGGTAAAAGGCGCCATCTCTTATGCACGTCGTGAGTAGTCGAAACGTTGGGTCGTACTTGGACCGCATGACGTTCATCATCTCAGGCGACGCGTGGTGCAAGATGTTATCTAAGATAAGCGAGTAGTCACCTGCACGCACGTCGCTTATCGCAACCATGTAGAGATAGTGCTCTGCCCAGGTGCGCTTGGAATCTTTCTTCCGCATAAACAGCTTCATCTCCTGACTAGCCGTTATAGTCGTCTTATACGTTGCAAGCAGCTGGTACATGACATAGTCCAGCGTTGTCCTCTAATTCCATTATGTTTCTACCTGCTTGTGGTAGTATCTCTCAGCCGTTTTGCTGGGATGAAGACCAAGAAGGTCAACCTTGACATCTCCAATCCAAGTGAAACCGCACGGGGACTCAGCCAGGTTTACGGCGCGCAAGAACGTGCGACCCTATTCTAGGAATCCAAAACCAAGCCCTTTGTAAAGCTCAGTTCCGTCGAACTTACGAATCATCAGCTTGTGCTGACTCAAATTCGTTGTTGCATAGAGCACTGATGTCGCAAGAGGTTGCCCTGTTGGTGCTAATCCTGATTCTGGTCGCCGAGGATCGGCGGGAGTCGGAGTTCATGCGCATGCCGAAGCAAACGACGCAAACATCAAATCTTCAAAATCAGATACACGCGCGCTCAGTGGCCGCGGAGTCAGCTTGTTCTTGCGCGACCTCGTGACCGCGTCGATTTGTCAAAGGCCTCGCTTGCACGTTGGCATTCAGCGCTGATGCGAACATCCCGCTCTCGACGACTCTTATTTTTCTTTCTTAATTTTCACGCTTGCGCTGGAAAGAATTTATCTACTACAGGCGGCAGGTCAGAGCGGAGAGGGGCGCGATAATCTTGTCGTCTGTCGCCGAGCTCCTTTCGCGAGCTGACGATTTTCAAGCGCGTGTCGATGATGCAACGTGCGCCTGAGAGGCGACACGATCTCGCAAGGCTCTTGCGTGAACTATTGGTGCTAGGGCTCCGACTCATGGCCATTGGTCCAGGTCCGACCCCGACCGAGGTCCCGGACCAGCTGGTCCAGGGCGACCCAATGGGTCGCCCTGGTCTAAAATTTATGTGTGTACCACATCACTTTTTTGGATTTTCAAACATTTACATTTGAGCTCAAGCCAATCCTTTCCAGCGACAGCCAAGGTGAAGCGTTGCCTTGGGCTTGGACACGCTGCGCGTGCGTCTGTAGATCGTGCTGTGGATGCCAAGAAAGAAATACGGCGGCTGCTTTTCGTTTATCCGCGACTCGCGTTTGCTAGAGGGATGAAGATGTAGATACAAGCCGGTGGGACGCGCAAGAATCAGTAAGTGGATTAATATTGCTGATCGAGGGCTACTGTAAGATAGGCAACGTCTTATTTGCTGTTAAGAGACTTACGTATGCTTAATTAATGCAGATACAAGCTGGTGGGCCGCGCAAGCATCGGAAGAGGACCAACATCACTAAGGGCGGACTAATCTAAGAGGAGGAGAGAGGTGTAACGTCTGGCTTGCTGTCCAGAGCCTTACGTATGCGTCGGCGTTGAAGATACAAGCCGGTGGGCCACGTATCAGCAAAAATTGAGATCTACGTTGCCGATGACGTGCTGATTGAAGATAACTAACGTCTGGTTTTGCTGTCCAGAGCCTTACGCATGCTGCGGCGCCAGAATTTTAACCGCTGGGCCACGAGTGTGGCTACATCAGGGTCCTTCATCACTATTCATTAATTCTATTTTCTTCTCGCTCGTTGCCTTGTCGTCTCGTGCTCACCGAATTGTGGATACGCGTGTGGTCGTGCCCGGGTGGACGCTAACATAAATAAATCTGTTAACTTTCGATATTGATTTTAATTAGAGCGCTGAGAGCCCTATAAACATAAGAATCGTAGAGGCTTGGCTACTCGGAGCTTTAAACTCATCGAGCACCTCGCACTCTCCGTTAAGGACAACATACGGCTCGCGACGTTACAGATGCTTCACCGCTGGTAAAGAAAAATTCACATATCTGTTTCTAACGATGTAATAGACGATCATGACATCTTATCTCACACACTCTACTAAATCGCAACAGAGCTGCAAAATTCGTTGGTGAGTGTAGAACGTGCTTCTTTCAAGTAGACAAGTTCAATTCCTGTTTAGAGTTAGATGAGGTCAGTGGATGCTCTGTACGTTTTAATAAACTTGCTAAAGTAGTCAAACGAAATAATTAGAGCATAAAAGTATGTTTGATCGTGGTCATTAGCAGTGATCGTGCCATCAACATTCTGTCTACCTGTACTGAATCCGTATGAAACTCTTAGTTCTTCTCGTTCCATTCCGGCCGTTGTCATCATATTAATTTACATTTACAAACCAATGAAATCGTTCTTGATCCAATTTTCCAAACACATGAGTGCTTCTAAATTGATAGCACTCAATGATCCGCGGGAATCAATAATAATTCTCCTTCCCGTAGAAAAGAGTCTTTCACTTGGTACACGGGTTGCCGGAATAGACAAGTATGCCCGTGCCATTTCCGTCAAACTTGGAAACGTCGAGGCTTTTGATCTCCACCAAAGCAATGGATCCAGGCCAAAATAGTCCACTTCACCATTCAAATAACGGTCAATCTCGTCATCGAGATCATGTGTCTTACGCTTTTTATAGAGTCGACTAGCGTAAGAGTTCGAGTTGCTCTCTTCTAAGCTCGCTGTGGTTGCTTGGTGTTGCTGATGATCATTGTACACTTTGGCTCTGTGCAACTGCTGATCGCGCATCTTTCATATGTCCTCGTTAGAATCTTCAAAAAAATTCAACTTGATTCGAGGATCCAAGACTGTTGCAAGCTTGTATACGTACTGACCATCAGCTTTTTCCTTGTATGCCTGCAACTTCTTCATCATAGCCCGGATCGACGATTCAAGAACTGCACCTTCACATGAACGAATAGTCGCTTGAATTCTCTCCAATAGCATGGAGTATGCTGGTGCAGCTGCCATAATAGAGGGATGCTTTGCAGATGTCAACAACACCGTAGCCTGAAAAAAACAATCATAGAATAAAATAAAATGTTAACACATGAGTCCCCGGCAATAAATTTGGTAAATACCTCTTCGAACGGTTCAAGCAGCTTAATAACTTCGTGCACAAGAGCCCATTCATGTTCTTCAAGCGCATGCTTCCGAAGCTCGGAGCCGCTGTATATGTAGGCTCCAATGACTTCGCGAAGTAAAAATGCACGCTTCAACACTGCCCAAGTCGAATTCCACCGCGTTGACACATCTTGTACCAGCTTCTTCGCAGTAACATCTGCTGCGACTACATCCGCAACTTTTCTTAAGTTTTGCAGTCGCTGTGGCGAGCCGTTGATATATTTCGTGAAGTCACGAACTCTACGAATAATCGTACCCGCTGTCCAAAACATTTAGACAATTACCATATTAGCTCAAAAAATTGCAACAATATATATGGAGGTTAACTCTTTTCGATTTCAATATCTCGATCCAGAAGTAGCGCGTCGACGGACATTGGGTTGATGATCTCAACAATGCTCTGATTGGGTTGCTGATCAAAAGATCCAAGTAGCTTAATACCAGCATTTGCTATCAGATTGATAACATGCGCCATACAGCCAAGCATATTGTCACTCCTATTAAATCCAGGAATAATACGCCGTTGCTCCAAACACATTGCAATTGTGCCGTTCGTCGAAGCATTGTCAACTGTAATGCAAAAGAGCTTGTCCAATATATTGAACTTCTCTAAAACTTCAAACAGATGATGTTCAAGGTCTGCCCACTGTGGTCTCCTTCAATCTCCACCGCAGCAACAACAAGATTCCATAGCTTTCAGTTCTCATCAATATAATGAGCGGTGACCCCCATGATCGAAATGTGATTTGGAGAAGTCCAGCAATCAAAAGTGATGTTCACTTAGGTGTTTAACTTCTATAATGACATCTTCAACTGATTACACCCTGCAAATATCCACGTTAGAGGTTAAGATTTACTAAATGTTGTATCGCACACGTACCCTTGTAAAATTATTTCCAGATACATCATGTCGGATCGTATCTGCGGACGTTATTAGAGAACTTGCTGCAGGATTGCATAGCTCAAGAAGCTCGCGTAATTTCCAATATTCCACAAACTGATACGGCAAAGAATGCTCTATAATAAGATTGATTAACGCCGTCTTTAATGTCTGTCTGTTCAGTTGGGGCTTTTGTAACTAAACAACAAGTTAATACTATTTCGAAACTAAACGTTTTTTTACACATCATTGCACACACCTTCGGGTTGACCGATTTCAGGAATGCACGCAATGCACCTTGTTGCAATTCCTTTTCGTGTATCTGATGCTTGCTCATCAAATGCTTGGCCAAGTTCTTGGTTCCGCTGGTATCTGTACACACATACGCTGCTCCACAGAGTGCAGACCCGCCGCGATGCTTTGGGACTTGACAAACAGCTTTTTTTTCTTCTTTAAGTCTTTAAAATAAGTCCACACCCAGCTTGTCTTCTTGCCACCACTGGACCTGGAATTAACCTCTGTTTCCTGGCTGACACTATCGGCGGACGCAACCGACGATGCAGATTCCGATTGCATCACTTCGAAATCCATGACCACAGATTGTTTTACTTGTTAGAATCTCTATTTAGAAATTTATCAGCCAATAGTATTTAGAGCCTCTACCATGCCCGATCTCTAAGTGGAAGTCAATGACTGGAGACGGGACTCAGACCCAGATGCAGCATCATAATTTATCATGAAAAATTCACATTTTAAAAAAATTTTTTTTAATAGGGACCATTGGGTCCTGGTCCGGGTCGAGCCTCGACCCATGACCCGGACCAGCTGGGTCAAACACTGGGTCGACCCAACAAAACTGGTCCGGGTCGATGCCCTAGTTGGTGTTAGTCTTGGATTCGTGTCCGTAGTTCTGGCCATTGGGCTCTTAATCTGTTAGTAATTTAAACACCTTAGAGAAAAGGATGATAAGATTCGGAATTAAGATGACTTGCTCTTTAGTGATTTACTCTTTCGCCTTACCCTCTCTACTCCAACCGTCTTAAATAAGCTGGTCGCTAGCACTAGCTACTACCATTCACTATGCATGCAGAAAATGATATCTGGCGCTAATAGCAACTTCAACTTCAATAATCCTTAGCCTTTAACATTTGTGCTGCGTGCTGGTGGCATAATGCTGAATGCGCCAAAGCCCATGAAATACTAAACACGCACTTAAAACTTGAGTAATTCTTCGCAGTATGAGTGTCGGTGTGTCGACTTAAAATTCTCACTGCGTTAACAATATTCAACCGGGTGCGCGTTACCAGATGCTGAGGTTCACCAGATACCTTGTGGTATGGTATGCTAGAGTCATTAAACTCGGTAATGTCGGTTTCGTTGCATCATCTTTTCATTTTGCTGTTGTGGCGACCGTTTTGGCTTCGCTTGCTTCACTTTAAATTGCCTCAGCATGCGGCCAATATATGCCTTTGAGAAAGACATAGAATTACCCCAGGCTTGTAACTCACCTTTTACATCGAGAAGATACGATACGGGTCTCATGTTTTTCAAAGCAAAGTATGAAAGCAAGTTTGCAACCACGAGATTGATGGTGTCTGGAGTTCTCAGCAGGTAACAAAAAGCAAAGTGAGATTTATTGTCGATATTTTTTACATGTAACTAACGTGCTTGTAGCACGAGGAGAAATGTTTTCATGGAAAAACCCTTTTACCGTCATGACTCCTGCCGACGCCATCAATCATCAATCTATAGGTCGTACAATACTGGCAGTCACAGGTCACTCCCGGTCCCAAAAGTCGGGTAGAGGCAGTTCGACAAAAACGTGAGCTTCCTTTTTCTTTAAACGCAGCCTTGCTCATACTACCCCGAAACTCACGCTTTGTGTCTTTTGTGTCTTTAAGTATCTTGATGTTTACTCTAATACTTTTTTCGATTCAAAACAGCGTTTGTGATAAAAAATTATCGGCACAATGCAAAGCTAAATCAATAAGTGGCATGTAGTGCATTGCTAAAAACACACCTATTAAACTGTGTACTAATTCCATGATACCTGCTAAAGAGCCAAAACTACAAATGTAGTTATCAATTTACACGAGCTGAAACCTAATTTTATATCTACTTTCCCCCTATTTTTGTCTTCTATAATTTCATATTATTTATAAATCAATTAATTTATTTAGTGATACATAAATTACTTTAAGCGACATTTGCTGAAGCGTATTTTACACATATCACTGAGACGTTTTATGCCAATGTTTAAATTAGTGTGTTAACTTTCAATTTTCATAACAATTAACTAATGCTATTTCTACGTAATTTTTTTATGATGCTGCATTTTTATCGATGTAAATTTGGGTTTAAACCAATTCATGTACCACTTTGATTTTACAAAAGCCAAATCCTTGGAATTTTTTCAAGCTCCAGCCTGTGATGAGTAGACATCAAGGTGACAACGACTCCGTCGATAGTAGCTCTTAGGCGTCTTTTGCCTGTTATCTCAGGAGTACCTTCTACCTGTTTAATTATAATCTTTCTAAATATGAATATGACCTTAAATCCAAGCTAAATTTCGGTAAATTGAAGTTATTATATCAACTTGTTATGCCACTTTAGGCAAAAGGATGATCTAACAATGTGTCATTTAAAAGTATGATTTAGTGGTCTTCGCCTACAGTGATGCTAATTACGCAAAATTGTCCGGGCACCCACTGTCGGCGACAGGTTTTAATTTTTAATTTAATTGGTGGGAGCTTTTTTTTTAAAATAATACACAAAATGCAGTAAAGATGACACGCAAGTTGGAGCTCATCACCGCTAGCATGTGCGCAGAGCAAAAGTTTAATTGAATGACTTGAGTTTATTAAGCATTTAATTTTTAAACAAATTTGACACAAAGTATTTTAAAAAAGACACAGAAAAAAAAACTTTAAGCCCACAAAAAAATAGAGACTACGATACATATTTTACCAATATAACCTTTTTCTGGATGTAAAAGAATATTTGAACGCGATGCTCATCCAGCCATGCAGTTTCTCGGTACAGCAAATTTTAGCGCGTGAAGCTCATCTTCGGGCACATCGGTCGCATAGTGTTGTTGAGCAGCCTTAAATGACTAATAATGCCTAAAAGTGTCGTCATGAACTACCTTTATCTCGGGCCATTCGCGCCCTTCTAGCTTGATCTCCAATTGGTGCAACATGCATCAGACACAGATTAATCTAACTCGTGTCGACACGTGCTGCAGCTTGGTCACGACGCCTCGGACAGCACCAGTCATTGTGCGTTCACCGTCAGACGACACTTAATTAGCGTTTCAGCGCGGGCATAGGACGTCCACCAGCTTGGAGACCAGGTTGAACTGGGACATTCCAGTACGAGAGCCACCCATGGGAAGAGCGGCGACGTGGTAGTTGCACATTCGACCTTGCCACACGAAGCGGATGCAGAAGTCGACATGTGATGTATCCAGGCACGTCGTGTCATTCGATTCCAGAGAAATCACCCATTGTAGGCGAAGTACGCTGTCAAGAACCTGGAAGTTGATAGCACAATGCAGTCGCATGAAGGCGGCTACATTTCACTCATTCACGCTGCCAGTTTTACCACATCTTGTCTCCTCCTTGGCTGCCCAACGCGGTCTGCTTGAAGCTCATGCCGACGGCAATAACCTTGATAGTCAGGCGGAACATCACCAAACTTGCGATCGTTGCAACAAAAACATCATTCTCATTGTCCCAATTGAAGATTTGCATTGCGTTTTCGTAACTGACGCCATCGACGTCATCTGGATTTCACAGCGTATATCCAATGATAACGTCGACAATTCTGGTCTTCGCCTCATTCTAAGTTATCGCCGAGACGGGGTCCAAGTAGGCCACAAACAGATTAGCGGATGGGGCTGCTACATTGAAGTGGGCATCTTTCTGACTGGCCTCGAGATCCTAATACACTTCCCACCCCTTCGGGGGCTTACTCTACAAATGGGTCTGGTAGCTCTCCAGCCTGAACGGCGGCTGGAATGTTTTGAGAAATTCTGTATTCTGACACTTCTGGCCTGGAACCTCCTCGTGACTGAACGCATGCAAAACCTTATCGAGACGAATGTGACGGTTTGTGACTTGAGGTCAACCGTATCAACTCGCAGTCCATACTTCACGGCGTGCTTCATTCGTAAAGGTGTAGAGCGTAGCTTAGTTGACTTCTCAAGCTTCTTACCCTCCATATTAAAACACTACAGAGACACGAAGCTCTGTTTGATTCTATGTCAGCGACCTGCGAGAGGCACAAGCACGAGTACTGGTGGGTGCAGGCGTGTGGGGTGGGTGCGAGGACGGGTGAAAGCTGCTGGTTGCTCTTCTGCGGGTGAAAGCAAACAAATTGATTGAGGAGGTGTACTGAAGGGGCCAGTTACAGTAAACACCATTAACTTGCAAATTCGGCTACCTTTAGAATCAGTACTTTCTGGGGTTTAGATGAGGCAAATCGAGCATAAAGTTCTGAAATGCCTAATCTAAAGAGGGCTTCTCATAAGCAAAGACTCACCGCGTTGCCCAAGTATAATGTACAGGCTACATACAGATATCACAGCATCATGCTAAATTTTCAGTGACTGCTGCTGTATAGCGTTTTAGGCAAGTTATCTCAGTTTAACCAACTGAATTACATATACCAAAGGGCGAGATCCAGAGCTAGCTCTTCTATCTTTGCGAGCCCAAAGAGTGTGCGCATGGTCGAATGCCGAGCTTTTAAATTATACTTATCGGCCCGTCTGTTGGTATGTCTATGTGTGTGTCTGTAAATTACGCGAATAGGTGTTACTTTGCATGCACTAAGTACGATCTAGCCTACCTCCCGTGTAAAAATAGGGTCCTGTTCAATACACCCCGCTTTTTTTACTAAATGCGCCCCAGATTTCCATTTTCGTGATTTAATGGGGTATTTTTGCATTTTCTTTATGTAATATACTAAAGATTTGTACGATAGGTGCAGAATGTGTTACGATCGCGGGGTATGGCGGCGCGTCATTTGTCGCACAAACCATGTTGTGGTGTTGTATAGGTATAGTGAATGGGATGCGTTTAGTAAAATGTGGGGTGCGTTATAAACTATCGTATTATTTTGATGGACGTTGGCTAAATCGTTCTAAGTACGTGCGAGGTACACCCAATCGCGTAATTTATAAACAAACCCAGACAGACGGACCGAGCAGTGCGATTTGAAAGGTCGGCCTTCAACCTTGCGTACACTCACTGATAGCTTCACTCTTCGGTCTCGCAACAATTGCATTGTAAAAACAGATAGGATCGAGCACCAGTCTTCTCTCATGTGGAGGGCTCGTTTATGTGTGCCTGGTCAGCCAAGGCCCTGCGGGCATTCATATGTGAAGGGTTTCGATTCCGTACACGTGTTAGCAGAGGAGTCGTGGTGGCGAAAAACACCACGACTTATCCAATTTTTGGACAAATACACACGGTCTTAACCAGCATCTACTCAACTCTATTCGCTATTGCTCAATACGTCCTCCCGTCATGACGGGATTCTCTTACGAAAGAAGTAGCTTTGCACTGTGAGTACATGAAGGTGTCTTAGGCACAATGGTAGACTGGTATCGTATCGGGGCTCTATTAGTCGTATCGTGCTTCTAGAAAGTGGACTTGGAAAGAAACTGGCGCGTAGTCGATTGTCGGATTCTCTGTGCCTTTCAAACAGGATACTGAGTAGCCAAAGCATGACAGCACTAGTTTATATAGACTTGCTCGAGCAGATGCGACAGCACGTAGCAATTACTGCTTCCTATCTCAAGATGCGTGTACTGTGAATACGATTAGCTGTGTAGCGGAGCTACTTAGCGCTCCTTAACAGAGGAAGTTTTAGACTCAAAGAGTCTCTTAGTTATAACAAACTAGCAGCGACGTATAGTCGTTCAAGCGTACAAGCTTAACAATCCCGGTTCCAAAAAGATAACGATTCACAGAATCACACACTAACTAGTCACTACTAGTTAGACAAGAGTAAGTGTCTTTACAAGGCCAATGCTCTTACAACACGCTATATCTTGACTAGTCACTAGCGTCCAACGATTCAAAAGAGGAACTGAACTTTGTTGATTCTTAAACTAGGGTAATAAAACCAAAACACCTTTTCTGACTGACTTCTACATTGCGATCCTATGACAGAAGTCTAATCTCTTATCCTTACCCGACAAGGTGCGGTATGACCGTTCGTACAAGGTACCAATTCTGTACCACTCAGATTCACCGATCTTTACTTGGTGTGGGCACATAACCTTACCGGTTTCTTAACCGCCGTGTAACCCCGGGACAAGCTGCAACACCTTAATGTTAGGTAACAGGTCCAGCGTCAGCAGTGGACTCGAAGGTCCAACCAGAATACATGCGGGAATAACAACACCACATCATTTGACTAGCGTGGTGTGCTGCAAAGAGAAGAGTGATGCATTTCCTATAAACACTCATCTAAACGGTTCGTTCAACGACAAAGCGAAAGCGATATTTCCTCGCGTAAGACCACCTCTATTCAAATCGCAACGAAGCGAACTTACACTCCGCGCCAGGTAATTTCGTACACCTGTACTTTTATCCACTGCTCAGTCAGTTTTACGAATTAGCGGGTGCTATTTAAATGTGTGGTGTATTATTTTAATAGAAACACCCTATGTGTGTAAACGATTGCGATTTCGCAAAGCGTAAGGGGCATCACATACATATGACTGGTTTTGCCACTGCGACATGTAAAATCGCACAAAATGGCATACAAATTTTAAGTATAAAATGAACAATTAAAGACTTACTGTATCTTATAGTGAATTTTTCCTGCCCTTCTTCTCGATGACCTCAATGCATCGTCGCGGCATCGATCGAACAAGCGACACAGGAGTGGCATCCGGAATTGCAATCCAAGCTGCAATTAGCGCAGCCTTTAGCTTAGACACGCGCTCGAACTGTGTTCCATTGGCGTACACTTGCCTGTTAACGATAGACCACAAATTCTCGATGGGGTTGAGATCAGGTGACTTTGATGGCCAGTGAAGCACCTGAATACCCTCTTCACTGACAAATTCGCGGCTACGGTGTGAAACATGTATGCTTGCGTTGTCCTGTTGGAAAATAAAATCTGTGCCATAGTTCAGATGCGCAAATGTTAGAAGATATTCAGACACTGTATAAACATAGTCATCCGAATTCTGCCTCCCCGTCAGCACAACAAGTGGAGACTTGCCACGGGCGCTAAAGGCGGCCCAAACCATGATGGACCCACCTCCAGCTTGACGTCGCTTCGTCTGGCCGGACGGACTGGCGCACATCTCTCCAGTAGTGCTGAAAGCCGTCGGGCCCGTCAAGATTCCATTTTTTCTCGTCCGAGAAAATAATGGAGTTTCAGACGGACCCGGAATCCTCATGCAACAGCATGTCCTTGGCCCAAGATTTGCGCGCACCCATGTCCGCGACCGTGAGCGGCAACGTGTTTTCCATCTTGGCGTACACAAGCCAATCGACATCGGCCAAAATGCGCTGCACGGTGCGGACGGAAACCGGCAGGCTTAGCTCGACCTTGATCTGGGCGGCGGGTAGGTTTCCCTGAGCAGATGTGCGCAAGAGAAGTCGCTAGTGGCGCTTCGAGAGAAGCGGAGCAGGTCCTCGGCATTTCATCTGTAGGGGAGAGGTAGAGGATACTACTCGACGTATAGTGTCAAGGCTCCTTGAGGTGACAGTCTTGATGGCACGCAAACTCAGTCCAGCCTCTCGAAGCCCCACTATCCTTCCCCGCTCGTGGTCGGTAAGTATTGGCTTCTTGTTGCCATTCCCGTAGATATGAGCCGCTAACATCGTGTCGCCAAATGCTTGTGCCGCTAATATCAACCCGGTAATACAATCATACCGATACATTATACTTAAAATTTGTATGCCATTTTGTACGATTTTAGTTGTCGCAGTGGCAAAACCAGTCATTTGTATGTGAGGCCCCTTACGCTTTGCGAAATCGCAATCGTTTACACACATAGGGTGTTTCTATTAATAAAATACATCACCTATCTAAAAAGCACCTGCTAATTCGTAAAACTGACTGAGCAGTGGATAAAAGTACAGGTGCACGAAATTACCTGGCGCGGAGTGTAACTACAGTACTTGTAGCATAGAGACGTGTGAGCCAGGCAAGAAAAAGAAACGCTTCGCAAAGTTGACTTGTTGGTGTAATGATCATGCACCAAATATTCAGATTGCAACATAGTCACGATCGTCTTAGGGCACAAATTCAACGAGCGAACAGGTAGGTGATACCAGGAGGAAAGGCAGTTTCACCGGATCAGCAAGTGCTGAACTTGCAAAAGAATACCGACTAGTATGTTCATGACCACATCGTCACCTCTTCTGAACAACGCCCATGCCACTGTACTGATCTACTGATCTGTCGTTGCAAGCTGGAGGGAGGAGGCCAACCGTTGGTGGAGGTCATACAAGTGGTAGCACTTTCAACACGGGCATCAAAAATAATTTATCTTGTAAATGTTCTACGTGCATATACTGGTGTAACAACGGTGCGGGTTCAAGCTTCACCTGCCAAACTATGCAGTTGGACACTGCGGCGACCCGTAAAGGCAGCATCAAGCATCTCGTCTTCATCCACGAGAAATGAGTTTGTCGTGTCACTCACATAGCTGAACTTGCCGAACGAGTCATGATCCATTTCCGATCTCGCTCGGCGGTTGCGATTACGAGGAGTCTTCCACGGAAACAGGATGCTGAAGATGTTACCCGTCGATGCCGTCTTCGAGGCTAAATACTTGTCGAAGTTAATGTCCGGGCTTTTCATGCGCTCCTCGTCCATCGACAAGGGCGCCGGGACCCAAGGAGGCGTGATCTTTTTGCGTAAGACTATGTCCCATCGAATGTCCTTGAAAAACGGGTGCGTGAGAATATCACTCGTCTGAGAGGCACCAAGACGCTTGTGCGGGTCCTTCTCCAGCAAACCAAGAATGAGGCTACGGGCATCTGGACTAAGACTGCACTTGGACGGGAATTTCACAGACTCCTTCTCAATGAGCTTGTACAGCACCGACACGTTCAGGTGATGGAACGGTCGTTTTGCAAGCAACATCTCATACAACAAGATGCCCAAACACCACCAATCGACGGCCTTGCCATAGTCACGCGAGCGCTTTGGCTTCAACAACTCTGGGGCAGTGTAAGCCGGGGAACCCGCCATTGTACGTGCACCCGACATTTGGTTGACATTCGTCTTCGAAAGGCCAAAGTCAACCAGCGCGACGTTGCCATCAACGTCAAGCATAATGTTGTCCGGTTTGAGGTCACGGTACACAATGTCACAAGCATGCAAGTGTGACAGCGACAGCACAATCTGCGCGGTGTAGAACTTGACACGGTCCAAGTCCAGCGGAATCTTCACGCGGTGCTCTTTGTTACTGGAAAAGCGGTTCATGTGCGTGTACAGACTGCCCCCAGGGTAGTAGTCCATGCCCAGAAATACACGCGATTGGCTCTGAAATGAAAAGCGCAGCGGCGCGATGAATGGATGATGCACATCGCGCAAAATACGCATCTCTGTCTTTGTACGCAGCTTATCGTAGTTCGACATCGAGCTCTTTTCCAGAATCTTCACAGCAAAGACCTCGCCCGTGTTTTTGCGTTCCGCCAGCACCACTGTTCCAAATGTGCCCTTCCCCAGCACACGATTCACGTGGAAATGCTGGATCGATAAAGACAAGACACGCTTCGATGTCGACGCCTGAAACGCGCGCTCAGCTTTGGCAGCCTTCCGTTCAGCGTCAGACATCTGGAAAGCAGCAATGTCCACTTCAATTTGCATCTGGAGACCCAGTACGCGGCCACCCGGGCTCAATTGGATCTCGTCGCGAGTAGTGAACGTAAACTCGCGCTGGAGCGACTTGTTCCAGATCGTGCCAGCAGCCAGCACATGCAACACGTTCGGCTGCTTCGTCGTCATGTACCGGGAGACAGAGAATCGCTTGAACAGCACAAAGCGGGAGAACCCTAGCACAACATCGACAAGTCCTTCGCGACCAAAAAACTTGGTCGACGGCAAGAACTCACACGGGTAAGTGACCGCCACAATCATCTCGGGCGAACAGATGGGGAAGAGTGAAATGAGGTTCGCTGCCGAGTCGTCCACGCCTGTTTGATCCAACAATTGCGTTGTCCACATGGCATAGTACTGTTTCACCGTCGCCAAGTTGCGAGCTTTCCAGTCTCCTGACGACCGCACCGTTTGCGACGAGAGACTGCCCGTTGTCGAGCTCGGGAGTGTCGCACTCACCGACGGGTTCCACTGACTCGTGCGGCCACTGGGGATATCGGAATCCCGTCCGTTCGACATGCCACTAAAGCTCTGTCCCGGCTTCGAACCATGCGTATTCTGCACGGCTTGGAGCAGCATTTTCACCCAAATCTCACACTCAATGCTCGAGCGCGTGTACATGGCAAAGACCTTGTTGATGGTCGTGGTAATGAGCACGCCATTCGAGCGGTTCGGGTCGCGCGTGGCGCCTGTAACGGTCACGCGACCGCGAAACTTCTCCGTGTCCACTTTGGCCACGTCTTTGCTCACGTAGTAGCTGAACGTCGTGCCCGAGAGCACGGCGTAGCGGTAGCGCCACGAGCGCACGACGTGTCCCTGTTTCCAAATGTACCCTTCCCAATCCGTTTCAAAGAGGTCTTCGAAAGCACTGCACAAGTCCGGGGAGACGCTTAACCGCGTGCGGTTCGGGGCGGCGCTCCCTGCCCCGCTGCGCTCCGTCACTGAAGAGGTGCTGACGGACCCGTCCGCGTAGTCGTCGCCCTCGTGGCCGTAGACGGTCGTGCTGGGCCGGAGACTGTACGACTGCACGCGCGTGTCGTGGCGTTTCGAAGGCCCTCGACCAGTGGAGCCGAGCAAGAGCACGCTCGAGCGTTCGCGGAGGACGATGGCGTCTGCGTCTTCGGCCGACAGGAGGGTGATGCGCTGGCGATGATGCATTCGCGTGTGTCGACTGGGGTGGGGGATCGGCCGGCGCGACTCGTCGGGTCAGGATGGAGCGGACGATTGGGCGATGGCGAAACGACGAGAGGCGAGTTTTGACTTGTAATTTGTATGACTGGTCGCGTGACGGGAGCGTTTTTGTTGTTCTCTTTTCTCTTTTCTTTCTTCGCACGCGCTGAGACTGAGGCGGCGGCGGCTGCTGGCAAACGCTCGAGTCGCCAAATGAACGGGTGGAAATCCCGAGGCTCCTCTGCCCTCGAGGGAAAAACGGGGGTGGGTGGGGATAAAACCGGGCGAACGCGTGTCGCGTCGAGCTGCAATCTTTGCGACACGGCGAACTGACGTTTAGTAGGAGCAGAAGAAGCGAGAAAAAAAAAGAGCCGAAACCGCTCGAGACGCCGCCGCGTTGGTTGTGGTTGAGGACAGAGTGATGTCCGCGCTCGTTTCTCGGAAAAAAACTCGCACACGTCATCGATTGAGTCTGAACAATGGAAAACGAGCGGAGGGCTGGAGACCTCTCGTTCGCTCTCGCTCGCTCTCTCTCTCTTCTGTGGTAAGAAAACGGAAAGTTTGTATTGCACGACGTGCGATGGTCATGAGCGACAGTAGAATCTTTGCTAGCCAGCCGCTGCTGAGATGCCAGCGGCTGACGTGGGCGCCAGAAGTTTGGAAAAAAAAAGCGAGATCCGCGGGCTATGTACGGTGCAGCGCTGTCGTAGGGCAAAGGTGCCTCGGTTGTAGACGAGGCAGCGCGATCGGGCGCTTACGACAGCGCACGTCTTACACGACACCAGGCAGATATCAAGTATCACGAACTCATGACGTTCGTCTGGTCCGTTGTCATTGGAAACCAGTGGATACTCCGATCGTCGACCGTCAGTGGACGCGAGTTTGCCATCACGGCAGCTCTCTCTGAACTCCCATCTGCCTCTTGCATCTGGGCATCTGGACACTGCTGGGGTTCGGTCGAACATTTTCAGCTGGGTTTAGGAGGTTGGGTGCTCTGTAGCGATCTGGGTGAAGAAGGACAGTTCGTTAAGACATTACTGGAACACTACCTCCCAGTCAAGTCCCGGGATCTGCCATGCGGTCGACACGGCTGGCCACAACAATAAGGTGCTCGCAGCATCGCAGTTTGCAATCAGACCGTACGGATATTTTGCCCGTAAGCGTTGCAGCCAAGTACCACCCGTGGACAGATATGTAGCAATCAGTGAACCGACACTCTCCATACCTGGTTGCACGCTCTTTCCCAACACTCTGTACCAACATCTATCATATCGTTTTCTCGTGCTTTTTTTCTCTATTGTGGCGCAATACGTTTGAACGTAGGGAGTTATCCAGCAGAAGCCTTTGACGATGGACACTGATCGCAGACCTTTGGCCATTCATAGCCACAAGTGGCAAGCGAACACGCTCTTTGCTGCTATTCTCGAAGAGTAATCAACGCACATCAAATCATGCGACAGTCGGCTTTGTCTTCATTGCACGGGCCGTTCCAGTGCAGCCGTTCCGCCTCAAGCGTCCCAAAGAAGCCCAGATCGGGACGACGACGAAAACGTGCTGATTTTATGCACACTCGGTAACCTTCGTACAGCGCCAGCCGTTCCACGAGCTCGACCGCTGGCACAAAAGACAATCCACTACCCTAAGTCAGTCTCCCGGTTGTGAGTTGCGGTCCAGCGATCGACAGAGCTTCGGTCGATCTTATGTCGCTGGACGTAGCGAGTTCTTTGTAGCAGCGGGTCTTAAAGTCACCATTGCTTCACTCAATTGGTCGTCCATTCCATCTCTGTTCTGCCATGTCGATCAAAGCACCTCAAACCATTGCACTTGTAGCGAGACTGTAAGACAGAGACTCGTCGAGACATTGGAAATGTTTGCCCTGTCGGGACATGTGGCGAGTGCCAACGACCGGTGGTGATCGCCCACCGTCAACGTAGTTGTTAATTGTAGTCATCATCGTAACTGGAAAAACGCTCGCTTTGTGACTACGCGACTTTCGCAATAAGTGTCGCATCGACACTAACAAAAACCAGTGTCGGCTTCGACGCGTGTGCAGCGTTAGTCACCGTTGACGATGCAGCAGAAGCGGTAGAACAGGCGCGACGATGTCATCTGCCGATTTCCCATTGCCATAGTCTCGCTGGACTCTTGACGGTGTCCTAGGCAAGCTCATAAGAATCGACAGGGGTCTATCCCGGGTATCTCGCTCGTCATAGTGCTCATTCGTGTTCTTCGTAGACCAGAGAGCCTCCTCTTTTCTCTTCGTCGTCTCTACACGCTATCGTCATCTTCTTTATGCACTCGAGTCGTCGTCCTTCCACTCTTCGTCGACTCTGAACGCTTTCACCTTCACCGTACAATCGAAGTCGTCGCCCTTCCACTCTTTTTCGTTCATACGCTTGACAATCGACTATCTGTAGTGGTGACAAAAACTCCGAGAGAAATCTGCTCAGACTCTGTCGAACCTTTTCGAGCAACTGTGCTATGCTGATCTCGGCCATGACTCGACCCGTTCTGCTGCTAGTTCGCTCAACCTGAATGGCCACGGCAATCTCGCCAACAAGTCGCTTTTGCACAGACGTATAAACGTGTCTTGAGCTTTTGGTTATTTGTAGCTGCTAGGGGGCAACACACGTACGATATCTTCAACGACCAGCAATACCACCCCGCATCCTTTGTCGCAGCATGATATTCTCGACCAGTCCAAAGCCGGTCGACGCAGCTGCAACGTGCCCGCGGGCAACTGTACAATGGGATCTTTTTTCAAAGGGTACCGTCGTATGCAATGCAGCGTGAGAGGACATCTTCTGGTCACGTAGTTCATTGGGTCGCTTTGACACTGGTCGTTCCTGTGACGATAGCAACGGATGAATTGAAGATGGAGGAACGCGCAGGACAAGGAGTCATGAACTCAGGGACAACAGAAGGAAGGAACTCGAGCTTGCCCTTGCTTGGCACTTTTTGTCTCAGATCGACAACATCGCTGACGGTTGTTGTGAAAATGGCTGAAAAGATGGCGCTGTGCATTGCGATTGCGTCGCGCCAGTGCTCTTGAGGGTAGCGCAAGATCCTCCTCGGTGTATAGACAATCGCTCACCTGGATGCATGCAGCAATTACACGTAGTGGGGTTACGAATGCGTGCATAGAACAATTCATACTATGGACGCATCGCTATTCGCAGTGTTGGTCCACGGCTTCGGAGTGGTCAAGCACGTGCAACCTCGATAAGGCCACCGAGTGAGAGTGCGATGCTGATGATGAGTATGGCTCACACACATTCCTTGGTGGTCTTGACGATATGATAGGTATTGTGGACCGGGCAGCGTAATGTGTCTGGTCGTGTCGAGTCACTTTCGGGCTGGAGGATCGATGACAGTCTCCTGCATAAAGCTCTCGACTTGGAAGAAAGCGCTACATGTCTCGAGTTCAGACCGAGCGAGCGATGCGTGTTGATCTCACGTAAATACATCACCATGATTCCACACACGACTAACTTGTGCAAAAGTGCTTCGTTGTATCCAGAAACGTCCACATAGCTGAACGTTCATCGTACCGTGGGAACCCTCTAGCGGTACGTCCCATTCCATCCGTATCGTAACGGGCTGGAGTACAAGTAGCAAATACTTGCTAAGGCGCTGATAAAACCGAAGCCTCGTGGTGTTGACTACCGATGCAGTACTTGACAATTGAGTGTATGCGCTCGCGACTGGGAGCGCGACATTCGCAGCACGACGATGGCTACGTCGTCCGATGCTGTCCTGCTAGACTAACCGTCAAGCACGATTTTGTTCCAATGCGCCATGGTGCGCCTAGTGCTTGTGGATTGGCTTTTGCACCTACCTAGTTGCTACTTGATAGACTGGTAAGAGGTAGCATTGTGTGTAGAACTGGTTGAAGCTGTTGACGTGCCACTGAGTCTGGAATTGATCCAGTAGCTACACAGTCATATAAAAATCGATCAGTAGTGTGCGCATAGACGAGATCATACAGCATACGTCCTGAGTGGCAGCTGCAACCCATGAAGGCACTTAGAATTGGCATCCCGACTTAGACCCATGCTATTCACCCCTGATCTTGAAAAAGGAGCTACTGCCACCGATTCGAGGAGAAATACCATCAGTGAAGAACATCCTTATCCTGTATCTACAGAATTCGAGCGATTCGATCTGGAAGTCGCGCTTTCTCGTTTGCAATGTCGCTCGGGTTCCTGACCGAGTCCGCGCTCGTGCCGTCCAAGGCGAAAGAGATCAAGGTCGACGCCAAGTCTCTCGTCGATCTCAAGGCGGTCGTGTTCCAGAAGGAAGAGGAGCGCAAACGCCGCTTACAAGAGGCCTTAACAGCAACGAATGACGACCATGAGGACGAGAGGTTTGCCGCGGGTCACCGAGCTCTTCGTTTTGGAAAATATTCGCATTTGCGCGGGGGAAACAAGCGCCAAAAGCAGTCGAAAGAGGACCGAGTGGGCAAGAACTTGCACAATACTGGAGTCGAGGCTCGAGGTCAACGTGACGAAGAGCTGAAAGCGCAAGAAGCGACTCCAGCTGAAGATGACGATGCAGCCTGGAGCAAGAAGTCGGTCGAAATGCTGCGCAAAAAGGCTGCAATGTACGAGAAAATTATGAGTGGAGAATGCAGGGATTACTTGAAAGGAGAGTGTCTGGTTGATTTTGAGGCCAAGAAGTCTATGGCGGAGACGGTGAGGACCAAAGAGATGAAGCTGGTGGAGATCACGGACGTGTTTGGACGCACGAAAAGCGTTGCGGGGGATAGTGAAGAGTATACGATGTTTCAAAAGACCCAGCAGCAGCAGCAGTGTCGAAGTGAGGAACGGGGTGATACGATGAAGAGGAAGATTTGTGGGGACGGTGAGGGCAGAAACGACGAAGGGAGAGTCGATGATGGTAGTTATGTCGTCTCGCAGTGGGACAAGCGTCTGAATAGCTCGGAGAAACACCATCTGATGGAGGTGCATGAGCAAGCAACGTCAGCACAGCTGTTGGCGCATTCTTCCTCGTCAGGTGTGGGACATGACAGGAAGACGAGAAAGCAATTGCGCTTGGAGCGTCTTCGCAAACAGCGATCGGAGGCAGCAACGTCAGGTGAAAGCACTGTACTGCCGAATGATGCAGTCGATGCTGCAGCATCCGAGAAAGCCAGTGACTTTTTGAACCAGCTGTCAGCGTTCATGTAGTCCCTGAGTACACATCTGTGGGTCTGGATGTAGTATTTAAGCTCGCGCTCGAGGTGAAGAAAGAATTGACACAGATGTCCTGGGTCAAAAATTGGCACAGGAGCTCTGGATTGCAGCGACGTTGGTGCCAATAAGTAGGGTACCTAAGTGGAAGAGTCTCGCGAACGCTTGGAGTGCCGACGCCGTTTGTATCATTGCAAGAGTCCCAATGCAGTGTGACTTACAAAACACCATTGACAAAATTCCGGCACCAACACCTAGGCCCGGAGCTTGCTTTGCTTGCTGGTAGAAACGTAACCAAAAGGTGCAGTGTGCCTCCTTAGCTGTACTCTTGACCTCCTACTCGCGAGTATGAACTGATCCGTAAAGCTTTTACTGTTTCGCTGCACCTACTTTGGTGTATCCAAGTAGCTGCAGTAAACCACGTACACTGTGCTTAGCTGCTTGCACTTGACAAGACGAGTCACCGATCCTCTAAGGCGACATTAGCTACTTACGGCAACCGCAAGGTACGTCGCCTATTGGGTACACGTTCTCCTTTGTTCATGTGGCAACGGCATGAACGAGTTTGCCCGACGATGTACATGAAGGGGCATGCACTTCATGGGATCGGTCCGGCTTGGGCGCTATCATACTATCATATATTCGAGCCAACACGGTAGAACTGATTTCAGGACGTTGACTGTGACTTGTTTCTGGGGAAGATTACTAGTACACAGGGACGACAATCCACGAGAACAGAGTTCAGAAACCCAATGACAAGCCACTTACAGGATCCAAAGTTGACAGGATACTGCCAAATTAGATACGAAGCGTCCGCATGAAACGTACAGGGCCGCAGGCAGGAGTTTGTATCTAGCATACTGACGTTCCGTGAGGTCTTACCAAGACAAAAGTGTCTTACGTGAAGGAGAAGAAAGACCACGATCTTGTTCGTTTCCATCGGAAGTGAAGTTGCCGAGCTTTAACTCGCGTGACGACACCCGCCGCCATTTCGACAGCCTTATGAGTAAAACGCGAACCCACGAGATTACCTGGACAAGTCGTACCTCGATCTGTCTTCGGTATCCCGGATTCGGCTTCGACAAGGTGCTGATGGAATCCACTGACATCCTCAGGGCGAAAGTTGGCAGAGCTAGCGAGATTTTCTGCGACCACGTACAGCTACTGGCAACACAAGATCCGACATGGGTGATTTTTCTTGTCCACTCACAGCTACATTGGTTCCCTTGAGGTGTCTTTGTGTCAGTGACGATGACAGCATTTGGAAACCAATCATGAGTCAAGCATTCACACTGCATTAGCCCATACAATGCCAAGCACATTGTCGTGGATTATCCGCTTTGACACTCAGGCGCACATTGGTCGACGTTGTCAGAGTTGTAACAAAGTCTGACACACGAAACAACGATGAGGCTATGCGTAGCAGCCGCACAAAAAGTGTGGATGAAAGCAATATGGGAATAGCTGTAAAGCTTTTGGATCACAATGAAGTTTGGAGCTCATGCTCCAGCATTTCTTACGATCGTTAAACTCAGAGTAGGGTTTGATAACCAAGCGCAATGTAAAAAGCGGTGTCAAGCGTTAGAATGCGAGATCGGTCGTTGTGAAAACTTAAAAAAAAAAATTCCAGGGGGTGTTTTTTTTTTAAAAAAAAAATTGGAACCTTTTTCCACAAAAAAAAAAGCCTACATTATACGCAGCTAAGGCTTGCCGGTAGTGACGAACGCAATATAAAACGAGGAGGTGCTTCTGATACAATTCTATAGCTCTCCCAGCAGCGCAGTTACATCTTCCACCGTGAGATCACGGTCATCTTTTTTCAAAATAGCACGCACAGCATCGGAAGCACCCGTGTTCGGCACCGACACAGTTTTGTCGACAAAGCTCGGCAATCGGTCCTGGTTGGCATCCACCCACCGCAAATACGTGAGCGACTGCTCTGGCGTCAGAATAGAGTGTAGCATCTCTGTTTGTTTCTGGACCGCCTCCGAGCGCTTCTCGAGACTGTGCTTCAGCTTGCATAAGTAAGTCTGTCCAAAGCAAACAGTACACGTTAACGCTGACGTACACGAGAATTCTCCGGCAGTAGTTCTGTACGCACCACAGCCATTGCCACCCGTCGGCGCTCCGACTTACTGCTCTTCGAGTCGCCTGACCTGTACGCGCAAAAACACGAACGCATCAGCGCACAGATACAGCAAGCGAGTCGCATTTGCCAAACGATAAGCTTACTTGTATAACGACCTCAGTTTCTCATCCTGTTCATAAGTAAGAGCGAGATCGCTCGTCAAAGTCGACCACAGGGTGTCTTTCTTCACCATAACAGGGCCTTTCTTTTTCTCAGTTGCGTCTCCAGCGTTTTTCGCTCCCACTCCGTCATCCTTATCAAAAAATGAACCGTCCTGGATACTGAGCCACAAGAGAAATCGGCAGTATGGAGGTAGCAGTAGATTATCAAGCTGGCGGAAGTTATAGTCCCTCACAGCTAGTCGCTCCTATACAAGCAACATCGTAGTGTCAGCAGCTAAAGCGTAGTCCCCCCCCAAAAAAAAACGTTCGCATAGCTCCTTACGACACTATTTGGCCCAAAGCGTTCTTGTATCAGCATCAGACCCTGTCGAATCTTTTCCTGAACAATCTCCAGTTCCAAGCAGATCATTCATCAGCCACTGCATGCTCTCTTTCATCCCTAAACGACAAGTCTTAGCACAACCAACGCAACGCACCTCATCCGAGCCGCCGCTTTTTCGATCCGCCGCTAGACTTTTCAACATATTCGACCGCACCTGGTTCAACGTCTCGTCTGCACGCTCTAAATGACTTGCCCGCGTCGTGTCAATGCTTTCCGTCAATTGGGAAACCTTCGTCCACACACAACAACAATAGCAACGTTAACCACAGCGTGACTATCTCACCTTCTCTCGCTTATTTACCACTTTTCAATGCCAGCACCAGCACATAACAGACAATGCACACAGTTAGCACCTTTTCCTCCAGCAGCTCCAGGTACTGCTTCTTGCGGCGACGACTTTGACGCGCTGACTCGCGATTCCTGGCCAGTCGCCGCTGCCGCTTCTCGTCCGTGTCCAGCGCTCCATTGCTCGACGACGTATCGTCATCATTCACCAACGGACGCATCATCGAACTCTCCATGAAACTGCTACTTTGCGTCGGCTGGAAAGAGGCGCTACTGCTTGTGCCGTCGCTGCCAAACGTGCGCTCGGGAGCTAACAGAACCATCTGTCCATGCGAGAATTGCTCATTGGTATCAGCGTCTTGGCGGCTTTCCATTGCATGTATCGGAACTGCATCCAGCGGCTGCTCTGCGGCGACATCAGCCGACAGAAAGTAGCTCAGGAGATCGTCATCTTCCGCCGTGAGGTCCATCGTGCTGTGGGATTCTTGACAAACAAATAAATTTGACCAATGATCGCGCGAGATGGTACTTTTTCGAAGCGGCGTGGACATAAACAGGTCGTTCTGTTCGTTTTATGTTTCACTCTCTCTCTCTCTTTCTCGTGGTTTAGTGATGGTCGTGGTCTAGGACAAGCTTGGACTTTTGAAACGAGGTTTAGAAACCTTTCAAGCTTCCTTCTGTAGGCCAGTGTGCCAGATAGAGATGAAGACAAAACCGACCGAAACCGTCGACGAGCATGTCGTAAGTCCGACGCCATTGGTCGAGGTTTTTTCTTCTTCCTCACCTTCTTCCCTCATTTAAGAACACGTTCAGTTGTCGTGAGGGAGTCGACCGCAACGTCATTCCAGCATCTCTCGTCGGAGTCTCATGCCGCACCCTGACGTCAAGCTCGTAAGCGCCGCAGTGGAGGTGAGCGATTCGGAAGAAAGTTCGCTCTGTGAGAGTGAGCTGGAGCTGGAAATGGCGTGGGGAGAGGGGCCCATTGCGCCGCTGCGGACTGAAGGTCCCGCGACAAAAGACGGCGTGGTCGAGAAGAGCACGATCGCTGGCGTTCAGCAGCGCTCTTGCAGCAGTCGTAACGACGGCGTTCGTGCCCACACGCCCAAGCGACGGGGCAGTGAGTCGCCGCTTGCTGGCGGTAGTAAGCGACTGATTAACATCCACCCTATCCGGTCTGCTGGATATTTGTCAAACCCGAATGAACTGCCACTGGGTGCACGCAAACAGCAGCGCTGGTTGAACGGTGAGCAGGAGGCGAAGGAGTAGAAGGGGGAGGGATAGGGGACTGACGTGGTGTGTTGTTTATGTGTGTGCTGACAGATCACCATTTCGGGAATCGCGCGGCGTCAACGAGGTTGGAAGATTTGATGGAGCACATGAACATTCATGTGGAGTGGAGGTGGGGACAAGGACGCATCTATTTTGTGTGTGGTTCGTTGAGTAGCTGTGGTGTTGACTGTTGACGCGTGGTGGTGTGCTAGGTCGAACTTTGAGAAGCTGGCAGAGCCGCAGAATGAAGATCTGCAAGCTGAATTCCGTCAAGGCGGATGCGTACCGGAGCATCATGTATCCCATGGACCACGTAATCGACGCAAAGACAAGTGGAACGGTGAGTGGCTGGGCGTGTGGATGGTGGTGAAGCTCTGAGGTGGTGGGTGGTAACACTGGTCTTGATGTGGTGGTGGGTGCGGTGTAGATGCGGAGCAAATGTTTACTCGTGTCGATCGACGTGCACGCACGCTGATTCTGCGGTCGCTTACCTCGTTAGCGCCGTTCATCGAAGCTGTTGAATGCGTGGTTTTGCACTTCATTCAGGTACGTGCTAGATGATTGGCAGAAGGTGGTACCACGTGACGTACTGATGAGACCGTGTGTGCTGTAGTGGCGAGAGGTTCCGTCAGAGCTGGAAATAGCGGCGCCGCTGTTTCACATGCTGAAACACCCGATCGAGTTGGTGAAAGTATGCGAGAAAGATGTGCGACTGGTCATGCCCCTGCTGGACTCGGCTTTTCACCGTCTGATTATACACAGCGTCTGCCAGTTCTACGGAGTGCGGTCACGAAGTGCGTTATCGTTTATTTTTGCTCGGGCTGTTTGATGCTTGTCAGCTAATGTCGTGGTACTTGTCTAGCCGAAGCGAATCGTCGCTTGAACACAAAGGTCATGGTTTTGAAGAGCCCCAAAACGAGAAGCCTGGCTGACAACTTGGCCCAGATTTCGATGTGTGACTTCATCCGCGAAACTCGTCTTGCCCGACGTAATGGGGCTCTAGCCTCACCCGCTGGTGGTACGGACAAGGGCTACACGCTCGAGGTACAGTCTAAGAGCAGCGAGTGTAGCGAGGGATTCTGCCTGGTAGAAGCCCCGCAGGTGTAACACGGCGATTGCTGTTGCTCTGCTGCCGCGCTGGTGAATTTCGCATGCATTGAGACAAGCGTGATGCCTGGATGGCGAACAGATACTGTTTTGTGTATCGGCAGTGGAGATCACACGTTCGCAGTCGTTAACACTATCGAAACTGGATGCCGCCGTGCTATGGAGCAGTCCACACGTCCGAGCCCTGGTAAGCGTTTCGACGTGGGGAAACTTACGATCAGACAACCAAGCTCCAGTACAGGACCGGATTACAACCAAATGATGCACGAAACAATGGAAATTGTTACCTCGTTTGGCCTTTTATAGTGTTCAAGTGTAGTGCGTTTGCCCGCTGCTGACTGACTCATAACTTTCCTCGTGTCATACAGGCTGCGGAAAGCTTGCGCGTTGGTTCCCCCGTCAAAGCCTGCTCCATGGCACTTCGTTTCTACGCGAGACGCTGCTCTAACGAAACCGTAACGCATGCTCTGTCCCTTTGTATAAAATCTGCATGTTCGTAAAAACGCATTATTCGATAGCATACTTTATGGCAATGGTTGTGTACGTGAAGTCTACAGAGAAGGTGAGAAATGTAATAAAATCATCTGATTACAGGTCAGTCAGTACGAAGCGTCCGTCCGTGGGAAACAAAATAAATAAAGTTAAATAAAATAAAATAACGGCAGATTCAATCAGGTACATGCTGATGCTCAAGAAAGCAGATGGGTTGATAGGATGCTTGACAACGCAAACTAGTTACATCGTATTTCAGAAGTCCAATTCATGGATTACGCTATCCAGCGGCTTGCAAAGCAATCTCTGTATTTGGCGGTCCTGCGGCCTCCGCGCTTGGAAGCTTCTAGCGGTGGTTGCAACGTGTGCCCACGAACTAGCGGTGGTTGCAACGTGTGCCCACGAACAGAGCACTGCTAAAGTCGGGAATGCCAAACAACGTCGACCTTAGCCCACGCTCACATTACTTCCTGAGAGCCAAGGTTATGTGTCGAAACAAGGTCTTTTCATGACGAGACAATCTACATCGAGCTCACAAAGTGAATGCTTGGCGGAAAAAGATCTTGCAGGAAATGCCCTGCTGATTGTCTGAGATTGAGAATGTCGTAACGCGTGCATGGCAACTTTTCAAGAAAACGCCCGGTTTGTCCTTCGAATGTATTGATGGAGGCAGCTTTCCATCAACATTGCCTGAAAACGGGGGATGCCAGAACTAAACTACCTTTTGCTTGATGATCTATAGACGCAACGGGTGTGCGGTAGCGCTGTGTTCGAAACACATTGGCCACACAAACTCTGTTTCTGGTGTGCATTAACAATGTGCTTTAGACTCAGGACGAAAATGGTCGACAATCGAGCGCTCTTGGTTGTCTCGCTTTGAGGAGTAAATGTAGTGCCGTTTGCAATAGATGATTGTGTAGTTCTGCTTTTGGGGCTTCTTGTGCATTTTGTCAGACAAAATCCCCGCGCTCGATCAATTGCATCAAGCATCCATAAATATACATCCTTACTTCAATGGTTCTTTCGTTGGTGTATCCGTGCTCAACAAAGGTAGGTAGCCTTAGAAACGCTAGCATTTCCACTCGTTAACATGTCATATACAGGTCCAGGACTTCTCTATCTTCGATGACTTTGGCGAGGCATTCCCGCTTTACTTGTACAAGTTGGAATCAAAATGAGACTGAATGTTTGTTAACTCCACGCGGACAAATAATGCATCATGTAACGGGGTAGCCCATTACATCATATTGACACCAAACGGTGTCAAATGGGAGATTGTCTAGCGTGACATTTTCCTACCAATGTTATCCGAGATAGGTAGTGTTGAAGGAAATATCCTCCTAAGATAATATTCAAGCGCCGCTAAAGATTGGTTGATAAAGACATATAAACCAAGGTTACCACCAATCGCCGCTCGACGCGCGTAATGAGTGGTGAGCAGGTTGTCGTCATACGATAATGTAGATTGATATAGTTAGATTTATTACTGAGGTTGTACTATAAGCTCAACTGTACTAAATACAGTTCTTTTTTTACCCTTTACTCAGCTTCGTTGTTGAGTAGATTTACCTTCCTCTGCACGTACTAGTGTACGTGAAGTTTCGCGGCACCCCAAACAAAGGGTGCCCCGTTAAACCTGGTAGCACTTTGTAGTCCGTCCAACAAATAGTTTGTGTCCGTTCAACATGAACATGTTGGACGTAGAAGACGACAGCTTTCATGTCACACGTGAAGGCTACTCCCATCTGAGTGAATCAGAATGGGAGATAGTCGGCCGCACGAGTGTGATTATCGGCGAACCCGCCATCAGTGGCATGTTGGAGTCTCTAAATGTAGACCAACGACATGCTGATATCAACAAGTTCCTACAAGGGGAACTTGCCGTCGAAAGACAGAGGATAGCCTTGCTACAGCAGCAAGGTTCTCATCAGTCGATGGGCGGGCCGACGCACACAGTGATTGCGCTATTAAAATTTTAGGAGAGCGCGTGGCTGCATGAGCAGTACGCGTGGATGTGATGGCCAAAAACAACATCCAAACAGAATATTCGATCGCGAATTTGCATCAGGCACCATTATAAGCAATCAGGCAGCTTTAAATGATGGCGACATTGCCAACATAGAGCCGACCAGAGTCGAGCTGCATTAATAGCAAGTGTGCAAGATATTTAGGAAATTGTGAGTCGTACTGCACAAGTCGAAGAGTTTAGACAAACCAGCTGGCATGTTTGCTGCACCTCTCGACAAGGAGCGCCTACAACTTTTAGTTTTTAACTAAGCGTAATTAAATGATAGTGATACAAAATTGCTTTTCAGGAGGTCCTTTTACAACACATACTTGATAAGTTATCGAACATTGTCAGAGAAGGGATCTGATAGCAAAAATATCAGATATAGAAATGTTTCTTCATACAGTTTTACTATGGCGGTCGTTGGTCTTTTGTGTGAGAATTGAAAAGTCATAAGAGCCAGCAAGTAAACCTTATAAATACAGCCTGTCTTCAGGATACTTTCGTTGCCTTAGTGCTTGAAAGCTTTGATCTACAATCCGACACATTTCACTTGGCACTTAAGGGAGAAAATTGCTAAAATTCGCTCACTTCATAGGCTGTTGTAGGTCCCAATTTCAAACTGAAACGTCAAATATGGTTAACAATGTCAGTACCATTTCTGCGGTGCGCATTTTCATGACCGCACAAAAGGTACTCTGTAATTGAGCTTAACGTTTTGCGCACATTGAAAAATTAGCGCACCAACTATGAAACGCTCAGCGAAATCTTAAAGGTCAATCATCGATATAATGGATGTATTTTCGATCAGTTAATTGCTTCACTTAGATTGTGATATTGTTCAAGTCACCTTGATGTAACAAGGTAGAAGCGTCTTTTTGCGTCGATTCGCGTTATGCCGTCGTTCTGAATCTACGTGTTACTTCTTTATTGTTAAGTTCATCGCACAATAAATTTTTCTCACCAAAATAACGAAGGGGTCACACAAACGATTGGTTTGACTGTTTTAGCGTCGTGTGACCTACAAACAGATCATTAGTGCAAATAATACGCTTACTATTGTTTAAATAAGCTAGTGTTGTACGCTACCTTGATGTTACGGTTCGATGGTACATACCATCTAAGATGTCCTTGTACTTTCTATTTCTGATGAGTATGAATCAGAAGAACCTATGTTAGGGTTTTGAAATAAGATCGCAGAGCTTAAAGGTTAAATATGTAATATTCTAGCATCGTTATAAATCAGCAAGTAATATTCGGTTTCACTTTTTCTATGAAGGGTGTGTATTGTTGAGAGGTATTGTTCTAACGAGTTTAGATCCTGCGTTAAGGCTTATACTATTGGGAATTAAAGCCACGTGACTACTTCAAATCGCTGGTACCTTTTACCAGGCCTAGAAGCTTAAAGGGTTGCGAAAATATGTAGAGAATCGTCTCATCACGGCTCTTTGTACTTAAGAGTCTTTAAGCTGTACATGTCTAGTTTGGTACTTTAAGCAATTTTATGAGTCCGCAGGCCTTTCGTTTCAAAGTAGTAAGAATAATCCGCTACACATTCTGCGCTACAATATGGCAAAAAGACCTTTTACAACTCGTTCTTTACTACACGTGTCTTGTGCCGTGATCGCTACCGAGCCTTCTTCGTTCTCCTCATAATGTTGCGCGCGGCTTGATTAGATGCATACGTATTACAACCATTCGCCGTGACATAAGCTTCTGACGACACTGCACTATTGACACCATCAAATCTAATTTGCGTAAAGATCTAGCGTTTTGTCCTTTCTTATCACCTCACTGTTTAAATATCAACGAGTAAGAGTGACCGATAAGATTTTACCAAAAGCAACTAAATTCATTCATCTTGTCACTCGTCTCTCCGTGCTTAATAATTCTTAACCTCGGACTTCGATTTCGATTATACTTAGGTGATGAAATATACACCATCGAACATTATCTATGTATAAAGATTAAATTTGCTACTTTCACGACCGAAGGTCTTAACTTAAATACTTTCTGCTTTGGCTGCATTCTGTATGCGACATTGCTCAATAGGTTTAAGCAGAAGTCACCAAGTAAAGGATTTTCATTGGTCCTCTATCGAACCTAGTAAGTTCATGTGTTCAGTATTAAATGTGCGCTTTATTCTGAAGTTAGAGGTCTAGCCATCGTCTGTTTGCTCAAGGATGATATGTATCTTTTTACACATGCTTTCGTGCGCAAAATATGCTCGTGGTCTATCTACATAAGGCCTGGCTTTGCTTAAATTTATCGCCTGGAGCTTCTTCAGCACAACCAGAATTACGCGACAAAAAGTTTAAGCGTCGGATATAAAGTTTGTCAGGTAAAAGTTCTTCGGGCCGTCGGTTTTTTTACCGATACACTCATTTTTGCACTCGTCGGTAAAATTTAGTTAGCTTATCTACTTAGAACCCATTTCAAGATCGGCAGTTCTTTCGTCATTCGTGACCGTTCTAGATGCACTATGTTGTTTCATTCTCAATCCTCTCGAATCAACTGTCACTACACCCACCGACTATACACGAAACCTTAAACACCTCTTACAAGACTTTGATAGTGTAGCGGGTGCACATTGGTGTGCGAGAGTGTCAAACAATTTCTCCAACTGCTGTAATGGGAGGTGTGAGTTCTGATTAATATTTTGTGCCTTGCAATTGTTCTGGAGTCAGAGGCCTAATTTAACCTTGTCGTGATCGTTCAGACGTGCAGAAATATCTTCTTCGTCACCATGAACACATTTCCACAGTGACAATTGTTTTGAGCGGCCGCCCATCGTTCAAGACGTCGCTAGCGGATCGTAAGACATAAATACATACTGTGTAAAAATTTATGATCATTGATCACGAGGAGTAGCGACTAAATTCCATTTCTATGGTAATTAGCCCACGCGAGCTCTTCTTACTTTGGCATTCAGCGGTAATGCACTTCGATCCACCGCCGCTGTACAGATTGGCGGTTTGGTCTATAGTTTTTTTCTATCAATGCATAGCAATTTCAAGTCTGATTGTTTCGGCACCCTGCACACCAACTAAAAACATTTTTTGCTAAAATTTGCTGATGCCTTTAGTGTGTCGCATATTGTACGTAAGATTACATTCCTATTTTGGTCATTTGCACGCAACAAAGTTCAGGACTTGCGTAGCAAACTAGATTTTAAGCACAATCAACTCTTTAGCATCCGTCACATGGCTGAAAGCGACGAGATAAACATAATTCTTAAAATTATGCGCTTTTTTATCATAGTTTTTGTCGCTGCTTATGATATAATGGCGATTATTGATAAAGTGTCGTGATCGGAGTCGAGGCATTAGCTGAGCTAAAGATTAACTCAGTAGCGTTAAATAGCATCGCTTGATAAATTTGATGTAGTTCTAAAAATATAAAGATTGGCATTTACTTCGGCTGACCTGTCATTACTACAGGATTCCTTTACGAGCACAAAAGCCCATTTTACACAATATTGTGGTCGAGTGGGATTCGCTTATTTATGAAGCTATCTTAACTATCTACTGGAGCCAGAGATACCGACTAACGGAGAAGGAACTCCGGACCGTGTGTCTTATCTTGTTCCTGCTCACCTTGTGTTTCCGTTGGTGGCGAATCAAACTCTTTTGAGTGCCCTAAGGTCGATGTCGGTTTTGACCGAGTGATAGGGGGGGGTAGGTTGGGTGTGGTCGCGTGCATACTCTCAACACGACCAATAGTTACTTGTAGTGCTTTCACAGAGTCGCGCTGACCTCCATTGAGGTAGCCTTGCCCAAATGTGGATATGTGATCCTCTTGTTCTTATGATCACTTGATCCTCCTTGTTCTTCTGATCACTTTATCTGTCTGTAGCTCGCCTTTACATGCTTTATGTGTCCAATCGCGGTCTCAGGTGAATGAGCACATTAAACCCTAGCAAAGAATTCTTTGGACAAACCTTATGCAAACACGTGAAGCAGTAAACCTTGAACGTGGGGTGGCACAAATCTTTTCATTTTGGAGAATTGCTGACGCGTGTCTTTTGTAGGAAAATCGATACGGTTTGTTGTTTACCTACTATAATCTTTATCTATACTGATATCTCTCTATGACTCAATTTCTGTAACGTAGGGCACCCCTTGCCATCCATTCTTTGTCCTTGTAGCGGTCCACCCCCACCGCCATACTAAAAAGTAGTTACAGATTGTGACCGTCAACGATAGTCATCAACAGTGATCATAACCGCTGGTTTAAGTCAGTGATCGTGACAGATGATTGTCGGCGGTGATCTTGACGGACGATCGTAGAGACCGTAATTGATGACTATAACTGGTCAGCTTTCCGTTGTACCGTTGTAGATTTCCAAGCGGCCAGTCCCATGCCTTTATGATCGGTCTCACATATATCCGTGGTGTGAAAGATGCGATTTGACGGATAATCCCGACCGCTTCACCATAGTTGTCTTATGATCCGGTAATCGATCTATAAATCGTGTCGGCCTGAGCGCTATTTGACATGTCTATCCTGTCCGTTCACCGCATATTCAATCTTCAAAAAGACTTGGAGGTGTGTCGCCATAAAACCGGTCCGCCGCTATACTACCATCGGCTCCGGGTCTTTTTTCTCTTAGTGGGCCCCGCTGCAATCATCCATCCCAGGACTTAATGGAGACGAGATTGTTGGTCCTTCGCTAGACGCAATCGGCGATAATGTTATTTTCAGTGGCCTTTAATCGCACCGAATTAACGAGGTCTCCAGTGACCAGGAACACGCCCGGCCGAGCTCAAGAGCACTGTAAATGATCGTCGCGTATAAATTTAGTAGACTTTGTGGCTCTACCTATTGACGCATCAGCCAATCCTGACCCGATGTGGTAGCGAAGTAGCCTGTTGCAACCGAGACTACTCCTTCTGACCGCTCTGTCGACTCAGTCGGCATCACAGCCGTTTTCGATGACCTCCCAAGCGACCCCGACTTACACTGAGTTGGCGAGGTCTTTGGTGACCAGTAATGCGCTTCAGCCATACCCGAAGCGCTGCATCTGATCATTTCGTCGATCTGATAGATGCTGTGGCTCTGCCTCTTGACTTGCCCGCTGACCTCGACTCGCTCTGTGGTGGCGAGGTAGCCGGCGATCAGTTTCACGGCTCTTTCGAAGCCGAAGCCGCTCTTGCTGATCGCCATGTCAGCCCTATTGTCTTCACCGTTGTATCCGTTTACTACCTCTCCGACCTTGAGTCGGGCCGCGTGGGCAAGGCGGGCTGGTGATCAAAACTCGACTATGCCATAATAAAAACCGTCTCCTGCTGATCATACCGTTGACCTAGGTGCGGTCAGTGCTGAAGAGACGAAAGCTTATACTGACCATCCATGGGTTCAGTTGGAGTGGACGTTATCAAAGTTGATCTTGCAGTAAGTCCAGTCGTTCTTGATGATCCTGCTTCCCATCCCGCGGCCAATTGTAGCCATGTGCTGGTGAACTGTACGACTCAATCTCTTCTTATCGTTTCGAGAGTAGTAACCCGTCTGTCGAAAATTAAAACTCGTTGAGCACCTTGATTTCATAGTGTACCGCCGTATCACCTTCCAGGCGGACTTGGCAAAAAATTGACCCAAACCAGGATACGGTGATGCAAATACAAGAACGATGTGGTAATGAGATTGAACAAGAACTTCGGGGTTGTTATTGTAATGGGGCACCCTGAAGCTTGTACTGGTGACAGTACAAGCTACTTATTCTGATGGCAGAATAAGGCGGTGCCTCGGAACTTCACTTACACTGGTACGTGCAGAAGAAGACGGTAAGAAGAAGCGAGTACTTGGTTAAAGTAAAAAGTAGAACTGTATGTAGTATAGTTTATGTCTGCAACAAATCACTATTTATCTTCATCTAACTATGTCTGAATACAAATGTGCATATCAACTATCTGCTCACCACTCATTGCGTGCGTCTATCGTGGCGCGTCTTCGTTGGTTGATATCATGGCCTATATCAACCAATTAGGAACTACTCGTAAGTGCTCCAGAATATTTGTCCTTATGACAGTATTCTGAGAATATAACTCCTACAGTTATATTCTATTAACGATTTCTTATAAATTGTTATGTAACGATTCACCCCGTTACATCACCCCCCCTAACCATCGGTCACTTTAGTGACTGATTGACTAAATGGATACTCGTCCCAAATCATTTGGGACAGGGTTTGCACTTGCTGGTCCGAGTCCACTTTCCAACATTTCATCGCATGGTTAACAAGCCCATGCGATGCGCGAGCAAGGCCGCCGAGAGTGCGTCCGTACGTCTCTGTGCGGACGCCGAAGCAGAAACCACAGCAACTGATGTCTCATCGGTTGCTGAAGCGACTCAGCCTGTGTCACCTGGTGATGCAGGCACTGGTCATGAAGACACTCGTGTCTTCACAGAGTACGAGCTCGGTGTCTCATACTCTCCTGATACGGAAGACGGATCCGTATCGACGGCGATCGAATCCAAGCCGCCTGCCAAGCGTGGCATGGATGATGCTATGCGTCGCAGCATCTTTGGTTCATCTGATTCATCAGATGAACCATCGCCGAAGCGAAAGCGCTCGAGGTCGCGAGACTTGGGCGCTAACAGTGGTGTCGGTTCTCCAATGGACACCACTTCGCAACGAGGTGCCAGTCCTTCTGTCGGCACATCGCAGGAAGAGCGGGACCGCAATGTCTTGCGTCTCGCTTCCCAGAAGAAGGCATGGATGCCTCCAAAATCCGTCATGGATCACTTGTCGGCGACGAAGAGTGATCGCTATCGAACACGATTGTTCGATTCGTCAAGGATCCATCACCTTGACCTCAACGCGAATAACTATCGCGCTGAGAATGATTTCTTCATCGATGCTTTCTTTAGACATCGATGATACAGTGGGAATCACAAGCGTGATGGTCCCTCACTACTTCAAGCGTGTAACGCCTACATCCATAACCTTGGGGATGTAGGTCGTGACGCTTGGAACGACAAACTTATCAAAGCTCGTGATAAGTTTGAAAAGCGAACCCAGACAGGTGCACGCTACAAGCTGCATCGTCTGTCAAGAGAGAAAGGATTGCCCTGCCTCTCTTGGGGAGACTCGTGCCCATGTTGTGTGAACAACTCTGTACGAGCACTTAAGGAGGCTTACCTCCCTAATAGCTCGCGGTGGCGCGTACGTATCTCTACTGAGATGTACGAAGGGATTGACAACCTGAAATCCCTTTACGACCGTGGCGGGAAGACTTTCTCCGGCGGTCCTTTTGCGGCACAGAATGTGCCGCGTCGTACTGCTCGACCAGACCCAGTACGTCAACCATCAGTTGGGAGCGGGGCTCCCAAGTATCCCAGGACGGGGGATAGCCGCGCCACCGGACGAGATAACTCGTCCGACGTCCTTTCACGTCGCGGTGGTTCAACAGCTGCTCAACTAGATAGCGCTGGCCACCGCGAGATTCCTCTAATGGAGGTGGAGGAGGAGGAAAGACGCTCTCGACACGATCATGGGGATCCTTGTGTTCCCGAGAGCTTCTTTGATCGCGTAACGCAAGGGTTACGCGGCGATCTCGAACATGAGCGGGACAGGCGTCTCCAAATGGCGGACGCTGTCTCGAAGCATCGAGCTGAGTTTGCCTTTGCTCAGCTTGAGAACGAGAGAGCTCTGACATCTATTCGTGACGAGCTAAGGGTAGCTCCTGGGATTGTTGATCGGTCTCGGGATGAGATAGCTGTTCTTCAGACCCTTGTTGATGCCCACCATCGGGAGCACAAGGCTCTCTATGAGATGCTTGAGCGCAAGGGCGTTCTTCATCGGAAGAAGCAGCGTACTGATGGTACGTCTTAAGCCGACCAACGTAAAACGTGGGATGCGTTCGCATCTTACGTGGCAATTCAATCGTGTATGCGTTTCCTTGGTGATGCAATACACAAAATGGGCCGATGTACTTGGGTAGAAGTTTACTAGTACCCAAGTTAGTCACTACATGCTTTGGTAGATTAACCGTAGACGGTAGGACTAAGTCACCTTTATTAAATACAAGAGTGTTTGCCCTTCCATTCTTGTCAGCGTTTTGCCTTTGTTTATCCACCGCTTCGGCGATGGAGTCTTGCACAAAACGGACTACCGTTTCACGAGCCAGTATGAACTCATCTGATGACTCGTTAGCTTCAGCGCGCTGTGCGTGCACTCCAGCAACATCAATCTTTTCTTCAGTGAGGGCTTCCGCACTCTCACTGACATCATCTTCTTCGATATCGATGTTGTCGATATCGGCATCAAACGCAATGACCTCATCGTCAGAGCGTGATGAGCGTGAATCAAATCGGTTTTTGCTCGCGCGAGTCCCCCCCCCTTAAACCAGAGTTACACTCTAGTAAGGTGGGTACACGCGGATGGCGTAATCCATTCACGTTAAAACGATGTATGTGTCGTGGACGTATGCACCGAGTTGTTAATGGCAAATTGTACCATTGGCAAGAACTCACTCCAACTCTTAAAGGAGTGTATGTATCCTCGAAGTATCTCTTCAAGGACACGATTGGCACGTTCCGTCTGATCATCTGACTCTGGATGATCAGATGTCGACATCTTCAAGCGCGTTCCGAGTGATTTGAACACGGAACGCCAGAAATCAGCAGTGGATCGTGGATCTCTGTCTGATGCGAGTTCATGGGGCAACCCATGAAGTCGGAAGATGGTGTCAATAAAGACACAAGCACAGCCACTTGCCGTGATTGTCTCTGGTACAGCCACAAGGTGTACCATTTTGCTGAATCTGTCAACAAATACGAGAATACCCGTATTCCCGCGTGCGTCTTTGGGTAACCCGAAGACGAAATCCATTGAGATGGATTCCCAGCACTCAGCCGGAACCGGTAGAGGCTGTAAAGATGCACGCAGTGAAGGACTTGACTTCACTCGTTGGCAGACTTCGCATGCGTGAACATACTTTCGCACAAACTGATACTGGCGGGTCAAGTGAAAGTCTCGACTTGCCGTGAGATATGTTTCTCTCGGCCACGATGTCCTCCTATAGGAGCATCGTGATACTTGAACATGATCCGCAAACGCAGATCAGTATCATCTGGAATGACAACACGTGGTGTGTCACCAGTAACGGCTGTATAATACAGTAAACCGTTGCGAGTAGTGTATCGATCTGATGCATATCGATACGCAGACTATAATTGGTTCAACGATTCTCTAGATGGTTGTGAGAGATGTGTCAACAACTTCACAATCTCACCATCTTGGGCGTATGCCCACCTCACATCATCATGTAACGTTGACGATGGCATTCTGGACGGCATAATTGCAACATTGGCTGTCTCACTGTTGGGTTTCACGACTGGTTCAAAGTCGGGACGACGTGAGAGTGCATCAGCGACGACATTAAGTCGTCCTGGTTTGTGCTCTACCGTAAAGTTGTATTCTGCAAAGATTGACAACCACCACGCCATTCGTTGTGAAAGGTGCGGGCTGTTCACTGCCGTGCGTAACGACGCATGGTCAGTGTAAACAAAGAGGGGTCTTTCTCCTTATAGATAGACTCTGAACTTCGCGAGTGCATACTTCATGGCAAGGAGTTCCTTGTCATGCACTGGATAGTTCCGCTCAGCTGGTTGCAGCTGACGCGACTGATAGCAGACGACGCGTTCAACGCCTTCAAGATCGTACTGCATTAATGCACAGCCGATTGCGAAATCGCTGGCATCACAGACCACATGAAATGGCCTGTCCTGATCGGCTATTGCTAGGACTGGGGATTGTATCAAGCTCTGCTTGATACCATCAAAGGAGCGCTGACATTCAGCGTTCCACAACCACCTCTCGTTCTTTTTCAACAAACGAGAGAGGTGCACAGTCATCTCGGCGTAATTGCGTGAATACTTATGCAAATACGCCGCTAGCCCAAGGAATTTTCGAAGACCTTTGACATCAACCGGCACAGGCCAGTCGGTGATCGCCTTGATCTTTTCGGGATCAGGTTGTACACCGTTCTTATTAACGATGCACCCAAGAAGTGGTATTTCGCTTGTTGCATTCGCATGATTGTAAGAATCTGTCGGACGTGGTACCTGTTGAGAACCTGTCGGACGTGGTACCTGTGAACCTCAACATCCGACTTTCCATCCATAGCCCGACTATAGATAAATACGTCATCGAAATAACTCGGCGCGAATTCTTGTACTGGTCTCAACAGATGTGATACACATCTGTTGAACGTGGCAGGGGCATTACTAAGCCCTTGTGGCATTACTAGCCATTCCCAGAGAATGCCGCTAGGTGTGCTAACTGCGGTATAGGGTATGTCCCGTTCTCGCATTAGGATTTGACTGAAGCCATCCATCAAATCCATGGACGAAAAGATGGTACTCTTTGACATACCATCAATTATTACGTCCTTCCTCGGCGTCTTAGCCGGTACCGTTGCAGCATTCAACTTGTTAAATGCATGCACTATCCGCCACCCTCCTGTTGCTTTTCGCACACAGAAGGTCGGAGAGCTATGTGGGGAAGTTGATTCCCTCACATGGCCCGCAGCTAAACGATCGGCAAAGAACTTGTCGATCGCAAGTACTTGTTCACGAGGCAGTGGCCACTGCTTCATGACACATTACTTCGAGCCTGGTTTAAGCTCGACCTCGTGTCGAATACCTTTATCCTTCGGTAATTCGCACGGAACAGTTTCAGGGAATACATCCTTGAATTCAACCAAATCTTCATAGAGAGGATTTGTCTTGAGCGATTCCCACGATTGGGAGTCATATCGCTCAACTCGTGTCTTTTCATCCAGGACACTTTCGTCCATAGATGAACTACTGAGAACTCTCTCGTTCTCAGTAAATACTGTTGCTGACCTTATGTCGGCTACACACTCGTCGTTAGCGACGAGTACGCAGATCTGCTTGACTTTGCCACTACGCAGATCACGCAAGAACCTTTTATGTTCGAGCGTTGGCAACTGAGTGATCTCTGAAGTCAACTTCGGAGGCGCAATCAGATCAAGTGTATAAGCGCCTACACTTGATCCGTTATTGACTATGACATTCAATGTCTCTGTCATTTCCTGGGGACTTATTCCTTCGGCTTCCCGGGGACTTATTTTTCGCGGGTTTCGGGGAACCTATTTCCGCCGTATTTGTAATATTGGGACTTGTTCCCTTTATTTCCTCTAGCTGGGGTTGCGCAACCACAGCGAGATCCTCTACGAAAGACTCTCCAGTCGATCTAGGATTATCGTTTCGCTTAACCTGAGCGATCGATTGTTTCTCTTCTAGATGTTCCCCGCTAGGGATACATCTTTGTCCCAGTCCACCCGATTTATTCGAGTGGTGGACCTTCGGCGCAGCCTGTGTTTCCTCACAGCCGCCGGAAATTTGCTCCGAAGTGTAACCGTTTGTCACACTAAGGTTTTGTGCAGTCGTACCATCGACCGTACCACAAGTGAGGCCATCGCACTCACTCGTAGTACATCCACACGCTTGTGGACGCTCCAAAACGTTCATCAGATGGCCATCTGATGAACAAGCGGCAGGCATCGTTACTGTTCGATGTTGCCAGTTTACCCGTGGTTCGTACCTTCCGAGCCACGGTATTCCAAGGATGACATCAAATTTGTCATCCAAATCCAATACGATAAAGTCATCGTCATATTGGGTATCTTCTAGCGTACAGTGGATCTTCACTATTCGCTTCATGACGGTTACGGATGCGCCTGTCGCAAGACGTACCGTCATCCTCGTAGGAGGTGTGTCACATTCACTGAATTTAAAGTGACCATCTTCTAGCGATTGGCGTCGCACAAAATTGTTGGACGCCCCACAATCGACTAGAGCTCGAAGGGACAACTTATTCGTCACTTCGAGTTTCAAGGTAATGAGTGAGATCTCAATACCTAGAGCAGCAACGCACAATGTTTGTGTGTTGGGAGCAACCTTCATTAAGAGGCCTACAAATTCTCTTGACGTTGCTGGACCAGTAGGGTGCGCCGCACCTACTGATCCTGTCCGTTTTTTGACGGTCCATCCCGTTGTTGCGTCTTTACGCCAGCAGCGGATCCGCGTCCCTGCCCCTTTCTCATGGGTGGACGGTCACTACGCCCAGTGTTGCGAGACACTGGACGAGTGGCACTACACTCGTAAGCGTAGTGTCCTGTCTTTTGACATCTGTTGCATCTCTGCAACTTCTTGTAGCCTGTAGAGCGAGCCTTCTCGCTCTCTACATAACAGAGTTCCATCGGCTCTGGACCTCCGTTGTCATATCGCCTCGGTTGACGATATGATGTCGAGCTGGCGCGAGCCTGTCTCAGACTGAAGTCTTCCTGCTCCGCAATGGAAATGGCTTGTTCTAGTGAATCTAGTTCAAGCCGGAACAGGTGAGTCTTGACGGGACCATCCGCAAGACCCTGTATGAACACCGAAACCAACGTGTGTTCATCCACCGGATTGGAACTTATACAACTCGTGAGATGTCGTATATGTTGAGCGTAAGCGTGCACATCACGCTTACCCTGCTTGAGCTTCAAGAGTTCGGTTCGAGCCCTGAACTCAGCTCTAGGCGGTTCAAACGTTTGTCTGAGCCGCGACTTGAAGACTTCCAACGACCCAAACGCATATGGGTCGTGCAACTTGAGCCCCAGTGCCCAAGTCTTGGCACGTCCTGCCAGATTTGACAGGGCAAATGCAACTTGCATATCCCCGTCGTCGATGCGACGCGCCCTTATGGCGTCATCCAATTCGACGAACCATCTCAAGAGGGAGTCTTCTTCGACCCCCCTATACTTTGAGATGTCAATCTTCAAAGTCTCGGGTCGACGCGAGTGCATCGACCCACCAGCAGCAGTCTGCTGCTGCTGTCTCAACAGTTCAAACTGTTGAGCACCTTGTTCTCTCAACAACTCTGCTTGTTGAGAACCCTGTTGGTGAAGCAAGGCTACTTTCTCACGTTCAGCGTCAAGTTCATTTTAAATGAACTTGGCGATAGTAGCATGTTGGGCATCTCTATTGAGAGCCTCTAGCATGACGCTAACAGCATGGATGCCCATGGTCGAACCCATTCGTTCAACCGCATCCCATTCGACATCGCTCAAATGGGAGTAGCCGTCACGCGTAGCGTGAAAGCTTTGGTCATCTTCATCATCCAACATATTCATGTTGGATGTGAACGCGGTCCTTGGACGGACTACGAAGTGCTACCAGGTGTAACGGGGCACCCTGAAGCTTGTACTGGTGACAGTACAAGCTACTAATTCTGATGACAGAATAAGGCGGTGCCTCGTAACTTCACGTACACTGGTACGTGCAGAGGAAGACGGTAGGAAGAAGCGAGTACTTGGTTAGAGTAAAAAGTAGAACTGTATTTATAATAGTTAATGTCTGCAATAAATCACTATTTATCCTCATCTAACTATGTCTGAATACAAATGTGTAAATCAGTTATCTGCTCACCACTCATTGCGTGCGTCTGTCGTGGCGCGTCTTCGTTGGTTGATATAATGGCCTATATCAACCAATTAGGAACTACTCGTAAGTGCTCCAGAATATTTGTCCTTATGACAATATTCTGAGAATATAACTCTTATAGTTATATTCTATCAACGATTTCTTATAAATTGTTATGTAGCGATTCACCCCGTTACAGTTATAGCGTTCTCTTAGTGTAGTTCGTTCAGCAAAATATGAGCGTTCTCGTGCGGTATGGCGTGACTGCCATTCAGAAGCCAATCTATTGGTTCATCTACGTTCTGCGCATCAGCACGAGGTGGAGATTCAAAAACCGCTTAGGTCCACTCATGGAGGGATACGACTTCGATCGCCCGCAATCTGGTGGTGATAAGCCCGTGATATCGACCTTTTAAAGGCCGACCACGTGCTTCGTAACCAGGAGCTCGGTCGTTTGCACTCTTTCCTCGATACGAGCGCTGAAGAATTAGCGCTTTTGAAGGCCAAGCATAATCTACTCATCCGTGACCTCAAAGCTCAACTGGTTCACGTGGTTGACCTCGTTACAGAATTGCCAACGTCCGTGGGAATCGAGTACGATAAGCGGTGGACGGAGCAATCGATGGTTGACCTCGTCCCTTCTCTTATCAAGTGCCCGTGCATCGGTGCACCCCGGGGTCCATCTCTTGGCGTTTCTCCCAGTCGTCGCACAACCAACATATCGAGCTCCATACGCCAGTCAGTTTCTGCCTATACTACGCCCCGGCGATCATCACGCCCTCACATTGTCTTGCGTAAAATCTCGACAAAAACGACCCGGAATTTGTCTTAGTCAGAGGCAGCCAACATTCGTCCGTCTGTGATTAACAGACGGTCGAAGAAGCAGAAGTAGGTAAGCTATGGACCTGCCACTCTCATACCTAAAAGAGATGATCTCTTTTGGTCCGTCGATGGAATCACGCCAGACGTCATTGCTCGATTACTTTCTTCCGCTCGCTGGCTATCGCTTACTTAGACTGCGCGCCCTTCCCGTGGCATGGCTTCCGCCTCAATCAAGATTGATCCTCCAAGCCTCACACCCGCGATTAATTTGGCATCTTCGGAACCCAGTTCTCTCGATTGGTCTACTAATCCCGACGTGATGCCGATCACTGGAACGCACCAGGTAGACAAGTCACACGAGGCTTCCAACGACTCCGATGGATCTCTTACTATTTCAAGTGGCGATCATACCACGTACAATCGGCTTCTTGCCGCCTACCTTGAAGACAATGTCTACCGTGCGATCTTTGCGAGCCCATTAAATTCCCGGATATCGCGCTCGTGTGTCCTTTTGTCCTGATACATTTGCTCCTTTGTCGTTTTGTCGATTGAGTTTGACACGGTGGATGAATTGGACTTAAAATGTTTGTTTCCCACCCTCTCTTGGCATAACCACTACTTGTTTACAGTATTTGAGCCTTGCGCCCGCCCGCCCGCTGAGTCCTAATGGTATCCGCAACGTGTGGCTTGGCGCATTTCGCTACCTCTGATTATCAAAGGACATCAGATATTGTAATTTGGCCGATCGCGTCCGTGTTCTTCCAACCGACTAGCTGATACCAAGCATCAGTGAACGCCTTTCATTATTCAAGAATCATTATTGCCAGTTCATATGGAAGCAGGCTCAAGTGTCACCGATTATAGTTGGTCTGAGACGAGCGAAGGATCCTTGGTTGACTGTCTACTTTGAGGTTTAGCGCCGCAGACGATCAATCTCTGGCCCCAGTTAAAATAGTTCCTCGGATTGTTTGCAGGGGGAAAAGGGTCTTTTGACCTTGACTTTCTGCTAGATCCCTTCTAATTCTTTTTATTGCACTTTTCCGGACAAGAGAGGAATTTTTATTTATTGTTATCCGATTTTCGGCTGTCGGCAGATCAGTATTCCCAATATGGTTTCCGTCCTGCACTTGACAGATTCTGCTAATCTCTGGCGAAATCAATACTTTACGGCCATCACTGATCATCCTTGGTCTTCCAAAGTTCACCTAAAAATTGTGAAAGAGTGGTTTTCCGTCCATTAAAGAAAAAGAATAATGTCCGAACAGTGTTTTGATCTCCAGTCGTAGCTACTTAGCCTGCCTTTACAGAGATTCAGTCATACGTTTACACTCCATTACAATTTTTTTCTTTTTTAAACTTATAACGTCTACTTATGGCCATCTCGATCTTAATTCCATTTTGCTCACTAATGAGATGATCACCACAGTTAGCGGTCGAAGTAATCACCTCAGGTCTTTTTAACATCTAAACCGTCCTTATGTACTTGCATCACTTCAAATCGAGCATTATTACCACAGTCACGTTTGCATCTTGTGACAAGGCGCCGCATTTACTGTTCGCCTCACCCACCCATGTTTTATCTTGATGACCCTTCCCTTTAACTAATAACTGTCGTATTGCTCTCCCATACCTTAAACTTGTTCCGATCGCTCATCTCTGATAACTATCGACCTTGAAATCCCATTCCAATAAATCAACTTCTTTACTGTCTTTTGAAAGAAGGGCTGCACCGAAATCCACGCAATCTTGTGTCTTCCACCTGCATCCGTGCAATCGATTGGTCAAAGGAAAACTTAGTATCCAAATTGAGGTTTGATATTTGCACAAGCGGAAAAAGTCGGTACGGGATTTCTTGTACTTTCAGTAGTACTGCGTGCTCTTCGCACTTCACAATGATCTGAATTGGACCATACCACAAATGAGATAGATTCCTAGCACATCCATTGTTCACTCGGTCCATATACCGCCACACTTATACACCGTATCTTATGCCATGTGATTCTCTCGATTGTTTTAAGGTTGATCGGTCCGGTCCTGGATAACTTTTTCAGCCGATCACTTACGGGGTTCGTGTATGTTGATACTGCCTTTACATAAAATAAGGAAATACCCTGGTTCCACGATCATGTAGTTTAGTACATTCCGCCGGAAGAATTGCTTATAAATTAGATCGTGGGTTCAACCCGTAAATGAGATAAAACGGCTCATCATCCTTGAAATGGTTATGCGCTGTATATCGGCGAAGGCCAATCACTCGGCAAAATCATCCCTGTCTTGTTGACTCACATTAGTGACATACAACTTGATCTCCCTGGTCAATGTTTGGACAATCCGTTCGTCGGTGCCATTCGCTTGATGCCTATACGCCATTGTAGCGCGTTGATTTTTACTGGCAGTACTAGAATGCACATAAAATCTCGAATATATTCTAGGCCATTCTAGCGACAATGACGAATACATTTACTCGGCCCAAATCACCAAAAATGACATATCTGATACGCATCCCGCAAGTGATTGGACAATTATTGACAGGCTAGCCTTATCGATCACGCAGCCAGATAACTAATCAGTCCAATTTATTAAAAAAGAGTTCTATGTGAAACGGTATGGCGGGGAAGGGATGTGATCAATTTAAATTATCTGGAATGGGTACGAAGCATGCCTGTTTTCCGGGTTTTCTATACATAGAACCAGGCATCCCTTCGTGATTTTACATTCTACAAACTTCCCCACACACCGTTGTACGCTTTGGAATAAACTAGTTCACCGAAAGTGTGATCGTACGCGTTTATACGTGCGGCCACCTCCTTGATGCATCCCATACATACTTTCCTTTTAATAGCCTTAAACTTCGTCCTGGAGTTATTGCGGGATCACCTGACGAACAATTTCAATACGAACAACGAGGATTGTCGCCTATCGCGGTAAAAAATACATCAATTCGTCTTCATTTACCACGTAGTCTGGGGAAATCACGGCACTTGCTTTTGCTTCCACGGCTTTCATCTCGGTTACATCTCCGACTAAAATAGCCTGAGGCTAGCAATTTTATTTCTGTCGTCTTGCGCCTGTTTGTTGCGGTCAAGTTGCATCTACTACACCACTTCTTCCGTCAAAATGATTTACGCCTCACGCCTTCGCATAGTTGATCGTGTGATCGCCGCCATCTTGATCACTTCACACTATGGGAGTCAGTATTTATGGTAATTTATTAGTAGTAATTTGATTGATGTAATCCTGGTCAGTAAGCTTGGCCATGCCTCATTAAATTCAAAAAGAGGAGCTAGCAAATCGACCCACACTTTAGATCCAATCGTGCTTAACGTTTAATAACGCATGTGTCGGAAACGATCCGAGTTGATTTAGGGCCGTGTGACGCATCCATTTGAGCTCAATGGCTTGCGTTTAGCCCACCCCGCATATGCCTGAAGACTTTATGATCACCACAGATTTTAAACCGTCCATTTCCTGTTTTGCTAGCAGCTTGTTACTTAGCACCAAACCATGATATTCTTCCTCTTATACCTAAATTTAGTATCGAGCCGCGTCGCGGCTTAAAATC